AGATCCCTTGATAGTTGGAATTCAATTGCCATCTGGGAAATATTTGCCTCATAGCAGACGGCATAATAATTTAAATCCCACTTCTTTCATTCATTCATTCTTTCATTCTTTCATTCATTCATTCATTCACTAGCAGGATACCCTGGGCCCAAATTTGCCCGGGTCTCAATTCGCCCGGGGCCCAAATACGATGGCCTAAAACATTGACGGGGTCATGCTGTTTAATTTAATACCACATATGTGAGACTGGAGCGCGGTGGCGAAGTGGGATGGACGAACATACACAGTTTGATTCAAGCTGATTAAAATACACATCTATATTTCGTTTCGTTTTTTTATACTTTAGATGGCCTCTACTACATGAAGATCTGACCAGTTATAGTGGGGGTCGTGTTAGGGGTCGTATGAGCGGCTTTTGACCCTATGGCGTCAGACATTGATTAATCAATCAGCGTTAACGTTTCTAGTGGTTTACCCACAGTTCCGTGTACGGCACGCCAAGAACTCGCCGTAACAGACTGTTTCATTTGCTAATCCCTCACTTCAACCAGAACGCCGGTAATATACTATTCAAAAAAAGTAGGGGATATTTGATTTTTAAGTGTTATTAAAGTCACCTAATGAAACTGACGAAGAAACAAATGACAAAATGAAATGAAGTTCACATTCATCGATTTATTCCAAATGATCGTTAGACTAAGTAAGGCACAGACTGACCATTATAAGGGTAAAATGATACCCGGGGTCAAACAGCAAAGTTACCACAGCATCACAACCAAGTCAGTAACAGGTAAATCCTCCTCTGTTTGCCAAACAAGCATTGATCCGACGTGGCATACTCCTAATGAGACGTCTAAGGTCATTTTGGTCCAGATTGTCCCATTCCTGTTGCAACGCAGCAGCAAGTTCTTGGACATTGGCAGGACGTTGTTGACGTTGACGTAACCTCTGTCCAAGCATGTCCCAAACATGCTCGATGGGGGAGAGGTCGGGACTCAGTGCTGGCCAAGGTAATGTGGTGATGTTCTGTTGTTGGAGGTAACCTGTAACGATCCTGGCCCTGTGACATCTTGCGTTGTCATCCTGGAAGATGAAACGGCGGCCATGACGTCGTGCGAACGGCACAACATGGACTGCCAAGATGTTGTCCCGGTAGTACTGGCCTGTAACACGCCCTGCAACAACATGTAAAGCCGTTCTTCCAGCAACAGTGATGCCTCCCCACACCATAACAGAACCACCCCCAAATCGATCATGTCTGATGACGTTAACGTCTTGGAAGCGCTCGTTTCGACGACGCCACACCCTCGTACGTCTGTCCAAAAAATCAACAGTGAACCTTGACTCATCTGAAAACATCACATTGCTCCAGCGTCGATTATCTTTCAAACAAGGGATCACGCGAGGACGTCGGGCGCGAAGGTGACCCCTATGCAGTCGATTCCGAATCGTCTGGCCACTCACTCTCACACCAGTGTCTGTTTGAAGACGAGCGCTGATCTGATTTGCTGTGATGACACGATTTCTCAAGGCCAAGGTACGGATAAATCGATCCTGGGCTTGAGTTGTCGCCCTTGGTCGACCTGAGCGTGGTCTGTCCTGTACAGATTGTGTATCACGGTATCTGGACCATAGCCTGCTTATGACAGACTGAGAAACATTCATCGTCCGCGCCACAACCGCCTGTGTTGTGCCGATCTGTAGCATGCCAAGGGCACGTAACCTTTCATTTTGGGTAAGCCGACGCATATCAAAATTTGTTTTCTGGTCACTAAAACAATTAAACTGATGTTTCCACCCTGGAATTCAATGCCACAATGACTGTAACATTCAAAGTCAGAGTCGTGCAAATCTTGGGTTGGACCCCCATGATGATCCCAAGCATCACCTGCATTCCATGCGGGAGCTATTGGTGCGTTTGGGCGTCACATGTAACTGGAAATGTTTCTTCTGTTAGGTTCTATAGTGACTTTTTTCGTAGTCATTTGCATATTTTAGTATTATGCCCCCAAAATCAAATATCCCCTACTTTTTTTGAATAGTATATAACAAGTCTTCCAGATCCTAGTATAGTTTGTCTGCGATGTCACCTCGGTGGAAGCGTAAATAGAGCGATTTCACACACTCCTAGTATAGTAAAGACAAGTAAAACGAAATAAACACAGAATAAACAAATAAAACGAAAAGAAATTCAGATTTGTATTTCAGTCAGTTTCAATTTTGATGCACTGAACCAGAAATTAAAATTATATCCCCGGCTTGTATTCCCTGTATTTATGTTCCCAGGAATAATGTCTTGTGAAATATATATATTTGATAGCACGCCCGACATATTAAAAACATGTGGGTGTAATTCGTTACATGATGTGTAATCTATAATATTGTCAGTGGTGACACATACGGTGTTGATAGAGTCTGCCTAGTCGTTCGGGTGGGACGAAAAACAGAGGACACCCGTGTGCACGTAAAAGATCCCCTGGCAGTTGGAAATTGAAGACGAGTCGGAGGTAACACCGCTGTTCGGGCAAAATTCTCCTACACGGTATTAAGCACGAAACATTAAAGATACATTATGTAAGATTTAGATAACGTTTTGGCCATTATGGATAATTTGAAAATTTCATTCAAATTACTCTATTGCGAGCGAAAATATTAGCTATGAAGGTTTGACAAGACGTGTACAATAATTTCAACCACCGTACTGGTTGTTGAAAGCTAAGTCTCGCTCCTCCATTTTTAGCTTAAATCAAAATATGGCTGAACTGTTCTAACGTCGATCAGAATGAAGTAATTGAGTGAAATTTTCAAGATCTGGTGTTTAACTATTATAGCGAGAACTGTCAGCTCTTTACAGGGCCGTATTTAGCGGGGGTGCAAGGGGTACATTGCACCCCAAGAAAAATAGGGTACCCCGAGAAATTGCACCCCACCCCATCCAAAAAAAAAAAAAAAAATTATTTGACAACCTTTCAATTATAAAATAATCCACTTGATCATGATCACACAGTAATGCTCTTAAGGCACTGATCAGTCGGTCGGTTTTAATGGCGCCCACACGCCAATGGGTTCGTTTGCCCTGATCGGAACTTTCTTATATCACATACGTGGAGGCTATGGCGCCCCACCACTCTGTTGCACCCCCACTTTTAAAATCCTACATACGACCCTGCTCTTTATCTAAATCTTACATAATGCATCCTTAATCTACAATAAGAAATTCTATCGGCATCTGTTAGAATATTGTGTTGAATTGACCTGACCAAGGAACAGGTGCTTTCACTGGGCAAGAATGATTTTAAACAATAAAACAATAACAATCACAATGGTTGAAAGAGAACAGGGAAAGAGGGAGTGAAATGGAGTTTAACATTCCACTCAACACAAACATATGGTTCAATTTTATTTCTATAATTCGTTTGCACGTAGGGCTCTTTAGCAGTAGGAGGAAACCGGAGGTCCCGGAGAAAACCCACGAGGTTGGACAGGCAACTCTACAGGTCAGTGCTTATGTGGAGACTCAATATCTCCCCCAAATTCTTAAACCTAGCACTATTCACTCATTAACGAAAGCGTAACCGAAATCAGAGAAAAACAGCCGCAATACTAGGTCATTTCAGGACTAACATATTGTTCAATTTTAAAAAATAAATATCTCATACACTATTATAGTGATATAATTTATTGTTTCCAAAAAATGGCGTACTGCAGAAAAATATGCGCAACATTTTAAGGCATATCATCTACAAGCTTATAAAAATAAGCTCGACTCCATTTAGAACAACTCCGTGGTTTTCAGCGAGCTTCGTCAAATTGCGGCCATCATCGGCTAAAAAAAGGCGCTTGAAAGCTGAACGGCCATTTTTATTCTTAGGGGATGTTTTAAATAATGTCCCTGCCAAGTTCGCAAACGACAGAGAAATAATGAGACTTCCATCGAACTGTCTATAAGAAGATTAAAGGAAAAATGAGAGCGCGAGCACGGGGTAAAAACACCACAATGCAAACGTTAACTGGCGTATAATATTCTTTCAAATGATTAATATTCCTGTAGTTCCTTTAGGGGCGGTCTCTGATCGGACGATGTTACTCTCGTTGGAATTAAATCTTTGGCCAACAGCCACAAATCACAGTAAAGGGCGCCATGGGGATAGTGCAAAATAACACTGGGGCGGATCCACACAATGGGTGTCGAACTTTCGAAAACTATGGGGTATGCGGTGGCAGTTTAATGTTTAAAGCAGGTTTGTGATATCAAAGAAATTATTTTTACCAATCTGGTTATTTTTTAACATGCCCAAGAACCTCTCTTAAAATTATAAATTTAACTTATCGATATAAATTAGTGGATGTCCTGCGAGTCACTGCGGGGTTATTTCCCTTTAATACAAAACGCTGTTTCATTACACCTGTCTGTGCCTATTCACGGGACTACGGGAGCTTGTAACATGGAGAGCAGGTCCGTAGCTAGGCCAAACATGTGTGTGTGTGTGTGGGGGGGGGGGCTCTTCTGGGGTCGACGACGTATCTACACTTGACGGTCCACGGCGCCTATTGGGGGAGCCGATTGTTTACATAAGACCTTACATGTTCGGGCGGAATGGAGCCATTTACTCATTTTAATACTCATTTACACTAAATAGGAAATAATTTTTACCTAGAAATACGTCAAACGTCTTTATTTATTTTTCTAATACCGGTACATAAAAAAAAAATGTTTTAGAATTTAATTTGTCGGAGGAAAAAGGTAAACATTTGTGCCTCATTAAGTCGCATCGATGTCATCCTTATCAGTGATTGTCGCGGCCTAGCGAATATTCACTGCTGATCAGTGTGCATAGACGTATACATGTACGTACTAAACAATAAATAACATTTAAAACAATGGGTATAGGGTTACTGGTCTGAAACCTACTTTATCAAATGAGTTGTCTTCCCACGGGCGTCACTTCTATTTTTTGGCCAATCGTTAACAGAGTTTGTGTGCCACGTGACATTGCAAGCGCGAAGCTAAAACTTTGCAGACATTACCCTTACGAAAACCTTTTGTTATATGGAGAAAAAGATAAAAAAAAAATAATATTAAGCACAACAAAATGGCGCTTGACACATCATTTCCTTGTTTAACAAACGACCAGATAGCTATGGAACAGCGGTGAGTATTCAGAAAGCTAACATTTTACCCGGTAAATTGACAACAACCTGAGCTGAACAAGAAGCCCAAAACGTGTGAGAGGAAATGTCAACAACTTTATTATCTTATCCCAACCGTTTATGCGTCTAGACTTTGGACAACTGAAATAACTTCAGTTGTTTTTTTTAACATCAATAGACATATATTATACGGCTGGAGATTTAGAATTGCACTCGAGCCTGAAACGGCTTCGTTTATAATTTATAGCCATGGCATTGGTTGGCACGATTTACCAAAATGTCCAAAATCCACCATATGCATGCTGCATTGGCATTGACGCCATTGTTACTCTTTTTTTTTTTATAAAAGTTTATATCTATAAACTTGATAATATACCGTTCTTTATGCCTAAATGTAATTTTTAATATAAAATTAAACTTGTAGCATTTTTATTTCAAAATGCATCTCGAAATGTTATTCCTAAGCATTGAAGCAAACAATTTATTGTTATTATACTACTAATACACAAGTTATGTCCCCTGGTTACAACTTCCAAATTTGTTTGGGGCATTTTTGACTCAAAAGTGCAATGATTTTCAATTAAAAATTACAAGTTGACATAAAGAACTGGTACCGTAGCATGGTTTACCCTACATGCAGTTCATTACACTCGCCCTGTACGTTCAGGAACCGCCTTTTATCGAATCCTTGTCGAAAAAGTTTCGAACACCAGTCCATTTTACTGGGCACTTTTTTACTGATAAACAGTCGCGTGTCAGTCCCTGTGAACACCTGTACAATTTAGTGAGAAAATAAGACCTTCCTTACCTCACTAGACTCCAGTGTGTTCGACACAAACAGCTTGGCAGAAGCCATTAAAATGTAAATATTAACACACAAATTTACGTAACTCGGCCATACATGTATATGACGAAACGAAATTTATATATAAAAGTGAACTCCAAATAAGATTTCTTTTCTCAGGATAAGCCAGCTCTTTTGGTAGGGTGCTCCACCATAAATAAATATCTCCAAATATCTTGACAATTACACCACAATATTTATATATATAGCAAGCCTAAAATCAGTTTAGCACATTTATTAAATTATAGTCACTAAATAAACGGTCATTTTGTACTTCATAAGCTATGACCATTTAACTGTCCATAAATAATACTAATAGACTAAAAAATTGTTACGACTGTCGGGCATAAAATCTGGGCACTTTTGAGTAAAAAATAGGATACATATATTCTCCGTCTGATTGACAGGCCGGGATAATCAAGACAGTTAGCTGGAACAAGAAATTCAATTTAGAAACATGCACGTTAGGTAACTCAACAATTATTTTAAGAACCTTGTAAAATTTAAATGAAATTACGGCTATTTTAAGAACCTTGTAAAATTTAAATGAAATTACGGCTAGTATCATGTTCTTGCCTAACCCGATTGTTTCAGAGATATTATTTGTACTAAACCAAGATGCTGCTCATAACGGTATAGTTAATGATAAAGCAATTTAAAAAAACAACGAACGTACATGTAATTTCTAAAGCTGCTGTAATAACCAAAAAGTTAAATATTACTGCTATTCAGAATCGTCAATAATGGATTTTTTACGGCTGTAATAGTTGATAGATGTGTAGAGAATTTCACGTGCGATGGCTATTTATAGACTCATAGACTCTGTTATCGTACCGCGGAACTAGCCAGAAATCACTTTGAGACAAGCCACTGAAGAGTGCACATTTGCCATGTTGAGTTAATAAACTTTCAGTACCGGTAGAAAAAATTTTCGTTGCACAGGGCACACTACTTTTGGAACTTTCTATCTTCTGAAAGTTTACAAATTCTATAGAATATTCGTCTAATCATGTTCATTGGGTCACTCATCTAAAATTTGGAAGCAAAACAACTCAATATTTTATTTAAGATACACATATTTAGGTGCATGTGTATACAGTAAACTTCCCATAAGTCGGATCTAAGTGGACTGGCCAATTTTATCCGAGTTAAGCGAAGATTCAAGTTAGTCGAAGACCGAAATTCAATCTTAACTCGATTAGAAATAAACTGCAAGAGCCGGATAATAATTGATTCAACGGCGCATTTCCAGCTTTCGTTCGTATGTGTGAGTAGATAACTTCCGTTTTTTCGCCATCTTTGAAAAATGTCTCGTACAGCAGACAGCGAGTTTCAAATAAATGTAGGCTGATTTGAGTCAAAATGGTAGGGGAAAGTATTTTGGGGCTCTGTGCATGGAATACCTAACCGCGTTTTAGACCATCGGTACAAAACTGGCTTAGTTAAATTCTGAACATACTGCCGATTCGACTTAAAGCGAAGGAAAAAAGCCAGAATGAGTTGAGTGAAGATCCGACTTAGGCGCAGAAATTTAATGAGAAAAACGTGCAGGATCGAAATGAAATGGGGTTTAACGTCCCTACTGTTTTGCTCCGAACTGGGCTAATGAAGACGGGCATACGCCATACAGTGTGCTATGAGGGAAATTTTGCCCGGACAGCGGCACTACGGCCTACTCTTATATCGAATTCCAACTGTCAAGGGATCTTTTACGTGCACGCCAATGTGTACACGGGACCTCGGTTTTTCGTCCCATCCGAACGACTAGACAGCTTTCCTTGTCAGCCCCTCCGTCCTGCATCACTGACAAGGGGGAACCACGCCGAAAATCTGGATGAACTTTCTCTGCCAATGCAGGGATCGAACACCCGACCTCCAGGCTAGCGAGTCAGCGTCTTAGCCACTTAGCCACCGTGATCCCCCACGTGCAGGATCAAAGGGTCCAAATGATTTTATCCGAGTTGAGCGAAGATCCGGCATATACGAATCCGACTTATGCAACGTTTATTGTACATGTCATGTCATGTACACTGTTTCTTTATATTTAGGTGTATAAATTTTAGAGACTGACAATTGAGACTTGACCTGTAGTTGATATGTTGTATATTTATGTTTTCAGATTTAATTGTGTAGTGTGTCTATGTCCAAGATTAAAGATGGTTGTATATTTATGTTTTCAGATTTAATTGTGTAGTGTGTCTATGTCCAAGATTAAAGATGGTTTATGGTATATGTCAACACAGAGTCTGTGTAGAATGTCTATATGGAGAAAATGGTGCTATCAGATTGAGTATGCTTAAATGTCCAATTTGTCAAAATTCAAATGTTTTTCCACCATGGAAGTAAGTTTACTTTCTTTTTGACCAGATATGGAAATAACAGTTTAATGGGACCTGACAAATGTTGGCTACTAATGAACTGCCGTAGTCCATGTACCTGGCGTTTTGAACTTTATCTTTATTTATAACATGATTAAAAAGACAAAATGAAATGGGGTTTAACGTCCTACTGTTCTGCTCAGACTGGACTAATGAAGACAGACATATGTCAAACAGTGTGCTATGTAGGAAACTTTGCCCAGACAGCGTTGCTATGGCCTACTCTTATATTGAATTCCAACTGCCAAGGGATCTTTTACGTGCACGCCAATGTGTGCAGGGATCTGTTTTTTGTCCCATCCGAATGACTAGACAGCTGTCCTTGTCAGGCCCTCCGTCCTGCACCACTGACAAAGGGAAAAAATGCCCTAAAATCCTGATGAACTGTCTCTACCAAACTGCGATCAAACCCGCAACCTCCAGACTAGCGAGCCAGCGTCTTACCCACTTACATGTAGTCATCGTGGCTCCCTGATTAAAAACATAAATCAGTCTGACAATGGTTGAATTTGTGTCTGAAAATGTCTGTGATAGGAAGCTTATTTCTGTTCCATCTTTTCTTTCTATGTACATGTACGATAGTCCACATGTACAATGTATGTAACTCATCATCATGTGTATTTGAAGTTAATTACTAAATGTCACTGAAGCAATTTATATGCATGTAACCATGCTGTGACTACCGGTATATCAGATTTAAGTTTTGGAGTATTTCAAAGACAGGATTTACTTTAGTTTTAATAATTATTGTTTCAGACCAGATATTCTAGAGGATACGGTAGAATTACAGAAATGTCTGGGTATTCAACAGTGTGGTAATTGTGGTATGGAATTATGGAGTTGGGAACTAGAAAATCATGAAAGGTAGGTCTGGAAACATGTCACAAAAAGGGTGGGGGGGGGGCTGAAAGGTTTAACTCGTGTGCACATTGGATCATAAGGTCTGTCATTGAGTCAAGTGGCGTGGTTTCGATTCCCATTTGTACATGCCAAGGTGTGGGATCACCTGTCCAACCTTGTGGGTTTTCTCCCGAGTCCTCCGTTTTTCTCCCACTGCTCAAGATCCCAACACCAAGAGAATTATTGAAATAAAAATGAACCTATATTAGTCCGGAATAGTGGATATTTCTCTCTCTATATATATTTCTCTCGCTCTCTCATATAGGGGGGTTGGATGGCTGAATGGTTAGCGTGCGTGCGCTGTATCATAAAGTCTGTCATTGAGTCGACTGGAGTGGTTTCGAATCCCCGGTTGTACGTGACAAGGAGTAGGGTCGCCTGTCCAACCTCGTGGGTTTTCTCCGGTGAATTATTGAAATAAAATTAAAATCATATGTAAGTCCCGAAATGACCTAGTTTGTGTCAAGTGGACATTAAACCCCATTTCTCTCTCTCTCTTTCTCTCTCTCTCTCTCTGTCTCTCTCATATATAACACAAGTTATAAGATATGGAAGATCCTGCAGGTTCTTACTGAACCATGACAAGGATTTTCTAATTGTGTATCTTAGTCTAGCAGGGCTGGCCACGAATAAATTGATGGCGAGCAGATGACTGCTCATGCAAATTTAGGTTTGGGCGAGCAATAAAAATTGCTCACGCAAAATGTTGTTTGCGTGAGCACATGTTTTGTAACATTGTTTCAATTTAAAATCATAAGAAAATTGCTATTCCTGGCACAAAGTTTGCAGTAAACATGTGTGACCATCGCTTTCTGTTTTTGACAGTCATACGTACTCTTCTTTATTAAAACCAATTTCCGTATGGATTTCTTCACCCCACGAAATAAATGTGGATAGGGCAATCAGGTTGCCTTTGGCCATTATTACGCTTAGATTGAAAATTATACGACTGCACAATGGAATAAAAACCGAAGTTCTGATAAAATAGGAAATACCGATAAATATTAGTTTGAAACGTGTTCATTTAGCGTGAATGCCGGATGTAAACATTCTTTACTTTAGACTCGATTAACACGTGTTTGTTACTGGTGTTCATGGGAAAACCAGTCATGACGTTCAGGTCTAAAGTGTATTTTTAGTAACACAAGTTGCAAGTAACTTTATTAGCCAATCAAATTTCAGGAGGAAATGCCGCGTGCAGCTGGGTGAATCTCAGTTTGACAGACGAATTTATGACGTTATTGACATTGTTGGGTTAGTTTCGGCAATAAACTTGTCAATATTTTGATTATTTTTACTGGGTTTTCTTAAAATTTTGCGCAAGCAACGAACCCCGCGCGTAAATGTAGATTTACGCGAGCGCGAGCAGTTGCTCGCGTCTCGTGGCAAGCCCTGGTCTAGTGTCTCAACTCATGTCAAGGCACAACTATCTTAAGACACAACTACACCCTAGTACCTAATTTAACCTTTTTACTTTTCAGTGGGTGTTTAAAAAAGAAATCTTTACCAAAAACTCCTACAACCAATAGAAAAATGAGATTTCTGTCCAAGAGTGTTTCTAAACGTCGATCATCAGATGATGCTACTAGTTCTTCAAGGCAGTTACGTAATCGCGCTGGAACGAGTATGTTGTCACGGTTACGGTCTTTCAGAAAGTAAATAGATACTGTAATTATTGACATGTTTCAGAAAGAAAAATTGTATTGCGTGGATTTAGTGAATGAAATTTCTGTACATGTAAATGCAGAGTTGAAAATGTGAATGAAGATTCTGTAAATGCAGCGATGAATATGTGAATGAAGTTTCTGTAAATGCAGCAATGAATATGTGTGAGTGATTGTGCAGGATAATTTGTACATAGCAATATTTATATATCCTGGCTCTTGTCCAGCATATTATATAGATCTGATTATTGAATATCTTTCAATTTGAATATCCAGAGATAGTGAATCCTTTTTTCTCCACTTTCCCTTTCAAACAAGTTTGTCGATCTGACAGATAATCCACATGAATACCAGTACGTGTTGAAGATTCACGAAATTTAAAATATATTTTGTCCTGGAAGATAAAATTTGTATGTGTGGATTAGAACGTGTGATAATTATTAATGAAACTAAGGAATCACCAGACCAGCCGACCATAGATAACAATAACAAGACGATATCCTGTTTGTCATTCATATAGAATAAAATGCAGACTATTTTGTTTCTCCGAGAACATCTGAAAAATTGATATATACAGAACTATTTTGAGGATTAAAAGTTTATCTTAAACTGTGACTCAAACTAACGAATGATGGCTAACCTGTTACATGTACATTCCGTTTTACGGTGTTTTCAATATTTCTCTTCAAATAGACACTACTGGTACTTGTATATATAGATAAAATATAATCAAATGAAAGATGCATTGTATTAAAATGTTTTATTTTAAGTGGGCATTGCCGCCTTGGTTTGGGTGGTTGATTGGGTTAACGTGTGCCCACTAGATTACAAGGTTCGTTGTTACATGTGTGTCAAGTATTGTTGTTTCGACTCCCTTCTTGTACGTGACAAGGATTAGGGTCGCCTGTCCAACCTCGTGGGTTTTCTCCACGTCCTCTGTATTTCTCCCTCTTCTAAAGACCCCTAGGCACAAGCAAATTATTAAAATAAGATTGAACTATATGTTATGTTAGTCCCAAAATGAGCAGATATAGGTTCTATTGGTTTCAGATATCAGATGCCGACATCGAAACATTATCGGCCGATACAGATACAATTACCATTAGTGAAAAATATTACCCATCAAAATGCCTCGAATGTCATGATCATGTAGATACATCTCATTGTTTTTTGCGAAACGCAGGTATATTTTATCCTGGGAATCCAATACGAACACAATGTTTATTGAAGGAATAATTGAGTCATGCTTCCTATAAAGTTAAAAATACCCTTGATCTATTGAGAACTCAATTATTTGTTGGATGATTAATTAATAAAGTATGATCGAGATTATTGAATGTTGATGGCAATATTAGTCTCTAAATTTATCGACACCACTTCCTGAGTTCACAAAACATTCTCAGATTTAAGAATTTACTAGCATTTCAATCACTGTTTATGAGAAATATCTTTGATCCAGAAATCGGGTGACATTTTCTAAAAATAAGAGTTGAAAATACAACAATCTATTGGGAACTTGTTAGTTGTGTTATTAAATCACTAACTTTTTATCATCATCTGTGGATAAGGGCAGAACAGTAGGACGTTAAACCCCATTTCATTTTATTTCTGTGGATAAGGATTGTTTGTTCTTTTCTTTTTACGACCTCAGGTCACATGCACAGCAATTAGTGCCAAACAGTTTGTTCATAACTCAATATTTTGAAAGGTATTTACATAGTTCTTTTCAACAGATATTGTGGAATGACCAAATTTCAAATGATATTGTTTTCTATCGATCTAGGCCACTTATCGGCCAGGTACATTTACCAATGGTGGAACAGATAATCAGTTCATCACTAGCTGAAATAACGCTTTAGTTTAGGTCTTTAGATCTGGAATTAAATCTGGAATGTCCATTGCTAATGAATAGTTTCTGACATTTTCAAAAATGTTGATTAAAACTCTTAAAAAGAGAAATGTGTGCTGGACTACATGTATATGACATACAGGTACAAGCTGGACTACATGTATATGACATACAGGTACAAGCTGGACTACATGTATATGACATACAGGTACAAGAGAAATGTTTGCTGGACTAAATGACAGGTACAAGAGAAATGAAAGGTATGAGAGAAATGACAAGTATAAGAGCAATTGTGTCTGACATTGTCTGTGACAAGATTCCTTTATTTTAAACCAAATCAGAGATTTTGTCCTTTTCGTTGATAAATGTATGACTAAATGATTATTTATAGATTACGTTTTATAAATAGTTATGTAGGTATTTAATATAGTTATTATCCAGCTCTGATTTAAATCAAACTATTTATTTTGAACTGAATCAGAGATTTAGCTGGGGTTTTTTTTTAAATCTATGAATGGTTGATTATTTATGAGTATAGATGATTATTTATGAGTATATACTAATGTCCAAAAGAAAGTATACACTGTGCATTTTGTGCTGCATCAACCAAAGTCGTTTTTCATGGTATACGGTATTTGGGTAGAATGTCAGTTTGTTTGACATTTTTATTTTGCTTAGAAATGTTGAGTTTGAACGCAAGAGACAAACTCAGTAATGCTTTATCAGATGTTTTTAATCTAAACAAAACTTAGTCATACTTTTAGTGTGTATACTTCCTTTTGGACATCAGTATAGATGACTGTAAGGTAAAATACCAGATTAGCTTCTTTTTAAAGAAAATCAATAGTTAATTTGATGTTGAGATATGTGATTGTTGTACTACTGTAAGTGCTTTAAAAATGCGTTATGTAGGATCAAAATCGACCAATAGCAGGTTATGATTCTAATTTCGGGAGCCATGTTGGCTAAGCGGGTAAGAGGCGAGAAAGGTCATCTACATGTTGTTCAGATGGGACGCAAAACCGAAGTCCGTGTACACATTGGCCTGCAAGTAAAATATTCCTTGGATGTTGGAATTCAATAATGCAAAATTTCCCTCGTAGCAACCTGTACGGTGTATACCTGTGTCCATTAGCCCAGTCGGAGCAGAACAATGGGAAGTTAAACCTCATTTAATTTCATTTAATTCTAGCTTCAAATGTTATATAAACTATTATTTAGACATTTATTAATACGACAAGCCCATAATCAACTCTCTTGATAATCAGACGGCAGAGATTTCGAGGGATTAGATTCCCCGCAAGATTATAACAATTTAACGATAACATAGATAATCACGACTTAGTCTTGTTTGTCCAGTACCATTACTACGCTAATAAACAATCAACGCTAAATCTTCCAACACTCATAATATTGCTCAAAATAAAGTAATTTGAATCAAATTATCAATATATCCATTTTGGATTATCAATTTTTGATCTATTATTATAGCAAGAATGGTCAGATCTTTATCTAAATCTTATATAATGCATCTTTAACTATTGTGAGAATGTTATTTTGGGTGATAAATGAATGTTGTCGTTTATTATTATTAAAATGATATTTATACAGCGCTCATCTTCCATCGCAGAGCAATGCTCAGAGGCGCTTTACAAAAACATAAATTGAATCAATATAAAATTCAAATGTACATAAAAGTCTACATGATAAAATCACATACATATAGAGAATGACATTATTATATAATAAAATGCAAGATAAAAGTATCGGATTGGAATCGTAAAATGAACTAATTGTTGTATATTATAATACATGTATGCAGATTTTTTTAAAACTTCTATGAATTTAACCTCCATTATTTATAATATTTTTGAATAATGCCCTTTGTATCTCTATAAAATACAGATGTGACCTCATTCTTTGATGTTGGCATACATGTACCATTATTTCAAATGATACATGTACATTATTTATACTAGTTGAATTATTGGACCCGTGTTACATATTTCATTGAAATGGACGTGCTGGATTGTGTCTGTATTTGTTTAATGGTCTCGCTGTATCATAAGGCCTGTCATTGAGTCAACTGGCGTGGTTTCGAATCCCTGGTTGTACGTGACAAGGAGTGGGGTTGCCTGTCCAACCTCGTGGGTTTTCTCCGGGTCCTCCGGTTTCCTCCCACTGCTAAAGATCCCTACGGGCAAGCGAATTATTGAAATAAAATTAAACCATATGACCTAGTTTGTGTCGAGTGGACGTTAAACCCCATTTCTCTCTCTCTTTTGTTTAATGGTCTCATCGAAATATGCAGTAACGGTGAAACGCCTCTCATAAATTAAGAACACTGTATATTCATTACATGTAGCTTTGTGTAACAAAACTTGGATGATATGATGTACATGATCATATTATTGCCAATAATTCAACTGAATTACTTTTGTAAATATGTAAAATCGTTGTTGGTTATTTATTTGTCAAAGTTTTGAGTATTTTTTTTCATAACATTAATATTTACAAATATTGTCAGTTTACACAGAACAGAACTAACAGGTCTGTAAAATAAAAAACGTATTAATCAAATCCATCATTATTAGTCACCTTTAAACCACCCGGTTATAATTTCTTGTCTCTATGACGTCAGGATTTATCTTTTATTGTCACCAGCATACAATTTTCTTGTAAATAATACAATCATATTTATCTCCCCTGATTATCGACATGGGGATGCTGTATTGTCAGTCTATAACGTCCAGAATGGACAGAATTGTAATAGTGTGACTTGAAATTCAGTTGTCACAGTTCTGGCAGTCCCAACAACTGAGGTGGTGGGAGTAGAATCGTGACGTAATTAAAAACAACCAATGTTTCAGCAGTCGTGGTTGGTTGAGATATTTTCTTGTGCAGTCAACACATGGGTTGTATCCCGAAGTCCCCCCTTTTCACTCGATTGTTATTTTGGAGAGTGATAGAATTCATTCCGGAATGTTCAAGTATCTCCCATGTAAAATAAAATTCGTTTCCATTTTGTAACATGGGGCTGGTATTCGTTTCCATTCTGTGACATGGAGCTGGTATTCATTTCCATTCTGTGACATGGGGCTGGCCGGTATTCGTTTCCATTCTGAGACATGGGGCTTGTATTTGTTTCCATTCTGAGACATGGGGCTTGTATTCATTTTCATTTGAAGGATATTGATTCACCTGAGACCTACAATATCATGAAAGTAATTTTAGTCAAAAAATGGTTCACTTATGTTCGGTATTTATGAAGATTTGAATTGAACATTTTGTCGCAAAATGCATCTTTTTAACTGATTTAATCCAATGTTGAAATTTTGCTTTTATTAAATGTCAAATAATCAATTTGAACACATTTTAGCATTGATTAAGCCGTGGTGATTAGATATTGTCTATAAAATGGAAACGACCATGAGTGTCTTTTAAGATAGAGGGCGGTTGGATAACCGAAAGGTTAGCATGTGCAGGGCCCTGTCTCATAAGGTTTCAATTCCCCGGCTGTACGTGACAAGGAGTAGGGTCACCTGTCCAACCTCCGGTTTCCTCCCACTGTTAAAGATCCCTTCGTGCAAGGGAATTATTGAAATAAAATCGAACCATGTGTTAGTCCCGAAATGACCTATGTTGTGTCGAGTGGACGTTAAATTTATGAATTCTCGTGATATCATCCACAACCCTTTACAGTCTTGTAGCCTTTCATAGAATCCTCACATGAATAATAGACAATATTGTTACGTTTTCTATTAAAATTTTGTAAAAATTTGGTTTTGAAATTTATTGAATCTATAGAATCTGTTTACCTCAAATCAAGTATTAATTTCTATTTATCATTTTGTATGTCAGTGTAATTTATCATAAATTCGTTATCATTCAAGTTTTTGTGAATAAATATTTTGATTGAATTAGGTTATTGTGTTATTCCTGCTATTTCAATGCTCAAGTTTGGGTCATAGTTCTGGCATCCCTGCAAGTATGAGTTTGTTCACAGCAATACCTCAGTCATGGATTCTCTACATGTATCTGCAATTCCAGGGTCATCCAAGAGACTTTCTTAATCTGATTAGAATACAGATCTATATTTCAATTTGTTATTTTATACTTTTGATGGCCTACACTACATGAAGATCTGACAAGTTGTACTGGGAGGTCGCATCAGGGATCATACGAGCGGCTTTTGACCCGATGACGTTCGATATTGATTAATCAATCTGCTTTGATGTTTCTAAGGGTTTACCCACAGTTCTGTGTAGAGCAGGCCAAGAACTTGCCATAACAGACTGTTTCATTGACTAATTCCGCACATCATCCAGAACTTGTGTTATACAACTCTTCCAGATCCTAGTGTTGTGAAATTTTGAACTATAAAAAACGAAATGAAATAGAAATCAGATTGATTTATTAGGAGATAATCCAGAATGTGACGCCAGCAAGATCCTGTTGTTGTTGATTTTCCAATGTGGTTATCCCCCTTGTAAGTAGTGGGCAGGACAGACAATCTGGGCATCTTAATCGTTCGGGACGAAAAACTGAGTTCTTGTGTATACATTGGCGTGAACGTGAAAGATCCCTTGACAGTTGGAGTTTGCAAGAAGAGGACTTGTAGGCTGCTGGTCTGCTGTACATGCAAAAACACCCTCATAGCCATATTCCTTAAGCAATGGTGCTAGAAATCCCTTTCTAGGTCTAATCAAATGAAACACTGCGAGGAGTATGCCTCATAGCACATTACACAAAAAGTAAAGATACCATTTTATCAGTTGACAAGATGTTAACACCAGAATCATGAACAAACGAGTTCATACAAAATATTGTCTTTTTATTCAAATTACAAAAGATCACATTCTACATAACAATTAACAATATTTAAAAGTTTAAAATCAATGATTATTGAAAAGCAATGAGTAGGAACAAAAAGATGAGCATTGACAACTATGACTGAATAGAAATGAAATGTTTAATGGCACGTCAGCTCCAAACGGACTATATTGTGACAACTATGACTGAATAGAGAATCGTAGAAACAAAGTTTGATTAAAATTCAGTAATAGGAATTCTTGAATTAACCTCTCTCAACTTCTTTTACCACCATTTAATTGTTAAGTCTACTTGATGTTCAATTCTCTGAATGTTCACGGAAGTCTGGGTGTTTTTCAGGAAATACAGTGTATTTTGTAGTTAGATTGAGTGTGTCGACTTTCCATATATACCATCCTTTATTGGAAATAACTACCCTTTAAATACTTTTGTGGGAATGTATCTTTAAGGTATCAAAGAATAGATCTCTGTGCCCTTTAAACAGCTTATACTGTTACTAAATGCATTTACAAATTCAAAAATCTTAAACAGGTTTTCCATGAACGCGTTTTTGTGATGTTTCTGTGTGCGTTTTCACTGGTTACATGGAAACAGTCCCAATAAATTTGTATTAGACCAACGTTTTCGCCGGGCGAAATGTACACAAGGAAAACAGGCTTTAGGGGGTAGGCTAGCACGTTAATAATTCAACAAAAAATTGAGGTATATAGCTTTTAATCAAATTTATATAAAACAAGGCGTAGCTTATCCAGTCAATGATAAAACAAAGATGTAAAATATGTTTTAATTTATGAAGTATACAAAACATCGCAAGCCGTAATAAACAGTTCAGCAGTATGTTTTGACAAATAAACTTTGTAACATATATATTTCATATACTTTTGGCATATAATGTATATACACATATCAGAACAGAAACATGGTTACAATAAAAACAATTTAATTAAAACACAGATCCTATTTTGTAGCCCCGCAACGATAACTAATAAAAAAATTAGTGCATACACGCCCATAACCTAATAGAGTTATTTTTAAGCCCTCGTTAGTTTAGAAAACTTTAAACTTAAAGTTCAAAAGGGTAAGGAGACTTGAGTCAATGCAAATAAGCATAATCATGAAGGCAAATTTCTTAGCCAAAAAACTTTGCACACTTTTCGGAATAATCGACTCTGGTAATGATTGACTCCGGTCCATCTGTGACATCACATGTGCTCCGGTGCCCACCGACACCATATATAGAGGGCCACCGCACATCCTCATTTAAGCCTGAAGAGTTCGAATAAGAACGAAACTAGTAGCTGAGAGAAATCTGAAAAGGCTGTTCGCCTACTTACAGATTTTTTACATTTTTTATAGTTCAAAATTTCGTTTTACTTGTCTTCACAACACTAAGATCTGGAAGAGTTGTTAAATAACAGGCGTTCCAGTTGATGTGAGGAATTAACCAATGAAACGTTCTATTACAGCGAGTTCTTGGCATGCCATGCACAGAACTGTGGGTAAACCACTAGAAACTTCAACACTGATTAATCAATGTCTGACATCATAGGGTCAAAAAACGCTCGTACAGTACAAACGCTCAGATCTTCATGTAGTGTAGGTCATCGAATGTATAAAAAACGGAACGAAATATAGATCTGTATTTTAATCAGATTGCAATAAAAAAGAAAAAAACAATGACATTTACAATAAGACATTAAAGTAGGTGGACCTCTTTTATTTAGGTGTAAGTGATGAAATAGGTAGATCTGATGAATTATTTTGAGAGAAGACAGAGAGGGGGAGAGAAATGGGGTTTAACGTCCACTCGACGGGTAAAGTTTAGCAGTGGGAGGAAACCGGAGGACCTGGAGAAAACCCATGAGGTTGGACAGGCGACCCTAATCCTTGTTACATCGAAACTATGCCACAATTTGAGCACATCTGGTCATAATGACAGTTGGATGAAACCAGACCACACTACTATTTGCAGGAATATTATTACGATTTTAAACTGGTGAATTTTATATTGAACAATGAATCTCTAAAATGAATACCAATTGAAAAGTGGTTCAATATAAAAAAAAAACTGTACTCTATAGATGATATAAACAAGCCACCTAAAAGTGCTGGGTTAAACCCTTAATCTGATTAAACACAGATCCTATATCGTTTCGTTTTTTATAGTTACCTGTGATCTGGAAGAGTTGTTATATAACAGGAGTTCTAGTTGATGTAAGGAATTAGACAATGAAACGGTCTGTTACAGAAAGTTCTTGGCATGCTCTGCACGGAACTGTGGGTAAACCCCTAGAAACGTCAACACTGATTGATTAATCAAGCTGTTTGTATGACCCTGATTTGACCTTCCAGTACAACTGGTCAGATCTTCATGTAGTGTAGGCCATCGAAAGTATAAAAAAACCGAAACGAAATATAGATCTGTATTTTAATCAGATTGGTTAAACTATTTGGATGGGTCCCTTTTCAATCTGTTGGAATCGAAGTCTGGAGATTATGTATTGGATTTAACGCAAAAATGGATAATCGAGACTTTGTTAATTATCGTGATAGCGGTAACAATGATAATCAAGGCTACATTGATTTTTAAAATAAGGGTTTCTCGACTTTGAGTGAAGCAATTTGACTAAAATGTTTAGCATATGTCTTATATTATCTAGTTTTTAACCGCCAGCTCTTTATCTGCTGTTCAACGTCTGTTCGTGATTAAACGCAAAAATGGATAATCGAGACATTGGTTAATCAAGACTACAGTGATTTTTAAAATATGGTTTTCTCCGCTTAGAGTGAAGCAATTTGACTCAGGATCGACGACTGTCACTTAAAGCAGTTTCCTGGAAATAAAACTCGTAACAGGCAATGGAATAAGCATGAGGTTCCTATTGTTTATATCTGAGTATGAAATCAGCCATTATTACATTATATTAATATCAAGTAAGATTTGTAGAACATCTGTCATCTACTTTATAATTTAATAATTTAATTAGAGATGCTCTTAAAGTCTAGCTCACTGTACATGCTACCATGGGCAGACTATGGGGTAAATTTTAGTAAACCTGTGCGTGAGACTTTCGCGTCCCTAGGCTTAAATTAGAGATGCTCCTAAATTAGACTTTGGTCCTGAAAGTTAACCCTTTAGCTCTTTGTACATGTAAATATAGACTACCCCCAGTTAACCCTTTAAGACTGGGTACATGTTAACATTGACTACCCTTAAAAATTTAAGAGAAAAGTTTGTTTTGCTTTTTTTAATTGAGTTTTGTAGTTCTGAAACTACCGATGCACAGAGTGTCTCAAACAACCATTGTCACTGAACCATGATACAGTCTTTAAATAATTCACAGCTATTAATGTGACTCGGACGCTAGAGGCGCTAGCGAGACTAGTTTCGAACCATGAACCATCAGAGTTAAGATGGTTCTCATTCAAGTTTTACAAGAGATCATCCTTGCTCTAATTATAATATTGATTACGATAAATTATTGATTTTCAATATTTTCTATCTGAGAAATAAAAAAAAATATGTGATGAAAACTCGTTAATTTGAGTTGAGCATCTGGTGTTGTATGTCTAACTATTGTATAAATGCTGATATATATATATAGGTAGAAATCATTCTAATATTGCCACAGTCTATTTTTAGGCCAGTTGGGGAGGTCAGAGAGAGAGAGAGAGAGAGAAATGGGGTTTAACGTCCACTCAACACAAACTAGGTCATTTTGAGACTAACATATAGAAGGCGACCCTACTCCTTGTCATGTACAAGCGAGAATCGAAACCACATCAGCTGACTCAATGACAGACCTTATGATGCACATGTTAAAGCAATCGGCTATCCTATCCCCCGGGGAGGTTGGAAACTCTCAAACACCGAGTTATATACCACAAGGGTTAGCGTTTGGGTTACGTAACCCTAGTCCAGAATTCCTGACAGATGAATTTACCGTGCGCATATGACCTCCCCCCCTCAACTGGCATTAAAATATAGAATGAGCAAGGGAAAGAACTCTGATTGACTATTTTACATGTTTGATGGTTTCTCTACATCTAGCACTAAACATTCTTTGACATGTTCCGGTATTCTTTCGGCATACCATTTATGATTACTAAGGGTAGCTAATACACCTCCAGAATTTCGTTTCTGTACACCTTTATGGTACTTTATTGGATTTCCGTGCATGTCTGTCAGGGTTCCACCGACGGCATGAAGGACAGCTTCTGGTGCACATGTATCCCATTTCTTACAACCAGGACTACCAAATACGTAAGCATGTACTTTACCTTCTATTAATAGTAACACCTTCAAAATAAAAACATAAATAACTTAAAATAAATTTAAATTCCCGAAGCCCCATTTTAAGCAATAAGAATCCCATGTACGCTACAATATTGTGATAGTTTATTCTATAAAGGAGTATCAGTTTCATTCTGGTTGAATTCTGATCAGTTTTTACAATTGAGAGTTTGAGGAATCTCTTAGAATAGAATGAAAAATTATTTTATGAGGTAAACAATTTTAACATGAAACAAATTACCTGACGTCTCTTACAAATTATATAATATAATATTGTGAAATATTTTATGAGGTAAAAATTTTAACATGAAACAGATTGCCTAGTGTCTCTGATCCTCATCAGAAGGTTTGAGGAATCCCTTATAAACTACAATATTGTTAAAGTTGAATCTCTAAACAGAATATCAGTCCAAAAATGGTTCCATTCCTTTCAGTATTTACAAAGATATGATAAATTGAAATTTCATTGATCTATGCAATATGCCCCCCGCTATTTTGTTGTTCAAATAAATTTAATAATAGGCCTGTTTAAATCCGTTTGAATCCAAGCCGAGACATTATCTGGCGTTGGTATTTTGGTTTGATTTTCTTAATTAAATATTATATAACCATTTCAATCAATATTCATGTAATTATCTAATCGTGAAAATATGGGATCCTATTATCAACGAGGCGTTTACAGATATAAAGAAAGAGAAGAGAGAGAGAGTTTAACGTCCACTCGTAATTTCGGGACTAACATATGGTTAAATTGATTTCAATAATTCGCTTGCATGTAGGGGTCTTTAGCAGTGGTAGGAAACCAGTGAACCCGGAGGAAAACCCACAAGGCTGGACAGGCGACCCTACGCCTTGTCACGTCCAACCGGGGAATCGAAACCGCACCAGTTGACTCAATGACAGACCTTATGAGACAGTGCGCACGTGCTAACCATTCGGTCCTCCAAACCCCCCACAGATATAAAGGTTTCAAGTGCCATTTGTAACGAACAAAGGAAAACATATCCCAGAAGACAATGTAGTTCAGTTTGGAATGTTGATGTATTGATTAGACATTACAATATGTTGATGTATTGATTAGACATTACAATATGATTAGACATTACAATATGTTGATGTATTGATTAGACATTACAATATGTTTTTTAAAAATAAATTGAATATAAATCACTTTAGATGGCTAGATCTATTTGTTAAGGCCACCTCTATGTTTTTTCAAGGTCGCTGAGATGTCAATAAGGTTAGAGCACGTGATTGTTGACAAGATTGTAGGTTAGGGTTAGGGTAAGAGTTAGGGCTAGGTCCAGGGTTAGGGTTGGGGTTAGCACTAGCCCTTTCTACATCTCATGACCTGGCCTTATGAAATAGATTTAACCTATTTAGACCCATTTTCATCTATTTTAAGGTTCCATAGAATAGAGTTATGTGCCCTTTAGGCGAATGACATTGGGGTGCTCAATTGTCAGTTCGGAACGTCCCGAATTGACAGGACTGCAATCAAGTGATACGGAACTTAGCCATGTCACAGTTCTGCCAGTCCAAACAGCTGAGGTGGTTTGAATAGAATCAAGACGTAATTTAAGTAACAAGTATGTTTCAGCTGCCTTGATTGCTCGAGATATTTTTATGCAGTCGGCACATGCGTTGTACTCCGAAATTCTCCTTTCGCTCGATTGACACTATTTTTGGAATTGAGAGAATTTAATTCTAAAACATTCAATTGCATATCCCTAGTATGTATGTATAAACTGACCTTATGACCTGCTCCACCAACTCGAACTATTTCAGTAGGTTGACAAGCTTCAACAGATTCCGTGACGATTCTATTTGAATGTGATCTAGTTGTTGTTATAATATTCTGACCTTCTGGTGGCGTCGTCTTCGTAAAACCAAAACTACCTGTAACAGAGACAGGAAACATTAGATGGGACAGAAAACCCAGGTGTCATGTACACATACACCTGAATGTAAAGGAACCCTTGACAGTTGAAATTTGATGAAATAATGCTGCTATCCGGGCAAAATTACCCTCGAAGCACACTGCATGCCGTATGCCCATCTTCAATAGCCCGGTTAATTTAACAACAATGCAATACAGCCTATTTTATATCACATCCGTATCTATCTGTGACAATTCTATATATATCACGCTGGCTCGCTAGCCTGGAGGACGGGGGTTCGATCCCTGCATTGGCCGAGAAAGTTCATCCAGGTTTTCCGACGTGGTTCCCCCTTGTAAGTGATGCAGGACGGAGGGCCGAAAAACCGAGGTCCTGTGTCCACATTGGTATGCACATAAAAGATCCCTTGGCAGTTGGAATTCGATATAAGAGTAGGCCATAGTGCCGCTGCCCAGGCAAAATTTCCCTCATAGCACACTATATGGCGTATGCTCGTCTTCATTAGCCCAGTATAGGAGCAGAACAGTAGGACGTTAAACCCTCATTTCATTTCATTTCATTTTATATATATCAACCAATTTTGAACTCAGCCAACGAAACAGCTGCATTCTTGAAGTATTTAAAGTTTTCTTGCATCTTGGACCAGGACTGGAAGAATGATATTTTCCTGTCTTACCTAAACCTACAACACCCCAAATACATCTTCCTCTCTTGACTTCTGGTGGTGCTTGATAATTATAATATGGCTGATAGATTACACCCCCTACAGCTGTTCCTTTTACTGCTACTCCTATTAACACTGTTACATGATCTAAAAATCCTGAAAAATAAAAAAATAATGTCCTAGTTTACTATCTGAACCAGGAACAACCTATCATGTCATTTCAGCCATCTTGGAGACGAAAAAAACAAGGTCCCGTGTACATATTGGCGTGCACGTAAAAGATCCCTTGGCAGATGGAATTCGATATAACTTAAGAGTAGACCATAGTGCCGCTGCCTGGGCAAAATTTCCCTCATAGCACACCGTATGACCTATGCCCGTCTTCATTAGCCCAGTCGCAGCAGAACAGTAGGACGTTAAACCCCATTTCATTTCAGCCATCATGGAACTGTGACATCATATGAAAATGCACAATTTTCTTTGAAGTTTCATGTTGAACCTACTCACCTCTATCGTGTTCGCTAGCCAATTGTTGACGGACGGACAGACTGACTGGAGGACAGAATGACAACTATATACACCTAAACTATATACAAGCCTATTAACAATAGAAAACACCATACCTTGTGTATATTCAGCTGTTCCATCTAATGGATCAACCCAAATTACAACCTATAAACAGATAAAAATAACAAGTTTAATGTGTGTGACCATTGATGAACAGATAAAAATAACAAGTTTAATGTGTGTGACCATTGATGTATAGGAAATGGTTTGTCTTCTTTCAAGAGGTGACAAGGAAAGTTGGCCTAATCGTTTGAATAAAACCCAGGTCTACCCGCGCGTACAAATTGGTTTGAGCATCAAATAAAACAATTAGCTGAAATGTAGAAATGGAGAGAGAGAGAGAGAGAGAGAGAAATGGGGTTTAAGGTCCACTCAACACAAACTAGGTCATTTCAGGACAAACATATGGTTCAATTTTATTTCAATAATTTGCCTGTGCATAGGGAGGGGTCTTTATCAGTGGGAGGAAACTGGAGGACCCAGAGAAAACCCAGGAGGATGGACAGGCGACCCTACTCCTTGTCACATACAACCAGAGAATCAAAACCACACCAGTTGACTCAATCACAGACATTATGATACAATGCACCATCCAACTCCCCATGTAGAAATGCAGCTACCTTGCATTGCACACATAATCATAGAAATAAAAATTGCCATTTGTCTGTCATAAAATGACTGAAGTACAGTATTAGAGTAGAGTTTTTCATACTACACGATTAATTCGTACATATTGTTCGACATTTTAAACGTACTAACCTCGTCATCTTGAACATTTTAAACGTACTAACCTCGTCATCTTGAACATACTAACCTCGTCATCCTGAACATTTTAAACGTACTAACCTCGTCATCTTGAACATTTTAAACGTACTAACCTCATCATCTTGAACATTTTAAAGATACTAACATCGTCATCTTGAACATTTTAAACGTACTAACCTCGTCATCTTGAACATTTTAAACATACTAACCTCATCATCTTGAACATTTTAAACATACTAACCTCGTCATCCTGAACATTTTAAACGTACTAACCTCGTCATCTTGAACATTTTAAACATACTAACCTCGTCATCTTGAACATTTTAAACATACTAACCTCATCATCTTAAACATTTTAAACATACTAACCTCGTCATCTTGAACATTTTTAACGTACTAACCTCGTCATCTTGAACATTTTAAACGTACTAACCTCGTCTTCTTGAACATTTTAACCATACTAACCTCATCATCTTGAACATTTTAAACATACTAACCTCATCATCTTGAACATTTTAAACATACTAACCTCATCATCTTGAACATTTTAAACATACTAACCTCGTCATCTTGAACATTTTTTAAATAATCTGGACATGGTTTACTTAAAACTTCTGGATCTGTTTCTGTTTCCACAAATTCTGGTTCTACTTTCTCTGTGGGATCTAATTCCTGTTAATATACAACAATATATCATTGTTAATATACAACAATATCTCATTGTTAATATACAACAATATCTCTTGTTAATATACAACAATATCTCATTGTTAATATACAACAATATCTCATTGTTAGTATACAACAATATATCATTTTTAGTATACAACAATATCTCATTGTTAATATACAACAATATCTCTTGTTAATATACAACAATATCTTCTGTTAATATACAACAATATCTCATTGTTAGTATACAACAATATCTCATTGTTAGTATACAACAATATCTCATTGTTAATATACAACAATATCTCATTGTTAATATACAACAATATCTCATGTTAATATACAACAATATCGCCTGTTAATATACAACAATATCTCATTGTTAATATACAACAATATCTCATTGTTAATATACAACAATATCTCATTGTTAATATACAACAATATCTCATTGTTAATAAACTATACACATACTTATGCCTCTTAAAGATTATCTCATTGTCAGTGGTAAATTTAGGAGGTGTGAACTGTGAGGTTCCTTGTTCATTATAATATAATGTTCTTATACCCTTTGATCCATTAAACAAACATTATGTAAGATTTAGATAAAGAGCTGATCATTCATGCTATAATAGCTAAAAAATAGATAATGTAAAATGAATATATTGAAAATTTCATTCAAATTATTTCATTCTGAGCGAAGACAGTTTGTAGTTTTGACAAGATGTGTACATTGATTGTTTATTATCGTAACCACGATACTGGTATATTCAAGTCTTAACCTTGCATCTCCATTTTTAAATTGAATCATTAAATGTCTGAACCATTCTATATCAAGTTAAAATTTCGAGCATCCGATTCCATCGAGAGTTGATTATGGTCTTGTCATGTTAATTAATGTGTAATTAATAATTTATATAAAATTTAAGTCCTAAAAAAAGACCCGCAATAGGCACATTTAGCTGTTGAATAAAATATGTTTAATACATTTACATATCTCGTACAATGTTGAAACTATCAGGTTCTAGTTCAGTATGACATAAGATCATTATTACCAGGGCAGTGTGTTGTCAATTTCAATGTTCACCTAGATTTCATGTCAAACATATGAAGGTCAAATATTACAAAGCAAAATTTGTTTTTTGGGGGATGATATTTTTTTCATGTTTAAACTGCTGAATCATGTATAGGTATATAGCGTGTAACTATATGATATAAACCTTCTTCAAACATGTCTCATATGATGAATAAATAAGATCATTGGTGAAAATACCTGTAGCGTCCTGCGCATCCTTGTCCCATTATTCATTTATACGTTACTTGTCAGCACTAACTGGGCTCATGAATACCCATGTTCCTGAAGCAACAACTGCGAGTTTCACAACATCTGGCCGTTGCTAGATTAATTAACAATTCCCGAACTTATATCTATGTTATCTACACACACATGAGCAGTAGTGTCCAATCAGAGGTTGTGATATCGCGACCTCCATAGAAACCTTGACATTGAATGAACCTGGAACATTGCAACTCGATTATCACAGGTAGACATTTTAGCTTGAAAGCGCGAGATTTGGTATTCGCGACGATCAAGGAATCTGATAGGCTCACAAGTTGGGCTTGTACCCAATCAAAATTAGTGCTGAAATATGCAGGGTATTACGTGAAGGCCTTGATAAGATGTACGTAGTTAAAGTGAGATCAAGCCTTCTATTGAAGATGATGAATACCAGGTATACGTCATAAACTGTGCAATGAGGGTAATTTTACCTGGACGATGGCGGCAGGTCTGCCTACTCTACATAGAATTCCAATCGTCCAGGATTCTTTTACAGGCAAGCCAACGTGAACACAGGTCCTCAGTTTTTTGTCCCATCCAAACGACTAGACACTGTTTTTAGAATAAGGAACTCTGTCCTGCACCTCTGACCGGATGAAACCATGTTTTAAAGGCCTAAGGTACTTTGTCTACCAAGAACAGGATCGAATCAGAGACCACCAGGTAAAATAGTCAAGGTCTTACTCATAGAGCCACCGTGGCTCAAGTTTCCTCAAGGCTATTGCAATTCAAGTCATTTGTTCCACGCATTGTGCTGAGTTGTTAGTGAGTGAGAGAGAGAGAAAGAGAGGGGTAACTTCAACTCGACACAAATTAGGCCATTTCGGGACTAACACATGGTTCAATTTTATTTCAATAATGCCCTTGCACGTAGGGGTCTTTAGCCATCCAAACCTCCTGAGTTGTTAGTGAGTTTTCAAAGGACAAAATCTAATACATGTACAAACTAATAAAATAACTACACATACCAATGGCTATCATTTGAGGGGATCACGGTGGCTAGGTGGGTAAGATGCTGGCTCGCTAGCCTGGAGGTTGGGTGTTTGATCCCTGCATTGGCTCGGAAAGTTCATCCAGATTTTCCGGCGTGGTTCCCCCTTGTCAGTGATGCAGGACGGAGGGCCTGACAAGGACAGCTGTTTAGTCATTCGGATGGGACGAAAAACTGAGGTCTCATGTATACATTGGCATGCACGTAAAAGATCCATTGACAGTTGGAAATTGATATAAAAGTAAAACGTAGTGCCGCTGTCCGGGCAAAATTTCACTCAGAACAGTAGGCTGTTAAAACCCACTTCATTTCATTCATATACGGAACAACATCTTTAGTGATGGGACAACATCTTTAATGACGGTACAACATCTTTAACGATCTAAAATAAAATATTAATAAAGTGTAGACTAAACTTACTTCTTCACCAAATATAGAAACTTTAGGAAACTGTCTGTGAAGTGATGCTATGATACATCTCTGAGCTGATCTATCTGCTTCTGTCTGAAAATCATTTTTACCCTGAAAAAAAAAAAAAATCTAATTGGAAGATTTAGATAAAGAGCTAGACCTACTTGCTATAATAGTTCAAAAATAGATAATGTAAAATAATGTAAATGTCATTCAAATGACTTTATTCTTATTGAGAGAAGTTTGATTTTTGACCATAAAAAATGTAAATATGTCTAGATTGTCAAGTAATTACCATAGCTACGATTACTATCTTTTAAAGTTGAATTAACAAGTGTCAAATGGTCTCAGCCATTCGATATGTCAGTCATCCAATGGTCTCGAGAGTTGATTAGGAGTTTGTCATGTCAATTAATGTTTAATTGATAATTTATAAGCTTAAAACATTTGAAGCTAGAAAAAAGGCAGATTTGCAATAGACAAATTTAGCTCTTGTATAATAAATCGTTAAAGAGTCATTATCATGATTATCAAAGCTTGTTGGTTAAATGATTATGTTTATTAATAGGTGTTCAAATCTTTATTCTTGATTTCCTTACGCCTTGCATCCTCGTTTATCAACTTTAGTGACTGCTAAATTACGATAATATAAATTATTTAGATTTATTGATATTCACTTTGACTATTTATTAATTTATTTCTTTGTAGTCACTAAAAGTAGTAAGGGACATCCGGGCCCTTGGACAAGCAACTTGGCAAGGGACAGTTGGGGGCGGGGGGAGGGGGGATAATGGCATGCATGATCACTGGCTGCACTCATCATGATTGTAGCGTTACAGGTCCGGACTAAGCACCGATTACACCGAATACCCTGATGGTGACAACAGCCTCAAAAGGAACAGGGACGGCCCAGGGTTCCATGGTACCAAGGCCGGGCAGGTGGCTTATAGTTCATAATTCACCAATTTTTTTCAAAAAAAGTGAACTGACAGAATCTAATTCCAATCCTACCACCCTGGCCGCCACTATGTACCCACATGCAGAAAAGTCACTGTTTGTTTTTTTCTACTTTACGATCCAGTGAACTAAAACATTGTATTCTTTTTATTAATTTATGCCAACAATTTTCTTTTGAAATTGTACTCAGCATAACTCTTGGCTACAAATGTCGTACCGTTAAACTGTGTTTAACGCTACAATTTATACATTCTAAGACTCCTTACGCAAGTACAAATAAGTTCAAACGCACAATTATCAACGCATATCATTATAGTTTGTATTGAAATAAGTAATTCTATCACAAATAGTGGAGACTGGGCCACTAAAATAGTTACCGAACAGCTTTTTATTTGTGGTAATTATGCGTTCTACATTTTCAAAGCGACATTTCTTTTAATGTAAGCTGCCATGACACCAGCCTGATGATATCTCGCCAAATTTCGCATAACAGTTGGGTTTCATTAAATCATATAATTATGCGGTAAGACTTACCTTTATTTCAATGGGAATTGGTTTATTATATGTTAAGCTATGTGCAGTACAGTTTGGGGTCATTTTATGTGTAAATTAAGGGGGCTATAGGCCAGTAACCTTTTTGTAGTCATTTGACTAAAAAACTTGCGCAAAGGAACTCCGTAAGATGAGCCACTACTGTGGCTGGAGTAAGGCGGAAGACATCAGTAGTGGAACCATTTCTACATAACTCTGGGCACCCTTCTAGGCTCTGGGCCCCAGGACAAGTGGCCCAGATGTCCTCCCCCACCCCACCCCACCCCTCACGGGCACTGATTGCACTTCCAGTTTAAAGTTGCAATTTCATATTTTTAAGTTATATTTTTAAAATTTATTGAAATAAAGCCTTAAAATAGATGGTATCTATAAACAGTCCTACCTTGTTAAAGAATAATCCTATTAATCCTATAATTCACTATTGCCAGTTGAGTAATTGGCAAAAATATCATTTTCATCTTCAAATTCCAACGTTTGAAGATAACTACTCCATGGTGGAGAATAGAAAACAAGGGAGGTAATTGGGGGTAATTGTGTTATTATTTCCGGTGTAAATGAGTTTTAAGTGTGAGAATGACACCTATGATCGTATAATAGTGAGTTGACAACCTATTGAGCAAAAGACATAGAAATAATTATGTTTTGACTTTCTTAGAAAATATGAAATTGTAACTTTAATGAGGATAGACAGGAACGGTCAGAAATCCAGGAGACCGTTTTGAAAGGAACTAACATCAAACATATTTTCAGGTAAGCATACCCTACCCAGTGCATGTCAGCTGCCACACAAAATATCAAATGTTGATAAGTCTTAGTCGACATAACACAAATTTTGCAAGATTATCATAAATCAAAATGTTTCTATTATTATCCAGGCAGTCACTGACTGAGTCAGCAGTAGTAGACTTTTTTTATATTTTAATTCTTCTATTTAATGAGAAAAATGTAAATATTATTGACAAAAACAGACCTTTTCCACAATACCAAGTTTTCCCTTTTCCATGACATCTCTGACAATTCTTCCAGCTCTGTGTGAAACTGCCACAGAAGCAGAAACAATCCGCATAACAAGTGGAGACACAGCCGATCCAGCCATCTTAATATTTCTAGGTTACAAGATAACAGTGATGTCGTAAATTATTTATATATCCCATTTACGACATAAAACACGCACCTGTTACGCATGCGCCGTAACATACTTCCGATGAAAACACGAAAGCTGACACGAAGACGTGTTTGACAGTCTAATCGCGTTGAATTATTGATAAAATAACTCATTCCTTCACTGATTCTAACTGAAATGACAAGATGTGGTCTTTCTTTAGTCGAGATCCCACTAAAGACTTTAATTATGAAATCGGAGAGCCCGTTGCTGGCTTAGAGGGGAAGAGTATTTGGACACTTTATAATGGAAAGAAGAAGGTGGATTGTTGTTAGATTATTTGTTTACAAACTTTAACATATACATGTATTGAATTAAATGGTGACAGTGTGCTATTTTTACTCAGTGGTGCCACCACCATACAGGGTTTAATATCAGCTCTTCTTCTCTTCTTGTTAGGGTTAGGGTTACAGTGGTTAAGTGGGTAAGATGCTGGCTCGCTAGCCTGGAGATCTGGTGTTTGATCATTCATTGGCAGAGAAAGTTTGTCAGGATTTTCCGGTGTGGTTTCCCCTTGTCAGTGTACACATTGGCGTGCACGTAAAAGATCCCAGGACAGTTTGAATTTGATATAAGATAAGAGTTGGCCGTAGTTCCGCTGTCCGAGCAAAATTTCCCTCATAGAGCACTGTATGGCGTACGCCCATCTTCATTAGCCCAGTTTGGAGCATAACAGTAGGACGTTAAACCCTATTTCATTTCATTTTTTAGTCATCACTGGAATCAAACATGTTACAATCAAGTTTCCTATAATCATTGGTGTTATTCTAGCCGATACGTAATTAAATGTATTTAAGTGTGAAACATAGACATCATTGAATTGAAAAACCAATCAAAGTAGATTAAATTGATTAATCATAAATAATGACTTTTCTCTTTTCTTTTATGCAGTGTTAAAATATAATAAAAAAGGCCGTAGCTTGTTACGACGATTCGTAAGAATTATCAATGGACTATTCTTACGACATGATGGAAGTTCTGGTAGCACATGCACATGTTATAAAATGTTGGACTTGCAGTTTACAAGAGGAGATGTCGCAAGAATAGGCAATGCTTTATCTTTACGATGAGATCATTGTAAGAATAGCCTGTCTCCTATTCTTATGACGATCTCGCCGCAAAGATAAAGCATTACCTATTCTTAATACATCCCCTCTTGTAAACTGCAAGTCCAACAGTTGCGCATGCGCTACCGGAACTTCCACCATGTCGTAAGAATAGTCCATTAATAATTCTTATGAATTGTCGTAACAATAGCCACAGCATAAAAAATAGGGGACTTCAGACAAATAATACTAATGAATGTTACTGGGATATTTTTTCTATTGTGAAACTTTTCTTTTCCAGGCAACAGGTGAACGGGTCTCTATTTTTATGTTTGATGTGAAATCAGCCAGTGAATCACAGGTATACAATTTTATGATTAAACATATGCAATTGTAGCTTAATCTGTCTATTGCAGGTCTTTTTTTAGGCCTGAAATGTTATATAAATTATTAATTAGACATTAATTAAGACGACAAGACCTTAATCAACTCTCAATGGCATCAGATTTCTCTGATATTAAATAGATTAGAAAGGTTTAGCCATATTTTGAATTTGATTTAAAAATGGAGGAGCGAGCCTTAACTTTGAACAACCAGTGCGGTGGTTGAAATTATTGCACACGTCTTGTCAAACCTTCAAAGGCTAATATCTTCGCTCGCAATAGAGTAATTTGAATGAAATTTTCAAATTATTCATTTTACATTATCTATTTTTGAACTATTGTAGCAAGAATGGCTAGCTCTTTATCTAAATCTTACATAATGTATCTTTAAATGAAAAAAAAATAATGTTCTAAAATATTTCAGTAATATGCCACACTAGAAGCTGTCAATTTATATATGAATATCTCATCTTACCTACAGTTTGTGAGTAAATTATTAATTCTTATAACTCACAAAGAAGATCACATTTTAAGACGTCTGTTTTCCTTTTCAGTTAATGGTAGCAAAAGGAGCCTTTAAAAGAATCAAAACTTTACGACATCCAAATTTTCTCACATTTCTAGATGGGATAGAGGTAATGATAATAAATGATTTATTTATTTTTTATGAATGGTTGTTTTAGGTGACCTCACACATAAGAATTATTGCACATTCTACTCGATGTATGGGGGTTTGGGTGGCCAAATGGTTAACACGCGTGTGTTAAATCATAAGGTCTGTTATTGAGTCAGGTGGCATGGTCTTGATTCACCACTGGTTTCCACCCACGGCTAAAGACTGCTATGAAATAAAATTAAACCATATCTTAGTCCCGAAATGACCTAGTTTGTGTTGAGTGGATGTTAATCTCTCTCTCTCTCTCTCTCTCTCTCTCTCTCTCTCTCACTCTCTCTCTCTCTCTCTGTAATTGGCACAGTAGTAATGGGGCCATAGTAGATCTAGAGAATGTTTATCAGAATGGAGGGCCTGGCAAGGATAAATGTCTAGTGTTTCAGATGGGACAGAAAATTGAGGTCGTCATGTATAAAACATTTGCAGTATGTTAAAAATGACCTGACAGTTGGAAGTTGACTCTGTATTAAACTCCATGGTAACGATGACCTGACAGTTGGAAGTTGACTCTGTATTAAACTCCATGGTAACGATGACCTGACAGTTGGAAGTTGACTCTGTATTAAACTCCATGGTAACGATGACCAGACAGTTGGAAGTTGACTCTGTATTAAACTCCATGGTAATGATGACCTGACAGTTGGAAGTTGACTCTGTATTAAACTCCATGGTAACGATGAGCATGAATCAGGATCATATTTCAACAATCTTGAAATAAATAAAGGACCCATAAATGTCATTTTTGCAGCAGATATTTTTAGCTACCATAGAATAATAATGAACATTTATAGAGTGCCAACATCCAGCTGGATTAGCTGCTCTGATGCACTGTTGCAATATTCATACTAGCCGGAGAAAAAAAAAAGAAAATTAAATAATGTCATAATTTCTATTTGTTTTTCTCAAATGTTCATTGAGTATTTGTTTTATTGCAGACAGAGAAAGTGCTGTATATAGCCACAGAATGGGTGACACCTTTAGAAACCTATTTACAGAATGACGATGGGGATAGAAAAAATGAATTAGCAATATCCTGGGGACTTCATCAAATTATTGTAAGTTTTATATGAAATGACGGTTAGAGTCCTACTTTTCTACTCCTACTTGGCTAATGACGACGGGCATACGCCATACAGTGTGATATGTGGATAATTTTGCTTGGACAGCGACAGTACAGCCCACTCTTCTTTTATTGAATTCTTTTATGTGCACACCAATTTGTACACAGGACCTCAATTTTAAGTCCCATCCGAACAACTACAACTAGGCATTGTACTTTGCACCACTGACAAGGGGGAACCTTGCTGGAAAATCCTGAACTTTCACAACCCACAACTGGAATGAAGACAGGACCTCCAGTTTAGCGAGCCGTCATCTTACTCACTCGACTTCAGCAGCTCCCAAATTTTAAATGATATTCAGAATTACACAAAACCTTATGAATTATGCCAGCGTCACCTACATATGTTGGGTAACCAATTGAATTCAGGCCAAGAGTTAAATAATTCATTAGGCCATGAAAAATGAGATATTATCCAAAATTTACAAGTGCATGTGTTAATTTCTTTTATTATTACTATCATTTTAAGGAGTTGGGTGGCCGAATGATTAATGCATGCGCGTCCGACTTCGTGGGTTTTCTCCAGGTCCTCTGGTTCCTTCCCACTGCTAGAGACCCCTACGAGCAAGCGAATTATTGAAATAAAATTGAACCATATTTTAGTCCTAAAATTGCCTAGTTTGTGTTGAGTGGGCGTTAAACCCCATCTCTATCTCACAATTGCTTTAGTTGCCATTATAATTTTAATGAAGTCGTCTGTTTGCCGTGTATTTTTCAGAAAGGTTTTTCGTTTTTACAATATAATTTTAACGAAGTTGTCTGTTTGACGTGTATTTTTCAGAAAGGTTTGTCGTTTTTAGTGAATGATTGTCGATTGATCCATAACAACGTCTGTCTGTCATCTGTATTTGTGGATCAGGCTGGTGAATGGAAACTAGGTGGAGTTGAATATATGTATTCTACCGAGGGCTCTGATTCTTTTCCTCCTGTAAAAATATTTCCGGCTCTAGAAAGATATGATCCTCCTGAAAAAACAGATAACAGAACTCGACCAAAGGGGGAAGCCTGGTACGTTTTATCTTTTTTATAGAAAATATTCACTGGTAAACAAGAATTATCACTCGAGCATAAATTATCACTCATTTAAAAAAGAATTATCACTCATTTAAAAAAGAATTATCACTCATTTAAAAAAGAATTATCACTCATTTAAAAAAGAATTATCACTCATTTATAAAAGAATTATCACTCACTCATTATCAAGCCTAGAATGTCCAGCACAAATCCAAGAGAGTAGTGGGGGGTTGGATGGCCGAATGGTTAGCGTGTGCGCGTTGTATCATAAGGTCTGTCATTGAGTCGACTGGCGTGGTTTCGAAAATCCCGGGTTGTACGTGGCAAGGAGTAGGGTCGCCTGTCCAACCTCGTGGGTTTTCTCCGGGTCCTCCGGTTTCCTCCCACTGCTAAAGACCCCTACGCGCAAGCGAATTATGTAAATAAAATTAAACCATATGTTAGTCCCGAAATGACCTAGTTTGTGTCGAGTGGACGTTAAACCCCATTTCTCTCTCTCTCTCTCTCTCTCTCTCTTACAAGAGACTAGTATTGTTCATTGGTTACTTTTATAATTCTATATTATTATTCAATGTTTTATATAACGCTATTCTATCTTTCAATCATATTATTATTGGTTTATAAGTATGTAATTTTTATTGTCAGGTCATCAGATATGTGGGGATTAGGTTGTTTAATATGGGAAGCCTTCAATGGAACATTACCAAGGACCTCATCTTTAAAATCTCTAGGAAAGGTACTGTAATAATATTATACTATAAAATCTCTAGGAAAGGTACTGTAATAATATTAAACTATAAAATCTCTAGGAAAGGTACTGTAATAATATTATACTATAAAATCTCTAGGAAAGGTACTGTAATAATATTAAACTATAAAATCTCTAGGAAAGGTACTGTAATAATATTATACTATAAAATCTCTAGGAAAGGTACTGTAATAATATTAAACTATAAAATCTCTAGGAAAGGTACTGTAATAATATTATACTATAAAATCTCTAGGAAAGGTACTGTAATAATATTAAACTATAAAATCTCTAGGAAAGGTACTGTAATAATATTAAACTATAAAATCTCTAGGAAAGGTACTGTAATAATATTATACTATAAAATCTCTAGGAAAGGTACTGTAATAATATTAAACTATAAAAGACCTTGTAAATTATAGTGTTGTTAGCACTTAATCTTGGAAAGGAACATCAGTCCAAAAATGGTTCAATTCCGTTCAATATTTACCAAGATATGACAATATTAATGGAATATTGTCATAAACAAACGTCACCAGTATTCTTTGCTAAAAGTTCTTGATGGGCCTCTTGTTAATCAGCTGAAAGATGAGCCGGGAGATTATCTACAGTTGATATCTTAATTATATGTTAAATAATCAATTTCAGTACATTTTAGCATGGATTAAGCCATAAAAAATTTGATATTTACCAAAATATACAAATGACACACAGACTTTAATATATAGGCCACTCTTTGTATCGTAGATACTTTTCCCAATCAAAAATCAATGATAATATTTGATAATTGTAATTACTGATATCCAGGCTCAAGTAATGATGTTGTAATTATTAAATAAACTGGTATGAAATATTGAATAATTTATTTTTTTGGGGAAAAGAACAGGTTTAAATAGGTATTGGAAACGAAAACAATTTTTATATTGGGTGATGTTATCTTTTAAATAAAATTTGTCTATTTTAGATACCTAAGAGTTTAGTCCCCTGTTACTGTGAATTAGTTGGTGCAAACCCTAAAGCTCGACCAAATCCAGCCAGAACAATAGAGTTGTCTAGGAAACCAAATGGATTTATGAAGAATGAATTTGTTGATACTATGTTATTTTTAGAAGAAATACAGGTCAGCTTTTAAATCACATGATTTAAATAGGGTTATCTCTCCCGTGATAATGGAATGATGTATGCCCATTTATCTTTACAAACTGTGCCAATGAAGATGGAGGGTTGGATGGACGAATGGTTAGCACGTCTTTTATTGAGTCAACTGGCGTGGTTTCGATTCCCCGGTGGTACGTGATAAGGAGTAGGGTTGTCTGTCCAACCTCATGGGTTTTCTCATGAACCATATGTTAGTCCCAAAATGAAGTTTAACATTAAACTCCATTTCATTTGGTTTCTTTCCTTAGCCATGAAACTTTTGTTTCGTCCATTTTATATATTTAACAGTTTGTGGTTTCTCTGTTTTTATTTACAGATTAAAGATGCAGGAGACAAGACAAAGTTTTTTTCCAGTTTAACTAAGTCTATTGATAGTTTTCCTCCGATGTTTTGTCGTCATAAAATACTTCCACAACTGCTGAATGCGTTTGAATACGGAAACGCTGGCTCATCAGTATTAGCACCTTTATTTAAGGTAAATCACAAAATGTCTTTTTGTCAAATTAAAGAGTTAAATCTGGGTTTTTATAGTTCACGACACTAGTATAATGGAAGAGTTTTTAGATAACATGTGAGGAATTAGCCAATGAAACAGTCTGTTATGGAGAGAACTGTGGGCAAACTGCTAGAAACGTCAACCCTGATTGATTAATCAAAGTCTGACGTCATAGGGTCAAAAGCCTCTCGTATGACGTTTGACGCGACCTCCCTGCACAACTGGTCAGATCTTCATGTGGTGTAGGCCATCGATAGTATAAAAAACTTAACGAAATATAGATCTGTATATTAATCAGATTGTTTACTTACATGCCACGCCCATAATCAACCCTCTAGAACTTCGGATAGTTTTGATTTTCAACAGATTTAAATACTATTGGTAGTTAATGATTTAATTTAAAAATGGATAATCCAGACATTGTTTATTTTCGTAACAATGGTAGCAATGCCAATCGAGGCTACATTGTTATGCAGACGACGATAACTCCACTCAGAATGAAGTAATTTGACTTAAACTTTCTACATATTCCTATTTCATTATCTATTTTTTAACAATTCTTGCGAGAACTCTCAACTCTTTATCTAAATGTTACATACCGCATGTTTAACAAACCCATTATCATTATATAAATATTGATCTCAATGGTTCCCTGAAAAAATGAGAGAAAAACAATACAGGGCATGCACCAACTGCACATGAAAAATATCTCAACAAATCATGATAGCTGAAACATTTGTTGTGTTTAATTATGTCACGATTCTACTCACATTACCTCGGATCTGTAACATTTGATATTCCCCGAAGTAATCAATTAATATTAATAAAGTTAGAATAGATTTGATGGACACCCCCTCCGGTCTAATAAATTAATATTGATAAAGTTCCAATAGATTTGAAGCCCCCCCCCCCCCCCCCCCCCCCCCGGGCCTCCGGTCTAATAAATTGATATTGATAAAGTTACAATATATTTGATGGACACCCACTCCGGTCTAATCAATTAATATAGATTTGATGTATTTTTTGTAGTTAGGTAAAATGTTAGATAGTGATGAATATCAGAAGAAAATAGTTCCATGTGTTGTTAAACTTTTCTCGTCACCAGATCGTAATACCAGAGTTAAACTTTTACAACAGGTAATATAATATTTATAATATTATTCATTTTGTTTTAGGTAAACTCAGAGATTGGGGACAAGATCATAAGGTCTGTCATTGAGTCAACTGGCATGGTTTCGAATCCCAGGTTGTACGTGAATAGGTGTAGGGTTGCCTGTCCAACCTCGTGGGTTTTATTCCTGGTACTCTGGTTTCCTCCCACTGCTAAAGACCCCTACGCCGAAGCGTATTATTGTAATAATAAATTGAACCATATGTTAGTCCCGAAATTTGTGTCGAGTGGATGTTAAGCCCCATCTCTCTCTCTCTCTCTCTCTCTCGCTCTCTCGCTCTCACTTAGACTGTGTATATATTTGTTTTATATATTAAATGTTTGTATATTTACAGGTTGATTTATTCGTAGAACATTTAAATAATGATACAGTCAATAATCAGATATTTCCTAATATAGCTACAGGTTTCATGGATACAGTTCCCATAGTTAGAGAATGTACGATCAAGGTAGGATATTATAGCTACAGGTGTCATGGATACTGTTCCTATAGCTACAGGTGTCATGGATACTGTTCCTATAGCTACAGGTGTCATGGATACAGTTCCTATAGCTACAGGTGTCTTGGATACTGTTCCTATAGCTACAGGTGTCTTGGATACTGGATACTTTTCCTATAGCTACAGGTGTCTTGGATACTGGATACTGTTCCTATAGCTACAGGTGTCATGGATACTGTTCTATTGTTAGGATTGTAGTTAAAGTCACCAATATTCCAGACTAAGAACTTTTAGACTAACTTACCAGGAAGTTCCTGCGTTAGTCAAGAAAGTTCATCAGGACTTTCCAGTGTGGTTTCCTCGTGTCAGTGGTGCAGCAAAGGGATAAACACTGTATGTATTATCATCATCTGTTTGTGTGTGGTCCTGATTCGAGTACAGTCAACATTAACGTTGGCTACGATGATGTTATGGTCGGAGTTCCTTGTTTATATCACGACCCCACAAATATTGTGCAATAAACTGAACAACATATCTCTGGTGGACATTAAGCCTCAAGAACCAGATCACTCAGTGTAGTCCTTTTTTGGTAGACGATTTCGAGACACAGGCATTTCGGACAAAGGTTAAATATCAGCTTACTTTTGTATAAGCCATAATAGGCCTATATTTTTATTTTATCATTTATATTTAACATTAATGAATAAAATGAAATCAATTAGTTATTTTTATGTTGTGTATTTATTACAGGCAATGTTACATCTAGCACCAAAATTAAATTATAAAAATCTTAACGAAGAATTGATGAAACATTTTGCCCGACTTCAGTCTAAAGATGATCAGGTTAGTTGGTTTATTTTAATAGAACTGACCTCAACCATCCATGGTGTCTTGTTGCCGAACGCAATTTAATAATAATAATTATAAGGGACAGATTTCACACTTAAAGATACATTATGGGAGATTAGATAGAAAGCTGGCAGTTCTCACTATAATAGTTAAAAAAATAGATAATGTAAAGGGAATTTGCTGAAAATTTCAGTCAAATTGATCTACCCTGAACCGAGTATTTAGCGATTGAATTTTGGACCTAACCTCAATCATCATTACTAAAGTCGATACGATAAAAAAACATAGTCTCGATTATCCATTTTTTTATTTAATCAGAAGCAGCAGACCTGGTTCAAATCCAGTAAATATTGTAGGCTAGCGATGCCATCGAGAGTTGATTATGGCCTGGATAAGTTAATTAATGTCTAATTAATAACTAAGAAAACATTTAAGGCCTAAAGAAAGACCTGCAATAGGCCGATTTGTATCGGAAAGTTTGTATCGGGAACTTCTAGTAAATGCTGGTCTTGGGATCGTGAATTACATTGAGGAGTATAGACATGAATTATATTGGACTTGAGACATCTATAACATGTTTGTTTATATATTTCAGGGTGGTATAAGAACTAATACAACTGTTTGTTTAGGTAAAATATCCATGTATCTTAGTCCTACAGTAAGTATAGTTTATAAACTTCTATTGTATCTTAGTCCTACAGTAAGTATAATTTAGTCCCGAAATGACCTAGTTTGTGTCGAGTGGACGTTAAACCCCATTTCTCTCTATCTCTCTACAGTAAGTATAATTTATAAACTTCCAATTCTCTTGTACTGATTTTTGTAAAATTTATAATGCTGGGACATTGTTTCAAATTTGCTTTTATTTATTATAAGAAAAGTTATAAAGTAAACTGAAAAAAAACAAAAATATTCTATTTGAAAAAAAAAATTGTAAATTTTTTTTATTTTAATACTAAATGCTGAATCATGGCTTCATGTTTGCTTTTAATTATTATAAATTTGTTTTGTAAATTTTTCTGACAGCTATACTAAATACGAAAATCTCACCCTTATTTTGCACATGTAATCAGTGTAATGAAAATTGGCATGTGTTAGTCTCGAAATGACCAAAGTATTCTACTAATCTCTATTTGTCATTGTGTAATTTATTATAAATATTTCTTGATGGCTTACAGATAAGACAGAAGATAATATGTTCAGCATTTTTACGAGCGTTAAAAGATCCATTTCCACCACAACGACAAGCTGGTATCCTAGCAATGGCTGCCACACAGAACTACTTTAATTTACAGGAAGTAGCCCAGCGTCTGCTACCATCTTTATGTGGTATGACCATGGATCCTGATAAAGGTGTTCGTGATCAGGTAAATATCTGTTACAAAAAAACCAACAACCTATGTGTGTGTCATGATAGTTAATCTGAATGGCACTGGCTGAAATATACTCTTAAAAAAACACAACAACCTTTGTGTGTGTCACGATAGTTGATCTCAATACCTGTTAAACATACGTACATGTTACAGGTATTGCTCATGAAGTAACTAGCATCAAGCGAGTTTTCCTTTGAGGTCGTCATGTTTGATTTGAGTGTGTTTGTGTCACCTTTGATTGGAAGCTACTGTTCACGTAAGGGGAGATAATGTGGCTATAAGTTTGGGAATTGCAGAGCAGTGTAGCAACGTCTAGATGTTGTAAAACATGCAGTTGTTACTTCGGGAACATGGGGTAGCATCTGTACACTGACAGGGAAAGTTTAACTAGCCGCTTGGAGATAAAAAAAAACAACCCAACTCAGCCCTATACCAGAACCTTTCACAGATGGAAATCGAAGGAAGATGTTGTTCAGCTATAATTCTCCCCCTCACATTTACACAATGGGGTTGATGGTCGAATAATTAGTGCGTGTGTATTGTATCTTAAGGTCTGTCATTGAGTCAACTGGCATGTTTTTGATTCCTCGGTTGTACGTGACAAAGAGTAGGGTCGACTGTCTGTCCTCGTGGGTTTTCTTTGGGTCCTCCAGTTTACTCCCACTGCTAAAGCCCATACACACAAGCAAATTATTGAAATAAAATTGAACCATATGTTAGTCCCAAAATGACCTTGTTTGTGTCGAATAGACATTAAACCCCATCTCTCTCTCTCCCTCTCTCTCTTTCTCTCTCTCTCTCACTAAAGTACCCTGCCTGCATATATAATAATAAGATAAATACAATCCATATGTTAGTCCCAAACCTATCTAGTTCTGTTATGAGATCATTTCTCTTTGACCGAATGTTGACTTTTTAAATGTAAAATCTATTTTCAGAGTTTTAAAGCCATTAAAGGATTTATTGCAAAATTAGAAAAAGTCTCAGAAAATCCAGAACTGTTGGAAGACATGGGTAAGATTGAAAATTTATGAAAAATTTCTTTGCTGGATATTGTGTTCGCAAAAAAATTTAAATTTTTGAATTTTCAAGGCTGAAGTTGATGAGAAGTTGGACTTCCTGAATAATTTGTAAGGTTGTTATCCATCACTGAACAAATGAAAACAGTTTTATATAAGCAATTCTTCATCCTATTCACTTATATTTTTCAAATTGATGAATTGTAAATATTAATCTTCGCTTGAATGAAATACTGTTTAAACCAAATGAAAGATGCTACGTTCATCCTTCAAACAAGGTTTTGTTTCAGGTGCACAACAGTTATAGTAGTTGTGTCTTTTGCTAATTAGAAATTGGATTGAATCATTTTGTTTGTTTCCATGGAAACAAATTTAGCTTAGGTTTTGGTATACAAGCGTGCAAGATATTTATATTGATATTGATGTTATGTTGATATTAATGTTTATGCTTATATTGATATTGATGTTTATATTGATATTGATGTTTATATTGATGTTTATAGAGCGTGAAGTTATGACAGGAGGTAGTGCTGGGGGTGGTAGTGGTTGGGCCGGATGGGCTGTAACTGGTATGACATCATTAACATCTAAAATCTACAGTAAAGCTACAACAGCAAGACCAGCTAATAAACCAGGTATTATTCTATCATTCTATCATACTATAAATAAACCAGATATTATTCTATCATACTATAGATATACCAGGTATTATTCTATCATACTATAGATAAACCAGGTATTATTCTATCATACTATAAATAAACCAGGTATTATTCTATCATACTATAAATAAACCAGGTATTATTCTATCATACTATAGATATACCAGGTATTATTCTATCATACTATAGATATACCAGGTATTATTCTATCATACTATAAATAAACCAGGTATTATTCTATCATACTATAAATAAACCAGGTATTATTCTATCTTAAAATACAGATGTGACGTCTTCTTTGATGTTTGCGTACTATTATTTCAAATAATGGTACAGGCAATGTGCAAAGTTTACATTATTTATACTAGTTGAAATATTGGACACATGTGACGTGCAAAGTGTACATTATTTATACTAGTTGAAATATTGGACCCACGTAACGTATTTCATTGAAATGCATGTATTGGATAGTGTCTGTATTTTATGTTGTTTAATGCTCGTGCAAGACATTCCGTAATATATGGATATAGCACTCGTGTTGTTACAATATATTACTTAATGTCTCGCATGAGACCATTAAATTACACATATTATAAATATGGATATATTGACTTCAAAAATCCTTCCAACTGACAGGGGATCTTGTTTTGTCCCATCCGATTTCTTGAAGACCTCCTTGGGTTTTTATTGTCTCAGAGGATTGTAACTACAAATAAATTTCTGTAACAACATGGATGTTGATCAGAAGCTGGTTCGTTATGAATTTAATTTGTTTCTTTTCAGGTGTTGAGAATAGAACAAGTCCTCCGAAACAAACGGCTCCATCTACTACAGCAAGTAATCAGGGAGAGACAACTCCTAAACCATCCATGAATTATCAACAACCAGAAGAAGTTGAAGAGGAGGAAGAAACTGGTGGTGATGATGATTGGGGAAATAGTGGTTGGGGGGATATGGATGTAGGTTTACCCCTTTATAACTTGCTAACTTCAACTGTACTAATGTCCAAAAGAAAGTATACCCTGTGCATTTTGTGCTGCATCAACCAAAGTCGTTTTTCCATGGTATACGGTATTTGGGTAGAATGTCAATTTGTTTCACATTTTTATTTTGCTTAGAAATGTTGAGTTTGGATGCAAGAGACAAACTCAGTAATGCTTTATCAAATGTTTTTAATCTAAACAAAACTTAGTCATACTTTTAGTGTGTATACTTTCTTTTTGGACATCAGTATAGTACAGGGGTGTCAAACATGTGGCCCATCGGCCAGATCCAGCCCGCTAAGGGTTTAAATGTGGCTAGAATTAGGGTTAGGAAACAAATTTCAACAAACTGACATGGCGATAGTTCTTAGAAACTAGTGGTGGGAATCTGTACTGTATGTCATAGATATCTAAGTTGTATGTAATACAAGAGAACGTTGTTAAACCAGTTTAACAAATTACCTGTGTTAAAGATGTTTGTCTTTGTTTTTAGAATTCAGTAAAGCTCGATGACGTTTGTTTTATCTTGATATATTTGGTTATCTCTGATCCACTCGATGTAAAATTTTAGTTCATGTGCCCCTTGAAACGAAATGGGTTGGACACCCGTGAACTAGTCATATGGAGGATCCCAATCAAAATTCACAATCATGCATTGATTTCTGATAAACAATCACCTCACGGAATCTAGACGTCTCTTGTGTTCACTTTTCGCTTGTGGACAGCTTATTTGAAGTCTTATTTCACTGCCGGAACATTCCTGAAGCATTTCCCAAATGGAAACGATGAACTCGCTGGCAACCATGGTATTTTTCTAGATGGAGTCGACTTGTTTACCTAGTTATTGCCTTTGCCCTTGTTATTATTTCTGTCCATTTTAAGAAAAATTGTCCCGATGGGCATATATGGCGGAGTAGGAATTCCTGCATTAACTTTTGCCATTAGAAATGTATAAAGTGAATTCCTTCCATCCTATTTGTATGAGATGTTTTAAGATGTAGATCTGGCATGTTTATTATTGCAGGAATCTGATGTAGATGGTAAAGATGAAGTAAAAGTATCTGGTAATGATGGCTGGGATGATGGTGATGAAGATGATTGGGGTAGTTTAGAAGATCCAACGCCTACTTCTATAAATAATGTACGTTCATTAATCTTGTTTATTACATGGAGTATACTATTCCAGAATCGGAACAGCTCCATCGCGTAAAAATGGGTTTCGAGCAACGACTGTATATAAATATATCTCAACCAACTTTGGCAGTTGAATATATTAGCTGTTTTATTTTTATTCTGCTGAATTCCATGTCAGTCGATTTCAGTTCGGTTGATTCTACCCAAATTTAATTGAAGTCATAATATACGACCCTATACAGTGGAGGAGGACTGTACTACAGACAAGCAAACAAATTACCCAGACATAGCAAGCAGTATCAAATCATTTGAATGGATTTCGGGGCTAGCCGTAAGCTTCCACCGAGCTGTACAGTCTCCCAAGCCTGTAATGAAGCAGGCTTCACTCAAAAACAAAGGAAGGATTTACAAGAAAGATAGAACCGTGGTCTTCTCCTGATGGTGATCGTCTACCAGTTGATATCCTGGGTTACAACGTCAAGATATTGATAATATGGGGAGTTGGATGAACGAATGATTTGCATGTGTGCATTGTATCATAAAGTCTGTCATTGAGTCAATTAGCATGGTTTCGATTCCCCTGTCAAACCTCGTGGGTTTTCTCTGGGTCCTCCAGTTTCCTCCCACTGATAAAGACCCCTACGCGCAAGCAAATTATTGAAATAAAATTGAACCATGCGTTAATCCCGGAATGACTTGGTTTATGTTGAGTGGATATTAAACCCCATTTCTATCTCGCTCTCTCTATTGATAATAATAAGGGAGATAATCCGAATAGAATTTTAGAAAACGCTAAACAAAGTGCAGTGGGGGTATAGATCAACTATCGAGATAAGGAAGTCGATGCAAGATTTTAAAAGTTTATGCCTTTTATTTTTTTTTAGAAGTCGAGTAAATCTAGTAAGGGAGGTAAATCTGGTGAATGGGGAGATTGGGGAGATGATTTTGTAAGTACTGAAGGATCTGGTCTACCATCAGCGAGTAGTTATAACTGGGGACAGACGGAAAATACTGATGATTTCTTCTCAGCTAACATGTCAAAAGAAAAGGTACATCAATTCTTCTCAAATAGTCTAGTAGTTGGGATGGGACTAAAAACCGAGGGCCTGTGTACACGTTATCACGGTAATAGTAGCCCCACGGTGGCTCTGTAGACATTGGCTCGCTAACCTAGAGGTCCTGTGTTCGTTCCCAGGGTTTTTCCAGCATGGTTCCATCTTGTCATTGGTATCGGATGAAGGGCCTGGTAAGAGACAATACATAGTCGTTCGGATCCCACGTACCTGTTGATGTAGATATAAAAGATCCCTTGACAATCCACAGCACCACTGCCCTGGCAAAATTTACCTCATAACCCAGCTGGCGCAGAATGTAAAATCCCATTTCATTTAATTTCTTCTCATATATCATATTTTCAGGAACCGAGTTCACAAAGCATTCTAAACTGAAGTTAAGAATTCACTCAGAATTGTTTGTCTTATTTTAACTAAAATATAGCCCTTTATAAAACTTTTGTGCAAAGTTTTGTGTTTCTGGATACAGTGATTGAAAGTTGAGTAAGTTCTTACTTTAAGTCTGAGAATGCTTTGTGAACTTGGGTCCGGTTCCTATTTTTGAATTATTGCTGTATCAAAGTAAATATTCTTGTTCTCAGACAAATTTGAAGCGGAAGGGCGATTTTTACATCTTCATGTGTACATATTTCGTCACATTTGGGTGAGGGGGGGCATTCTAGAGGTCACAATTTGGGGATTGGGGAGGGAGGGGAGGTCACAATTTTTATCCTATTTTGATGAAACTGAAAACATATGTTTATATCCCAAAGATCTTGGATAGGTTCGATATTGGACTTTAACTTCTTAGATTATCTCCTGGAAAACGTGAGCACATCTTGCATGGCAAATATACCACTTTCTGTTCAAACATCTGACACTGATTTCAAATCTTCTGTGTGCAAACAAATCAACTTGTTAGTTTCAAAATAGCCCATTTCTGTATCATCTGTGTTTTCAGCCAAGATCCCGACAAGGAACTCCTGTTAGAAAAACCACACCACCTCGTCAGAATCCAGACAGCAGCATGCCTGCCAAACCTAAGCTGTCTACTAGTCAATCTACGCCACCTAAAAGTGTTGATGGTTGGGAAGTAGAGGAGAGTGGATGGGGAGAGGGGGATGGATGGAATAATGACTCCTGGGCTACAGGTAACTAAATTGTATTCCTTTGTTTTATATATTAAGCAGCAAAAGGGTTAGGGTTAGGTACAGGTAGCTAATTAACTAAATTGTATTCCTCGGAAACCCAGGAGGTCACAGTTCGATCCCTGTGTTGGCCAAGAAAGCTCCTGATGATTTTCCAACCTTGTTTTTCCCCCCGGGTCAGTAGTGGTGCAGAACGGAGGGTTTGGCAAGGATTTCTGTCTAGTTGTTCGGATGTTGTGATAAACCAGGGTTTCCGTCTACAGCATTGGCTGCATATTAAAGATCCCCAGAAAAAAAAAAACTAGTTGGCCGTAGCAAAACTAACTTACATATATAGCAGAGTGCAGAAAATTAAGAAATGAAATGAAATGGGGTTTAACGTCCTACTGTTCTGCTCTGACTGGGCTAATGAAGACGGGCATACACCATACAGTGTGCTATGAGGAAATTTTGCCCGGACAGCGTCGATACAGCCTACTCTTATATCAAATTCCAATTGTCAAGAAATCTTTTACGTGCACGCCAATGGGTACACAGGACCTCGGTTTTACTACACCGACTGGGTTAATGAAGATGGCCAGACAATTAAGACATAAGTCCTTTTTCGTTTTGTTTCAAGTAAAATATTAAATAGCCCAGTTTGGTTCAAACCAACAAAGTCCAAACAAGTCCCAGCTTACTCGGCTCTGCTTTTACATAAATATTAAAGTCTCATATTATTGTATTTTAGAAAAACTAAATGTGGGGGAGTCACAGTGGCTGGAGGTTGTGGGTTCATTCCCCGTGTTGGCCTAGAAATTCATTGTGAATTTGATATAAGGGTAGGCCGTAGCTACACTGTCTGAGCAATATTTCCCTCATAGCACACTGTATGGTGTATGCCCGTTTTCATCAGCCCAGATGGGTGGTGGATGCCCGTTTTCATCAGCCCAGATGGGTGGTGGATGCCCGTTTTCATCAGCCCAGACGGGTGGTGGATGGCCGAATGGTTAGCGTGTGCGCGCTGTATCGTACGGTCTGTCATTGAGTCAACTGGCGTGGTTTCGATTCCCTGGTTGTACGTGTCAAGGAGTAGGGTCGCCTATCCAACCTCGTGGGTTTTCTCCGGGTCCTCCGGTTACCTCCCACTGCTAAAGACCCATACGCCAAGTCAGAGCAAAACAGTAGGTCGTTAAACCCCATTTCATTTCATCAACAACTAATGGATTTTCTTTATTTTTTAGGCTCCAATAAATCTGATGACAAACAACGTCGGGAGGAGAAAAAACTACAGAGACAGCGTGAATTACAAGAAAAACGGGAGGCTAGAAAGGCTAGCGGTGCAATGAAACTTGGTGCCAAAAAGATGGCGCAATCCTAGCATCAATTCCTGCCATAACAAAACTCTGTTAGTGCTTATCCTATTTATTTCTGTGAACTTTCTTCAGGAAGCTGGACAATAATTCTACAGATTTGTTCACTGGACAACAATTCTACAGGACAAACACGTGACCGGTCTCCAATATGACATCAGTTTTTTTGCTTGTTTGATTTGGGTTTGGAATCTCTCTCTGACATTTTTTGTGTTTAAAAGATTTGATGCAGGAAACAAGAAATTAATACCAGGAAAAAAAAATTAAATGTTTAAAATAACGGCACTGATCTTGATCGGTCATTTATCACAGCTTAATCCACGCCAAAATGTATTCAAATTTAATTTTAATAATAAAATGAACAGTAGATAACCTTTCAGCTGATATTTCCCATTGATATTTATTAATTATTAGATATTGTGCCAAAAATGACCGATACTATGATACTAATTCACAGTTAAAGATTATACACACAAACATAATCCTGTATTCCATGAAGGATAGGTCGTTATATAAGTCAAGTTTTGTGCAATAGTAACTCTTATGTCTACTTTCACTTATCCCAAAGGGTGGCTTACTTGAGCCAAAGTCTTTCTTATTTTAGATATTAATTAACAGTAGAATAACGGCTAGAAATAATACTGAATAATGTCACTTAAATAGCCAAGTCTCTAATTCAAAATCATCCAACGTCAATTTATTTGTCAATTTAAATCAACAGTGATGTTGTGATTTTACCGGGAAAAGATGGGCTTCTGATATCCTATATTTAAGACAAAATAAACATTTTACCATTGGTACATAAATCGTGTACCCTAATATGTTTCGGCGTAGAGGTCTTTAGCAGTGGGAGGAAACCAGAGAAAACCCACAAGGTTGGACAGGCGACGCTACTCCTTGTCATATACAACTGGGGAATCGAAACCACGCCAGTTGACCCAATGACAGACCTTATGATACTATGCGCACACGCTAACCATTCTGCCATGCCCCCCTTTCTAGTATATAGAGTTCCTGTTGAATTATATGACGATATTTAGATTGTATACATCCTATATGGTTAGAAGTATAATATATATAGTTGTCTAGTCCCTCCTGAACAGAAATACATTCGACCTACGATCATTTATCAAATATAGGGTGGCTCAGTGAGTAAGATGTTGGCTCGCTAATCCAGGGGACGTTAAACCCCATTTCATTTCATATCAAATATAATATCAGTCAAACTAATCCTGGTTTATTCTGTTCAGTGGGGAGTATCATACTCTCTCCAGGCCGAAAAAAATAATCATTTTAGGTGTATATGTAAATGATGGGGATTGTATGACGTGCGCTATATCATAAGGTCTGTCATTGAGTCAACTGGTGTGGTTTCGATTCCCCGGCTGTACGTGACAAGGAGTAGGGTCATCTGTCCAACCTCGTGGGTTTTCTCTGGGTCCTCCGGTTTCCTCCTGCGAATTATGGAAATAAAATTGAACTATATGTTAGTCCCAAAATGACCTAGTTTGTGTCAAGTGGACCTTAAACACCATTTTTGTCTCTCGTGTAAAAGACAATACCTGGCATTTTGATTCTTGTGCCTGACATGTATTATTATAAAACATATGTGATCCAGACGAAACAACAGTCTGGCGAACAACAATTGGTGCTTGTTGTCTGTGTCTGGCGCCGCCTATTTTTCGTGATATACACGTATATGTAGATATATAACGTGACCTGTGATAGATAAATGAGTTGAAAATAGCAAGTCATTATTTACAATAATTATATTGAACAAAAATATTGAAATAGGCTGAAAATGAAAGTAAAAAAAACAACACTTACTTGATTTGTCAAATATAAACTTTCATTCAAAAGATGTTTGACATTCTTGTTGACTACCCGGACGATTTAGCTGCTGTGGGCGTATGTTTCGTTGCCCGGCAACCTATTTTTGTTCATATAGTAAAAGACTTGTGAACTCAGTTTGCTATCATGTGTCTCATATAATGGGGTAATGCAGGTTTTACTATGGCTAGTTATCAGTATTTTACAGAATATATTTTGTTGCATGAATGAATGAATTTGTTAATAAAACTATTACTATTTAATAAGAATGAGTTTCTTGTCATTTGGAAAAACAGAGAGAAAGAGCTTAACATCCACAGGACCCAAACTAGGTCATTTCGGCACTAACATATGGTACAATGCTAGACATTTATTTATAGCATCAAAGAGAGAGGGAAAGAGAAAAAAAGAGAGAGAGAAAAAGAGAGAGAGAAAAAGAGAAAGAATGAAAGAGAAAAAAAAAGAGAAAAGAGAGGACAAACTAGGCCTTTTCAGGACTAACATATGGTTTAATTTTATTTTAATAATTAACTAGCTTGTAGTGGTCTTTAGCAGTAGGAGGAAACCGGAGGACCAAGAGAAAACCCACGCGGTTGGACAGGCAACCCTACTCCTTGTCACGTACAACCAGGGAATCGAAACCACTCTACTTGACTCAATGACAGACCTTATGATTTAAAGCACACTATTAACCTATTCGCCCCCCAACCCCCTATTTTTAAAGAGGGACTCATGGTAGTCAAGCTATAGGGCAATGGCCTCTGGACTAGATTGTCCTGGTTGTGGGCCAATCGGATTAAAATACAGATCTATATTCCGTTTCTTTTTTTTTATACTTTCGATGGCCTACACTATGTGAAGATCTGACAGGTTGGACTGGAAGGTCGCGTCGCGGGTCGTAGGAGCGACTTTTGACCATATGGCGTCAGACATTGATTAATCATTCAGCATTGATGTTTCTAGTGGTTTACCCACAGTTCCAGGCATCGTACGCCAAGAACTTGGCTAATCCCTCACATCATCCAGAACGCAGGTTGTATAACAACTCTTCCAGATCCTAGTGTACTAAAGTCAAGTAAATCGAAATTTTAAACTATAAAAAAACAAAACGAAATATGATCTGTGTTTTAATCAGATTGGGAAATTTCAGGATTTTTCAAGCTCGGTTCTAACATATGAGGGGTGGGGCTGACAAGATAGTGTACTTTGTTGTTCAGATGGCAACGGAACTCGGTTCTAACATATAAGGGGTGGGGCTGACAAGATAGTGTACTTTGTTGTTCAGATGGCAACGGAACTCGGTTCTAACATATAAGGGGTGGGGCTGACAAGATAGTGTACTTTGTTGTTCAGATGGCAACGGAAACTGGAGCTCAACCCTTGGTTGTTGGAACTTGGGGAAAGATTGCAGGCAGAATTATTCAGCATTGTAAATGTTAGCATAGAAATGATCTTAAAGGGACAATAACACTCTTGCTGGGATGACAGCTCCAGAAAATAAAAAATAGCCTTATTCTAAGTACTAGATGTTTAAGTGTCCTACCTGTTGTGTAAATTATCCATTAAATCCTATTTTACTTGTCAAGAGGGTTCAAAAATATTTTTAAATCCAAGTAACATTTGAAAAGCTTTACGTCAGGCTTTTCAAATTATTTAGTTGAATTTTTCCAATTTTTTAAATTACGTGTGTTAAGATGAAATTTGTATCATCAATTAATTGGAATATTGTAAAATAGTACAATTTGTTGACCAGAATGAAGATTGGGACATATTATTCAGTTACAACAAGAGTGGTATTGAGCCTTTAAATACAACCACTCAACAGGACACGACAAAAAAAATAACAAAATAAACCAAACACTAGGTTTAACAATCTTTAATCAAATATTTTAAATAGTTAAAACTTGTTTAATGTAAATTAGACGAATTGAATAAAACATAAAACATGGAATGAATTAATGAAATTCACAAAACCTTATCTTGTCATCTTGGTCTTCTTATCTGTCATCTATTACAAGACGTACACCTGGGCAACACGGAGCTATCATTACTGTATGGAGATTATGGTCAAACCATTGAATAACACGGAGCTGGAGATTGTGGTCAAACCCTGTAATAACACAGAGCTATCATGGCTGCATGGAGATTATGGTCAAACCCCTGAATAACACGGAGCTGGAGATTGTGGTTTAACTCAATATTTGATTGGTCCCAAACTGAAAGTACTGGTTACTTGTACAGGGTGGGCGGTACCGAGTGGTTGACATGACTACTGTACAATGTGGTGGGGTGGGGGGGGTTGGTTGTAGCCTATGTTATATTGAGTAAGGGGGGAGATTTCAACAGATTGAAACACGACCACCATTTAATGATTTAATTTACAAATGGAGAATCCTGACTGAGTCTCAATTAACAAGTACCGTTGTTATGATAATAAACAAGGTTTAGTCTAGAATAACAAGTACTGTTGTTAGGATACTAAACAAGGTTGAGTCTAGAACAACAAGTACTGTTGTTATGATACTAAACAAGGTTAAGTCTAGAATAACAAGTACCGTTGTTACAATAATCAACAATCCATGCCACATCTTGTCAAAGATTCAAACAGTGATTACTTCACTCACAATAAAGTAATTAGAATATTTTCACTATATTCAAATTGCATTATCTATTTTTGAAATATTATAGCAAGAACGACCAGCTCTTTATCTAAATCTTACAGAATGTATCTTTAACCCTGTTGTTTCTGACTTATGAAATAAAATGGTGTTTAACATCCTACTGTTCTGCTCCGACTGGGCTAATGAAGAGGGATTACGATTATGATAGCTCCATCTTTACTAACATTAGTTAACAGACAGGAAGACCAACATGTCTGCCCTACCAGTTTATACAGTTCAAAAATTCTACAAATCACTTACTTAATGCAACAATTTTTTTTTTCAATTGGACAGAGACAATAACAATAAATAATTAAAAAAAAACAACATTGAAAAAATTTGTCTTCACCAGAATTTACTGATGTCCTCGTGCAGTATCAATATATTACTTAATGTCTCGCTTTAGACCATTAAACCACACTATGTAAAATAAGTAAAAGTATTACACGCGCCTCCATTACATGTCTTGTCATATTGTAGTTACATCAATATCTTAAAAACATTTTACAACACTTTAAACCATCATAACATACCGTACGTAAAACACATAAAAAAATCACTTAACAAAATATAAGGTCTTACATTTGATTTCAAAATCATTGTTTACAGGTTAAAATAAAATATAGAATTAGGTTGATCTGATATTATTTTGATTTGTGCTGCGGATTAAATATTTGTTTCTAATGTGTTTATTAATTTTAGTTTAAAATTGGTTATTTCTCAACATTGGTGCCAAGAAAACAGACTGCCATCCTACTAAACAAATCTATAAGTTTTATTTTTGACCCATATGGAAGAATTCTAGTTATTTGAAGTAAGAATGATATATATGACCCATAGCCCTATTAACTTACATCAATAACACATCATTAACAACGATAAATAATTATCAATCTAATAATTCAAGTTTGATTATAATTTACTTTATTATTTTCTGATTCTATATAAAACCAAGTTCTGGCCAATAGTGACTAGCTGTCTTGAACGTCTACTTCCACCTTCAGTCATAGCGTAGACGATAACATTGTTATATACATGTATGATGGAGAAATGGGGTTTAACATCCACTTGATACAAACTAGGTCATTTTGGGACTATCATATGGTTCAATTTTCTTTCAACAATTCGCTTGTCACGTACAACCGGGGAATCGAAGCCACGCCAGTTGACTCAATGACAGACCTTATGATACAGCGCGCACATGCTAACCATTCAGCCATCCAACCCCCCTTCTACATCATTAACAATTCATCCAATCCAATACATTACAATCAACTGAATCTGTCGTTTTATGCCACTGCCATGGCACAATTCACAACACAAACATACATCACTGTTACAAACAAATAAACGATTCTTAAATATGACCTGAAAATTCAATAAACGTTCCATTAAAATAAGATGTTTGATTATGTAAATTTTAATTAATTTTCGGCAGATTTTAATACAAGTCTTAAAACCACGAGATTCATTGTGTTTTAATATAAATTATAAAATATTATCGTTTCTAAATTTAAATTAAAAAAAATAATTAGTTAATTAGTTAAATGCAACAGTAGGATTAGTAACCTATATGTAAACCCAAGGTAATATAGATTGCATTAAAATATAATAGTACTGTAAACAAACAAGTCAAGTTTTAAAAAAATCTATTCTGAACTCTGTTTACAAAATTTAAAAGTGAAAATGTGACACAAAATATATATAGACAAACTATTAGGACTCTTCAATTTAAACCAACAAACATTTCAACCCAATCTGATTAAAACACAGATCCTATTTCGTTTCGTTTTTTCATAGTTATAAATTTCGTTTTACTTGTCTTCGAAAGTATAAAAAAACGTAACGAAATATAGATCAGGGCCCTTATTCACGAAAACTTAAACTAAGATACAATCGAAATTTTAAGAAATACTGCAATTCGATTGGCTGACCAGTAAAATCAATTTGCATATATCCAATTTGCATATTGGTCAGCCAATCGAATTGCAGTATTTCTTAAAATTTCGATTGTATCTTAGTTTAAGTTTTCGTGAATAAGGGCCCTGTGTTTTAATCAGATTGCATTTCAACGGAGTTGTAAAACATTCCATATAAAAACTTTGTCCCCTGTCTGTCGTATTTATAAGCTTTCATAAATCTGAACAAAAATGGAGGGTTAACTTTGTAATTTCAATAGGTTTCTTCCTTAACACAAAAATTAGAAAGCCTGCGAATTTGAAAACGAATGACAATATACATCCATATCACATGTGGGCACATAAAAAGCAGTTATTAATTGATAATATTTAAATTACATTTTATAAAAAAATTCAAAATGATTTAAAAAAAAAAAAATCAAATTGCAAAGATTACATTATCTTAGGTTAAAATTTAATTGTTATAATTATGTACACAAAAACTAAATACATTACAAATTCTGATCAATTTTTAATAAATCTTTCTTTATCAACTGGCTATTTTATGGTTCATAAAATGTGACGGAAACTGAAACAATCACCGAACCATTTTGATTTTTAACGTCATTTCACTTGGTGTCCACTTCTACCACGCAGACATGTAGGACTATTCTTCAGGTAAAATTTTATTAAATCTAAAATGGGGAGAGAGAAATGGGGTTTAATGTCCACTCGACACAAACTAGGTCATTTTAGGACTAACATATAATTCAATTTTTATTTCAACAATTCGCTTGTGTGTAGGGATCTTTAGCAGTGGGAGGAAACCGGAGAAAACCCATGAGGTTGGACAGGCAACCCTACTCCTTGTCACGTACAAGCGGGGAATTGAAACCATGCCACTTGATTCACTGACAGACCTTCTGATACAACGCGCACTGAACCATTCGGCCAGCAACCCCAGCCCCCAAGATGAGAGCGGGATTGAATCTGACTATGTCCGTGATATTATTAGCTTTGTGTTAGACAGTTTGACACTGCCCGAAGTCATTGTTTTTTTTAAAGGTGTTTGATAGCACTGGAACACCAAGACCATCAATCAATAAGGTTGTTTTCATTTTTTTGAACACCTAACAGCTGAAAATCGGTTCCCATAATTTGCATATTTCACATTAGTAGCCATTGTATTATTACATATGCTATTAATATAGCCTCTGTATATATCTTACTCTAAGTACATCTGCCTTATAAATGATAGATATCACTTGCCTTATTATCATATAATTCTCTTACTTGTTCAAACAGCAAGAGTTACTTTTTTCTTGAGAAAAGCAATTTTTTGATTTTGCAAACTAAGGGGACCTTTTTTCAGCTCATGAGTCAAATATCTAAAAAACAATGACTTGTGAGAAAGATGTCTTACTTCAGGCCTGACAATTTACTATATATTATAATTACATCTCTCAAATTAAACATAAAAGTTTTAAGATGCAATAATGGCGTTAATAGTTATCTGGTAGTGTAGAATTTTTCACTTTTCTTTCCTGGTCGGATACACTCATTTGTAAATCAGTTTTCCTTTGTTGTAAATTACCGATGACATCTAGAAATAAATATCGTATAAATAAAAATCACAAAAGATCATTTGAGCTAATAGTTTGGTTTTCTTTATTCACTGTCAATTAGAACTAATGAAATTTGATAAAAGAAATCCAAACGACGGACTAAGACACTCCATCCTGCACCACAAGGGGAAAGTACACAATCTAATTAAAATACAGATCTATTTTTCGTTTCGTTTTTTATACTTTCGATGGCCTACACTACATGAAGATCTGACACGTTATAGTGGGAGTTCCCGTTCTATGACATCAGGTACCAAGCAAGCGACATTTGACCCGATTACGTCAGTCATTTGATTAACCAATTAGCGACCGTCATGTATTTTTTATCTACTTTTGCTTTGTTTTGATTTCTATTGCCGCTAATGTCTACCCACAGTTCCGTGCAAAAAAGGTCAAACGCTCAATTCGACAGAACATTTGATTGGCTGACCCGTCATTTCAAGTAAAGACAAACAATATTTTAAATAATTTCTGGTTCTGAGTTCACAACTATCATATTAGAGTTCGTTACCTTGTATGAGATCAGGATAATTATTTGATTCATTAATTATTCTATCAGCCTCTTCACTGGCTTGTGGTCGATTTCTATTTCCATCTTCATCAAAGCACCATTTCCTCTCTAATTCTAATCTTTCAACATCCTAAAATGAAATGAAATGAAATGGGGTTTAACGTCCTGTTCCTATAGTAACTGGGCTAATGAAGACGGACATACGCCATACAGTGTGCTATAAGGGAAATTTTGCACGGGCAGCAGCACTACCGCCTACTCTTATATCGAATTCCAACTGCCAAGAGATCTTTTACATGCATGCCAACGTGTACACGGGACCTTGTTTTTTTGTCCCATCCAAATGACTAGACAGCTGTCCTTGTCAGGCTCTCTGTCCTGCAGGAAAATCTGGATGAACTTTCTCCACCAGTGCAGGGATCGAACACCTGACCTCCAGGCTAGCAAGACAGCGTCTTACCCACTAAGCCACTGTGATCCCTTTTCAACATCCTAAAATCCAACAAAATTAGAGTGTATAATGTTACTTCAACATAGCTGTATCACTGACAAGGGGGAACCACGCTGGAAAATCTGGATGAACGTTCTCGGCCAATGCAGGGATCGAACACCCGACCTCCAGGCTAGCGAGCCAGTGTCTTACCCACTTAGCCATGCTGTTATTAATAGACCATAATCTCCCAAGGCTGCTGGGGAGTTGGATGGCTTAGTGGTTAGCACGTGCGCGCTGTATCATTAAGTCTGTCATTAAGTCAACTGGCGTAGTGTCGCCTGTCCAACCTCGTGGGTTTTCTCCGGGTCCTCAGGTTTCCTCCCACTGCTAAAGACCCCAACATGCAAGCAAATTATTCAAATAAAATTAAACCATATCTTAGTCCCGAAATGACCTAGTTTGTGTCGAGTGGACGTTAAAAAACCCATTTCTCTCTCTCCCCAATGCTGCTAAAAACTGTTTGAACTGAAGGTTTCTCTTTAATACTTGTATTAAACATGCACGAGCTAAATCTATTCCCAGACAATAGATACCTAGGTTTTCTTGTTTTAACATTAAAACCAATCACACACATCAATTGGATTTCAAATGACAGAAATTGTCAATTGAAATTGGATTTCAAATGACTGAAATTGTCAGTTGAAATATGCCACACCTGAAATTTAATTTAACACCAGATAACTGATAAATACTGCTAAAGTGTGTTAAAAATATTGTAAGGAATAATCTTGAATTACTGTAAGATTTACTATTTTTCTTTCATTTCATATGCTGGAGTGAATGGAAGGATGAATGGTACATAAGATGTGAGGGGAGAACTATTTGCATGAGATTTCAGTGGACTAAGCGGCAGTAGGCCTACATCCCTGGATTTCTGTCCTGATTGGCAGACGTGAAACATGTCACACACTAGCTACGAGAACGTAACTAAAAACGCTGAGATATACTGATGTGCTTGTTTTTAGCTACGATTGGATGCCTTTAGTTCCAAGTGGCAAACTTAATTTCTTTATTAATGTATGTACCATCTTACAAATAAGTTAATTTTATACTATTAGTAGTTATTACACATACGCAGTCCAATCTACTGAAACAACATTCATTTATCAGCAAATATTGACAATAAAGTAAATCAAGCGTTGTTTTTATCAAAATTGATTCGGACGTTCATAATTACGCCGTAATACCTACTGCGCAACTCTGATCAGATGGGTACTTTGATTGGCTATTGCACACGAGGCCCCGTCTTTATGTGTTACAGACGTAAATTTAAAATGTCGGCAAAAGCAATCTACTGTCGCTTTGATTTAAAAAGAGGGGATTTGTACCCGTTTCAAGTAGGATTATATGCTTAATTTTAGTTGGGTGTGGCAGAAATATTATAAATAACAATAACCAATCGTTGTTTTGATTAAAAATATTGTCAATTTTGTTTACAAATGCCGGGTGCGAATCGCTCCCGCAGGTGCTACATTGAAGGCAATGGCCTCATCTCTTATCTCGAAACACGGAGATAGGGTTGAGAGATTAAGGTTTGTTATCTAGTCGCACACCAGAATCTGTTGAAATTTGGATGCTTCTCAAAACAAGCTAGTGGCTTCACACAAGGCAAGGGGAAGCTTCTCGTGGCTTCTGATTTTCTGTTTTGCACATCGTTATTAGCCTACTTAATAATAAGCACTAAACACACAATGCGATATTTTATAAACCTAAAAATTAGTAAAAAGAATATTTTTAAAAATAAAATGTGTTAGTTTTTATATAAATAAGTTATACCGCATTTGCTTCCGTCACATCATTTTGTACATCCTGTGCCAATCTTTCTAAGGCGTCGTATTCGTGTTTAACTTCTGTAAGTCTGTAAAAAGGCTCGCGAATAACATCAGGCTCTGATACAGCTTCTGCCATCTTTTATGAATTTTTTCTGTAAAAAAAAAAATCAACGGCCCTGAGTGTTATCTGCCCTTGTAGCGCAAAATTGTAGACGTGGAAAGACACAAAACAGAAATTATTTTGTCAAATTCATTTGCAATCATGTATTGAATTTTCGTCCATTATTTTTTGATTTGGTAATAATAATTATGTTATTGTTTTAAAAATTTGAACATATAACTCAAATTATACGCAGTAAACAATATATAAAGTGATTCGTTTCGGATTTTTTACCTGGAATAATTACTTAGCACTAAATGTAACTTAATTTTTAAAGAGGAGTCAAAATAAAAACAACGTGGGTATGGTTTTAATGATTAATGTACCGTCTATTGCACATTTAAATTTATCCATAAATAATAACGTTTGGCTTATCATTCCTTTAATTAAATATATGGTCATGTGCTCATGTTCAAAATTGAAGAATTCTTTCGAGATGCAGTGTTATGTGACGATTTATGGCTGAGTTACATGTTATATCATAGTTTAAAAAGAATATCAAGGCTACGGTGCCCTACGTGCAAGCTGTTAAAAATCTTAAAACTAAAACCGCTATGTCCCGCCATAGACTAAGCACACATTCCCTTGAAATATAGAGAGGGCGATACAAGAATAGACCTGCACATCTGCGGTTTTGCACAAACTACCCTCAACAGAAAGTTGAAAATGAGTATCATTTTCTCATTGAATGCAACCGCTATGATGAGGAACTCAGCAAGACAATTGTTTATGGGGCATTTGAGACCCAAATCTATAGATATCCATTTTCTTTCGAAAACATGTTTAACCCACCGTTTGCGCTGGCAAAAGCAGTGTGCAACTTTGTGCATCAGGCTTTGAAAATAAGGGATGTGGCACCCGCTTCTATATAAACCAAAAAATAAATAAATAAAATAACCAACAATTCAAAGACCTTCACGTTTAGTTTAAAGTTGCAATTTCATATTTTTAAGTTTACTAAATTAAAGACTTAAAATATATTGTATCTATAAACAGTCCTACCTTGTTAAAGAATAATCCTATTAGTCCTATAATTCACTATTTCAAGTTGAGAAATTGGCAAAAATATCATTTTCAACTGCAAATTCAAACGTTTGAAGATAGCTATTCCATGGCGGGGAATAGAAAACAAGGGAGGTAATTGTGTCATTATTTCCATGGTCAAAGGATTTTTAAGTGGGAGAATAATACCTATGATCATAATAGTGAGTTGACAACCTACATGTATTGAGCAAAAGACATAGAAATAATTATGTTTTGACTTTCTTAGAAAATATGAAATTATTGCTTTAAGCGACTATGACATATAGTCAAAACTTTGGTTTATATTTTGCACATACTGCCTCAATGTATATACATGTAAATGAATACCTGACAACTCATCCCAAAGACAACTCATCCCAGACAACTCCTCCCAATAAAAGACAACTGATCCCAAGTTAAAAGATAGCTCATCCCAAGTCAAAAGACAACTCATCCCAACTTTAAAAAACCCAATCATTCCAAGTTACAAATAAATACCACAACAAATTTTTTTTTTTTATTTATTAAATTAATCAGTAATATAAAAATTTATTACATTAACAATTTATATAAGAATTTATTAGATCAACGATTTATAAAAATAATAATGTTAAATCATTTATTACATCAACGATTTATAAAAATAATAATGTTAAATCATTTATTACATCAACAATTTATTAAATAATACATTTTATTATTTATTACATCAACAAATTATTACATAATACATTTTATTATATCATGATCAACAAATACATTTTTATAAATATGTTTTTTTTCTTCTGCCAGTATGTCGTTCAGCAGGTTAGACATTTAGTAAGTTTGTCCTTCAGTTAGGTCCATAAATTCCACCACATCTCTTTAGTAACTGGTTGGTACTAATAGTCTGGTCTGTATATGAATTCGACAAATAATGTGAATTGCGTAGTTCTTGTCTGTTTTTTTGCTGGTGCCTTCGCAATTTCCCTTCCGATACCATCTTAATTTGGGTTGGTAGCTGTGCTGTATCCTTGTACAATAGGGCAATAGCAGATAGAATTGTAGGTTCCCTTTCCTTGCCTTTTGATTTATTCTGTTATGCGGTACTGGGCTCTAGATATATCTGTAAAATACAATATTGTTGAAATTAATACAATATGGGATCTAGATACACTGTATATCTGAAAATATTGTTGAATTTAATACAATATTGTTGAATTTAATACAATATTGTTGAATTTAAAAAAAAAAACACATTAAAGTCTTACAATTATTAGAAGTTCTGTGCTGCCATCGTTCACATCCGTTGCACTGAACAGCCTCCGGTCTGACTCACAAACTATACAGCTATCAGATATTTTGAAAAATGATACTGAAATATTCGATTTCAGTATTTTTATACCAAACCCCAGCTTTGACACTTACTCAAATCACTTTGTCAAATGTCTTTGAAGTGCTTCATCATTTTAATTAGCTTGTAATACGGGTAAATACTACTACTCGGTTTAGTTAATCGATGTTTTGTTAATTAATTTTCTTTGAAGTGCTTCATGATGAAAAAATAAAACAAAACACAACTACCAATCTGTTAAAACAACAAAGTACTAAAACAGTAATCTTCAATTTATTACAACAACAATATCAATTTGATTAAAACAACAATATCAATTTTATTAAGATAACAAAATCAGATTGGTTTCGGTCTGAGTTGTCTTCAAAGGAAGCAATTGTTTTAAAACAAGCACTTGAATTTGTTGTCTTATAACTTGAGTATCTACCCATGTTTTAAAGTTGGGACGAGTAGTCTTATATATTGGGATGAGTTGCCGTTTATATTGGGATGAGTTGTCTTATATATTGGGATGAGTTGTCTTATATTGGGATTAGTTGTCTTGAGATGAGTTTTCTTTGGGATGAGTTGTCTGTATACCCATGTACATTTCATTCACTTTTATGTATCTTTCATCTACTTTTTATATATTTTTCATCCATTTTTTTTATGTATATTTCATCCACTTTATAATGTATTTAGCATGCTGACTGTTAATGTATAATTTACATGCTGCCCGAAAAGGGTGTTTTATGTAAAAAAATCTATCTCTATCTAAAATAAATCTATCTATCTTACCTATGTAACATAGAAGTATGTTCATTATTTCTGAACGTAAACAAAACGGAATGTGGCCATAAACTGTAACAGCCAAAATTCACTTTGGTCAAAACAGCCAAAAAATTAATAATATGTAACAGGCATTGCCTGATGAGTAGAGTGAAGCTGATGTGATTTTTGTCAAATATAAAACCTTCATAATTATGTTTCTCAAGTGATATAAATACGGAGTGGATATTTAACCGTATACGGCAAAGTATCTACTTCCGCTATTTTACCGTACATCGTTTCTGATTGGCTGGAATATAGTGACGTCATCAAGTGTCAGTTCCTGGATTATTTGACCGTACATGAGATGAATTTAACCGTATACGGCTATCTTAAAAATCAGTATTAATCCCAAAATTTGAAAATAAATTAAAAACACACTATTGTAATTATTTTAATTTAATTTCCCATTTTGATGGATTAGAAAAATGGGTTAGGGTTAGGGTTCAAATTTATCTCCTATTTTCAGAACATCTGTACTTTCCGCCATTTTGATTAAGGTATGACATCATCATACAAATTAGCCAATCAGAAACGATGTACAGTAAAATAGCGAAAGTAGATACTTTGCCGTACACGGTTAAATATCCACTGCCATATAAATAATGTTAAATAATTTTGTTTTTTCCGAATTGATTTGAATTTAGATCTAAATTGTATGATTAATTTTGTTTAAAATAAAAGAACAATAATGTGAGAATTATTTTTATTGACATCAAAAATATGTGACGTCATACATGTACGTAGATTCGACGCGTCAAAGAAATATTTCTATGGCTATGACATGTATAAAAGTTGACATGTGCATTGCCAGTTTTGCCCAGTGTTTTTTTTTTTAATGGACAGTCTGTGGGTGACAGTTTTAGTCACACCCCTGTGTTACAAGTAAAGAGCTTTACTCAAGCTCAGCGCTTTGCAGGATGCTTTAGAGCTTCACTCTATATTAATATTGCAAAATAATATATTTTACAAAACATTAATTTTTCTTTAATTTGATACGAAAAATACCTATACATGTATCTACTGACTAGTGACTATTTATTATTCGTTTGATAAATATAACAATATTGAAATTGGTTTTAACTAATCAACACAACAAATTAAAAGGTTCAATAGAATAGAATTAAAAGACTCAATGCCAACTATTGCCAATCCAGAAAATTATATTGTTTGACTGTTTTGACCACATTTTTGTGGTCTTATGGTTTATGCCACTGAATAATGTTACAGAATTTTTTAAGAAAGCGACTGCATGGCCTGAACATTGATTATTTTTATTATTTCACTTTTAAGATTTTCATGTGTGACTGATTTCAACATGGAGCCTTGTTCAGATTCAAGTGGGGATGACGATCTACAAAAATTCCAACAAAAATTTAAGAAACAAACTAAGGGTATTAAGTTAAATCCAACAGAAGAAAGTGCCGACGACAGTGATAATATTTCCTCTGGGAATATTAAACATAAAAATAGTTCATTGCATAAACATTCTAAATCTTCAGACAAATCTAAACATAAACGATTTGACAAAGGAGGAGATGCTGTGAGTGATGATGATGATGATGATGATGATGATGATGGCGAGGATGATGATGATCAAGCGAACCCTGTTAAGTCGGTATTAGATGAATCGGAGTCTGAAGCAGGTGAAAGTGATGATGAAGGAGTCGACCCATATGTAAGTTTATAAATTATATTTGTAGTGTACAGTGCAGTACTCTTAAAATTATCTTGATCTAAACTCAATTTCATAAAGCAGGGGGTGGATGGCCGAATGGTTAGCATGTGTGCACTATATCATAAGGTCTGTCATTGAGTCAACTGGCGTGGTTTTGATTCCCTGGTTGTACGTGACAAGGAGTAGAGACAACTGTCCAACTTCGTTGGTTTTCTCCAGGTCTTCCGGTTTCCTCCCACTGCTAAAAACCTCCACGCCCAAGCAAATTATTGAAATAAAATTGAACCATATATTAGTCCCAAAATGACCTAGTTTGTGTCGAGAGGAAGTTAAACCCCATTTCTCTTTCTCTCTTCCATAAAGCATGTTTAAGACATACTTAATTGTAAATCAAACATGGTATGGAGGGATTATAATTGTTGCATTGAGATTGTGGGCTAACTCAGTATTTGATTAACAAATTGGTTTCGAAAGAAAACAAATAAAATGGTGTTTTAACTGGGCATATGCTAGGATTAAACCCAAGACGTACTAGTTTTTGATCCATCCATCCATACTCTCAGATTGTTATCAAACTTTAGACTTAATGTTTAGTCTCAACCAGGGCTTTCGAGTGTTTGCATGGTTATAAAATTATCCCATCCAATATGTCACCAACACCACTTGTTTCAGCAAACGGTTGTATTATTATAAGAATCTCATTCCTTTTTACAGGCAACAATAAGAAAAGGTAATTTTTCTATTTCGTTAAACATTTTTATTTTTGATCATATGTTGTCCTTGAATAAAATACAAAATGGTAATAAATAAATGAATTTAAATTGAAAATCTGTAAAAATAAATTGAGTTTTTAATTGTTTCTTAAAAGATTGAGTTTTCATTTGTTTTTTTAAATATATGTAGACACATATTGATTTATTCTTGGGGGGGGTGGATGGCCGAATGGTTAGCATGTGCGCGCTGTATCATCGGATCTGTTATTGAACCAATTGGCGTGGTTTCGATTCCCCGGTTGTACATGACAAGCAGTAGGGACGCCTGTCCAACCCCGTGGGTTTTCTCTGGGTCCTCTCTGGGTCCTCCAGTTTCCTCCCACTGTTAAAGACCCCTACGCGCAAGCAAATTATTGAAATAGAATTGAACCATATGTTAGTCCCAGAATGACCTAGTTCCATTTCTCTTAATTTATTCTTGTATTTCAATGTTTTAATGTAAAAATACAAAATAAATTTATTAGCTGGAGTATTTAATTGTTTACAGAATTAATAGATATGTCATTTGAAGATAAACAGAAACTCAGGAACAAACTAGGAGCCAAAATGTAAGTAGTTACTAATGTTAAATGTTTTCAGATTTAAAGAAATAAGTTTGATGAAACCTTTAGCTCCACGTAAGGTTGTGCAGTTTATCCCAGTATACCTCAGAAGTAAGAGAGATTTGACTTGAAAACCTTCCTGTGTATTGTAGATTTATTTATAGCTGTATGAATACAGTAGCGTGTGGGTGGGGTGCGGGAAAGAATGGAAATTGTTGTAGTCTCAGTAAAATTATAATTTGTGTTGTTTTAGATATAATCAGATAGTTCACAGTGAGAGAAAAAACCAGAGTAAACCTGGCCACAGTAAAAATAGAGACAGAGAATATAAAGACAGGTAAACTTGATTAACTGATTATACAACTCAAATTCAAACTTTATTAACTGATTTCAAACTCGATTAACTGATGATACAACTCAAACTTGATTAATTGATGAAACAACTCTGATGATAGTAGATACAACTCAAATTCAGACTTGATTAACGGATGATACAACTCAAATTCAAACTCGATTAACGCATGATACAACTCAAATTAGTTGGTAAACAGATGATACAACTCAAATTAGTAGACTAACGCATGATACAACTCAAATTAGTAGATTAACGCATGATACAACTCAAATTAGTTGGTAAACAGATGATACAACTCAAATTAGTAGACTAACGCATGATACAACTCAAATTAGTAGATTAACGCATGATACAACTCAAATTTAAACTCGATTAATGGATGTTACATCTTGATAAACTCGATACAATTCAAAAGTTATTTTCGTCACCTGTTTCCAGTTGGTCACACTGGTAACTATAGCAGGACGGCGGGTCTGGCAAGTAACAGTGTTCAGTTTGTCAAACAAGATGAAAAATAAACAGAAATTTTGTAGATTTTATGACTACTTCTCATCGCGATCTTTTATATGTCTGTCAAAGTTTAATCAAAAAAAAATAGACGCCTTTTTTTACCCAGACACTCCATCCTGCAGCAATGACAAAGGGAAACTAGAGTGGAAAATTCAAAGGCTCGAACCTGGTAGTTCCTAGCTAAAGAACATGTGCATTACTCAATAAGCCAATCTGAAACCTATTTATTTACAGACCAGTTGAAATATCTGCCAAAAAGAGAGTACCTGTATTCAGAAAAGTTGTTCAGGTTAAAAGAAAGGTTAGTTTTTATAGGCTGTCTTATTTTTATACACCAGTATATTTGTGCAGGTAATATCTAATTTAATTCAGAAAATATAACCAAAATATCAACCAGCTTAGATTAACAATAGGCACATTAATAGTATTACAAAAGTCTTCTAATATCTCTGAAAAAGATGACTGCCTTCAACACATGACGTCATATCACGCGGCATAATTCATTGCCTCAATGTCGTGTGCATTGTTATACGCCCACATTTTCATGTGGACGTATATTGTCGTCGCCCCTGTCCGTCCGTCCACAATTGTTTGTGAAGAGTCTACAGGTCACAATTTTTATCCGATTTCAATGAAACTTGAAATATAGGTTTGCGATATTGGCATCTATCGGACCGTAACTTCATGGATTATGGCCCCTGATTGTACGAAAAATCACGTTTTTGGCTTGTGAACACGATAGAGGTCACAATTTTTATCCGATTTTGTTGAAACTTGAAATGTAAGTTTATAACCCAAAGATCTCGGTTCCTTTTGATATTTGCGCATATCAAACCGTAACTTCCTGAATTATGGCCCCTGATTGTACGTAAAAACGTGTTTTTTGGCTTGTGGACCCTATAGAGGTCATAATTTTTATTCGATTTAAAAAAACTTATTATTATATCACCGTTAAACCCTAAGGACGGTTGAGTTCGAATTTCGTGAAAATGGGCCCAAAACTGACAGACAAAATGGCCGCCGTTCGTTCTCAAATAGCGTAAAAATATGGTATATCAAGGTTGTGGACCCTATGGAGGTCACAAATTTTATCCGATTTTGTTGAAACTTGAAATGTAAGTTTATAACACAAAGATCTTGGTTCCTGTCGATATTTGCGCATATCGGACCGTAACTTCATGAATTATGGCCCCTGATTGTACGCAAAAACAGGTTTTTTGGCTTGTGGACCCTATAGAGGTCATAATTTTTATCCGATTTAAAAAAATGTATTATTATATCACAGTTACACGCTAAGGAAGACTGAGTTCGAATTTCGTGAAAATCGGCCCAAAACAGACAGACAAAATGGCCGCTGTTCGTTCTCAAATTGCGTAAAAATATGGTATATCAAGGTTGTGGACCCTATAGAGGTCACAATTTTTATCCGATTTTGTTGAAACTTGAAATGTAAGTTTATAACTCAAAGATCTTGGTTCCTTTCGATATTTGCGCATATCGAATTGTAATTTCCTGAATTATGGCCCTTGATTGTAGGAAAAATCACTTTCGTTTTAGCTTGTTTTCTATCCATCTCTCGAAAATGTGGGCGTATCCTGCCTGGCAGCCGCTGGTTTACATAAGACGTTACTATTTCGCACAGAATGGTGCCTTTTACTCCTTTTAATACACATTTACACTAAATAGCAAATAATTTTACCTACCAATATTTCAAACATTTTTATTATTTCTAATACTTAAAAAAATGTTTTAGAATTTAATTTGTCAGGAGGAAAAAAGTTAATATTTGTGGCTCATTAAGTCACATTGATGTCATCCTTATCAGTGATAGTCGCGGCCTAGCGAATATTCACTGCTGATCAGTGTGCACCCACCCATCCATAGTTTCTTGTGATCTATGTCAAGTTATGGATCAATCTTTTTTCAGATTGGGGGGAATAATTCAGAGTTTCATAGAATTCACAATATTTTGACCGTAAATTTTAGAGTTACTCTTATGGTACTAAAACAAACATACAAGTCATCGTTACTTTAAACTAATGTTTAGTACGTATAGAAATTATACAGTAGTCATTAATTAACAGGTGTTTAACTAGCTGTAAAATATGTCACTACTGGTGTAAAAGCGTGACTAATTATATCACCAATCACTATTGAATACACAAACTACCGGTACTATTATTGATAATACTACCAGGGCCAGTGTTATTATTACCAGGACCGGTGCTATTATTAGTATCAGTATCAGGGGCCGTGCTATTATTAGTAACAGTATCAGGGCCGGTGCTATTATTAGTAACAATATAAACTAATGTTTAGTATGTATAGAAAATAGTTAGGAATGATACAGTAGTCATTAATTAGCAGGTGTTTAACTAGCTGTAACTTTTAATACCCCTCACTCTTGGATACACAAACCTAACCAGATGAATGAAATGGGGTTTAACGTCCTACTGTTTTGCTCCGAACTGGGCTAATGAAGATGGGCATACGCCATACAGTGTGCTATGAGGGAAATTTTGCCCGGACAGCGGCACTACGGCCTACTCTTATATCGAATTCCAACTGTCAAGGGATCTTTTACGTGCACTCCAATGTGTACACGGGACCTCGGTTTTTCGTCTCATCCGAATGACTAGACAGCTGTCCTTGTCAGGCCCTCCGTCCTGCATCACTGACAAGGGGGAACCACGCCGGAAAATCGGGATGAACTTTCTCGGCCAATGCAGGGATCGAACACCCGACCTCCAGGCTAGCGAGCCAGCGCCTTACCCACTTAGCCACCGTGATCCCCCAAACCTAACCAATAGTGGTGTATATAAATTATACTCAGTAATTAGCAGGTGTGTAACTAGCTGTAGCTGTAAAAGTTGAGAACTTTTAATACCCCTCACTCTGGAATACACAAACCTAACCAATAGTGGTGTATATAAATTATACAGTATTCATTAATTAGCAGGTGTGTAACTACATGTAGCTGTAAAAGTTGAGAACTTTTAATACCCCTCACTCTGGAATACACAAACCTAACCAATAGTGGTGTATATAAATTATACAGTATTCATTAATTAGCAGGTGTGTAACTACATGTAGCTGTAAAAGTTGAGAACTTTTAATACCCCTCACTCTGGAATACACAAACCTAACCAATAGTGGTGTATATAAATTATACAGTATTCATTAATTAGCAGGTGTGTAACTACATGTAGCTGTAAAAGTTGAGAACTTTTAATACCCCTCACTCTGGAATACACAAACCTAACCAATAGTGGTGTATATAAATTATACAGTATTCATTAATTAGCAGGTGTGTAACTACATGTAGCTGTAAAAGTTGAGAACTTTGAATACCCCTCACTCTGGAATACACAAACCTAACCAATAGTGGTGTATATAAATTATACTCAGTAATTAGCAGGTGTGTAACTACATGTAGCTGTAAAAGTTGAGAACTTTTAATACCCCTCACTCTGGAATACACAAACCTAACCAATAATGATAATACCTACTTAATGACTACCGACGACTGATTACCTGATTACCTGATTACCTGATTACCTGATTACCCATACTTACTTCTGTTTGTGACAAGTTTTTTTTATTAGTAAAAGTCAAGTGTTCATAAGTGGAGAATCTCAACTTTACAGTGTAAATAATTGACTTTATTTTATTTATTTTCCAGTTGAATCGTGATCCAAGGTTTGATGATTTATCTGGAGAATTTGATGAGAAGAAATTTAAACATACCTACGCATTTCTTGATGAAATGAAGAAAAAAGAAAAAAAGGTAGGAGAGGATTTACACCAACTTGATAAATCTACTTTAGGCCCGCTGGCCTGGAGGTCACGTGTTCAATCGCTGTATTGGCTGATTTGTCAGTGTTGCAGGACGGAGGGCCTCACAAGGACAGCTGTCTAGTCATTCAGATGGGACAAAAAACTGAGGTCCCGTGTATACATTGGCATGCATGTAAAAGATCTCCGGGCAAAATTTCCCCCATAGCACACTGTATGGCGTATGCCCGTCTTCATTAGCCCAGTTGGAGCTGAACAGTAGGACGTTAAACCCCATTCCATTTATTTTGCTTTAGACCAATCAATTTTATGTTTAGTTCCTTGATAAGGAAATAGCTTCCTGGGTGAGAAGGGTTGCGTGTCCGAATGGTTTAATGCTGTGTGCGTGTTAGATCATAATTTCTGTCATTGAGTCAACTGCCGTGGTTTCGATTCCCCAGTTCTACGTGACAAGGAGTAGGGTCGCCTGTACAACCTTGTGGGTTTTCTCCGGGTACTCCGATTTCTTCCCACAGTTAAAGAACCCTACGCGCAAGCGAATTATTGATATATGTTAGTCCCAAAATAACCTAGTTTGTGTCGAGTGGACATTAAACCCAATTTCTCTCTCCCACTTGGGTGATGATTTGTTCAATATGATTAAAACGCAGATCCCATTTCATTTTGATTTTATAGTTCAAAATACTGCTTCATTTAGTGGAGTCCATCAAAAGTTTAAAAAAACAAAACGAAATATATATCTGTATTTTAAATTTTCAAACTTTTATAATTCTTCAATATATTTTGTTTCAGAAAATTGTGACGGCGATGAAAAAAGAAAAAGATAAAACTCGGAAATCTGAATTAAAATCACTAGCTAATAGATATGTAAGTCATTAGTCAGTTGTTTTAGCGAATGGTAATCACTAGGCAGTTATTTTAGGCAAAGAAAGGCCTGCTGTAGTCCAGGGCTGCTGTAGTCAAGGGCTGATGTAGTCAAGGGCTGCTGTACAGTTACTGGGCCCCCCAAAATTCCCCAGTACTCAAATGTTAATTTTTGTCACCTGTTTTCAGTTGGTTCACCTGTTGATTCATCTGTTGGTTCACCTGTTGATTATGGTAGGACAGAAAATGGTTGTTGTTTTATGCTGTTTAGATGATATAGAAAAGTTTGTCTCCTGGCGACAGCTCGTGCTGTGGCAAAATTCTACCCTCACATTGCACTTAACAATTTATAAAATAAAATACAAAATAAACCTGAGGCCATCAGTAGATGAGCTGTTAATGAAATACTGATATGGGACGATAAACCTGGGGTCGTCAGTAGACGAGCTGTAAGGGCAATGCTAAAATAGGACGATAAACCTGAGACCGGAGTAGTCAAACCATAAGGGCAATGCTGATATAGGGCGATAAACCTGCGGACGCAATAAACTGGACAATAAACCTGGGGCCGCAGTAGTCGAGCTGTAAGGGCAATGCTGATATAGGACAATAAACCTGGGGCCCCAGTAGTCGAGCTGTAAGGGCAGTGGATTCTCTACTAGAATCTTTCGTGTTTGACTCCCGGTGTGGACTGAGAAGACTCGGTTTTTAGGCCCAATTCACATTTGTCAGGTCTGCTGGGATGATAAGTAAGGTGTTGGCTGGTCAATCAGTTGGAATTTGTTGTTGAGTAGGTGGAAACACTATTGTCCAGTTCATGTGACATAGAACAAACTATGTTAGTCTCAAAATAACCAGAAGAGACATTAAACCCCATTTGGGGGAGTTAGATGGCTGAATTGGCGTGGTTTCGATTCCCCTGTTTTACGTGACAGGGAGTAGGCACGTCTCTCCAAACTCGCGGGTTTTCTCCAGGCCCTCCGGTTTCCTCCCACTGCTAAAGACCCCTACTCGCAAGTAGATTATTGAAATAAAAGTGAACCATATGATAGTCCCAAAATGACCTAGTTTGTGTTGAGTGGACGTTAAACCCCCATTTCTCTCTCTCAAAACCCCATTTCATTCATAAGTTTGAAATGAAAATAAAACAAAATAAAAATATGTGAAATGAAATAAAATGGGGTTTGGTTTAACGTCCCATTGTTCTGTGCGAACTGGGCTAATGAAGATGGGCATGTGCCATGCCATTTGGCATGAGGGGTATTTTGTGCGGCCTACTCTTTAGTTTGACTTCCAACTGTCAAAGGAAAATCCTGATGATCTATCTCGGCCAACACATGGATTGGACACGGGATCTCCAGGTAGGCGAGTCAACGCAGAGATCAAACACTGGGATCTCCAAGTTAGCGAGCCAACATCCTACTGAGTCACTGGGGATCCTTTCTTCAGCTTTATCGTTCATAGTACTGTATAAAATGTAATAATGTCATCTTTATATTTGTTATTTGTATGTTTGTTATTCTTTATATCTGTTATTTTTTATATTTGTTATTCTTTATATCTTTTATATTTTTTATATTTGTTATTCTTTATATTTGTTATTTTGTTATTCTTATATTTTGTTATTCTTATATTTGTTATTCTTATATTTGTTATTCTTATATATTTTATTATATTTTTTATATCTGTTATTCTTTATATTTGTTATTCTTTATATTTGTTATTCGTATATTATAGAAACAATATGAAGAAGCAGACGAAAGGAAGAGCAAGAAAAATAGTTTACTGAATAAATGGAAAGAGAGAGAAAGAGAATTAGTTAAAGATGGAAAGACACCATATTTCTTGAAACAATGTAAGTTGTAAGCCTGGGGCCTAATTCACAAAATCTGGAGCAAAGAGAGGTGTTGTATAACATCCACTCGACACAAACTAGCTTATTTCGGAACTAATATATTATTCAATTTTATTTCCATAATTAGCTTGCACGTAGGGGTCTTTTGCAGTGGGAAGACCCAGACAAAGTCCACAAGATTGGACAGGCGACCATACTCCTTGTTACATTCTCCTAGGAATTTGGGCTGTTTGGTTTAAAGTTGCAAATCCTCGTCTAATTTTTCAAAATTTAATCTACGCTAAAATGTACTCAGATTGATCTTTTAACATTTAATTAAAGTTTCAATTTGTAGATTGATGATATTCCTTTCAGTGATTCAACTTTCATTTAAAATCCCTTCAATATCTATCAATAAATCCCTTCAATATCTATCAATGAATCCCTCCCATGCCTATCAATAAATCTCTCCTATGCCTATCAATAAATCCCTTCAATGCCTATCAATAAATCCCTTCAATGTCTATCAATAGATCTCGTCAATGCCTATCAATAAATCAGTGATTTTTATATTACAGCTGATGTTAAAAAACTAGAATTAGCCGAAAAATATAAAGAATTAAAAGAAAAAGGTGGACTTGATAAATATTTGGCTAAAAGAAGGAAAAAGAATGCAAATAGAGAGAGGAAGAAGCTTCACATATAAATTTATCAACTTTTTTGTAAATAAATTATTCGTGAAACAGGTTTTTTTAATGCCAATTGGTACAGGGTGGACCTTGAATAGATACTTGAAAATGAAATGAAACGGGTATTAAAGTGGGCTAATGAAGACGGGCATATGTCATACAGTGTGCTATGTGGGAAATTTTGCACGGACGTCAGCGCTCCGGTCTACTCATCTTTCAAATTTAACCAAATGTCATGGTTTTTTTTTATGTGCACACCAACATGTACATGGGGAACCCTGTTCCTTGCCAGGCCCTTCATCCTGCACTACAGACAAGGAGAAAATGGAGGAATTTTCTAAGCCAACATGGGTGTAGAACGTGAAACATTCTGGTTAGTGAGCCAGCACCTTACTCACTGAGCCACAGCAGCTCCACCTGATGATACAACAACCCAGTATCAAGCCACTGCAGCTCCTCCTGATGATACAACAACCCAGTATCAAGTCACTGCAGCTCCTCCTGGTGCTACACGACGCGACATCAAACATGAATCGTAATAATTTAGATGTTGTGAAAATTCCACGTGATAACACAGAACAATATGAAATTTATATAAAAGTAATATTTTACTTGATTTATTATTACATGGTGACAACCTCTAGCATTGTCAGGCGCAGATCCAAGGGGGGGTGTCACCTGGCCTATTTTACTAGTTTTATTATTACAAGGTGACAAACATCTAGCACTGTTTTAGTTACATGATTTATCAAATTAAACATTATTTCCATATCAGTCTATTTCCCACGAGTCCTATCTTGATTTATCAAATTAAACATTAGTTCTATATCAAATCTATTTCACATTAGTCTTGTGTAGATTTCTTTGGTAACTTAAATGAAGTAAAATGAAGAGAAATACTAGTAATCTTGTATTTAGGTTTTGAAGGAAGGGATGGCTTTTCATTTCTGACACCCAACAGAACCTTGATTTATATCACTATTGATAAAAGTCAATCACATGTAACAGGGTGGAGTGGGGTGGGGGGAAGCTCGATCGTCGGTCTAGAATGTTGTGATTTGACAGAACTGCAATTAAGTAACACAGAATTGAGTTCTGTCACAGTTCTACCTATCCCAAAATACAATTGGTTTGATTGAAATCACGACATGATAAAACCTTACAGCCATAGTGATTGGTCGAGAGATAGTAGCCATATTCAACGTTTACTCGGTTGACACCTGATGAGGGATTGAGATAATTCTATCCCACAATGCTCAGTCGAGTAACCCCACTTGCTACCCCTATAATTATATATTGCTTTTTGGGAGCTATACAGCGCCCCACCCCTTACACTGCAGTATATAATTCTACTTTTACTTGAGTAAAAATGGCACAGTACATTTCAATCATACAGACTTTGTCCTCATTAAATCCACACTTATTCTATTCTATAAACGTAACATCTTTGCTTGACGTAATTCTTCTAATTCTTCTTTTTGTTGTTCTAAAATTACTTGACGGTCTTGAATAAACTGACTATAGTCTTCGACGGTCAGGTTTTTTACGACCTCAATGCCACAACTATGAGCACTTCCTATTATTTTTTGGCATATCAACTCCATCGGGACATTCTCAAAAGTTGGATCTTGACTTTTTATTTTTGCGATTTCGTAGACGTGTTTTAAAGTGACCTTTCCTGCTGTTTCATGACCTGTGAACAAACAAACACATCAAATAAATAAAACTTCTAAGTCTGCTGGAGGTTGGATGGCAGAATGGTTAGCATGTGCGCGCTGTATCATACGGTCTGTCATTGAGTCAACTGGTGGGGTTTCGATTTCCCAGTTGTACGTGACAATAAGTAGGGTCACCTGCCCATCCCCGTGGGTTTTCTCCAGTTTCCTCTCACTGCTTAAGATCCCTAGTGCAAGCGAATTATTGAAATAAAATTAAACCATCTCTCTCTCTCTCTCTCTCAAGACCCCTACACGCAAGTGAATTATTGAAATAGAATTGAACCATGTTAGTCCCGAAATGACCTGGTCTGTGTCGAGTGCATGTTAAATCTCTCTCTCTCTCGCACGGATGATGTGCGGGATTAGCCAATGAAACTGTCTGTTATGACGAGTTTTTGGCGTGAGGTGCACGGAACTGTAGGTAATCCACTAGGAACGTCAACGCTGATTGATTAATCAATGTCTGGTGTCACAGGGTCAAAAGTCACTCGTGTGACCCCTGACACGACCTCCCAGTACAACCGGTCAGATCTTCATGTAGTGTAGACTATTGAAAGTATAAAAAGACGAAAGAAATATAGATGTGTATTTTAATCCGATTGTAGAACTAGGTCCTGTTTCTTGAAATCTTAACTAAAGATAAAATCCAATTTTAGTAATTACTTCAATTTTGGCTAAGAAGTAAGCACTAAAATCAGTCTGATATTATCCAATCGAATTACTAAAATTTGGATTTTATCTTAGTTAAAATTTCGTGAAACAGGACCCTGGTTATTATTATTGTTCGATTTATATAGCGCTTCATTACACGTGAGTGTTTCTAAGCGCATTCACAACAAAACAGTTCAAAAACATTTTTGAAATAAGTACGTTTTTAAGTTAGTCTTAAAGCTCTGGATGGAAGAGGACTCTTGAAGAGTTTTTGGAAGATCATTCCACATTTTAGCTGCTCTGACGGAGAAAGCATATTCACCAGAATGCTTAATATAATTTCAACATACAGATCATTGCTACCGTTGATTCGTAACTAATGCAACTTTAAGCGATAATAGAATTTTAACAAATAGATCTCTACTACAGTAGATTCATTATAAAGATTTGAATAATTCAGAAGTAGCAGAAATAAAGGAAAGAGTTATTGATACTGATTGAAGTTGTGGGACGAAGAGTTGCTATGAGATTGAGAGAGAATATCTGTTAGATCTCAGGTACCGGTTCACTATCACCTGACAACTAAACCCAGGCCTTCACAACATCCATTACAGATGTATCAAGCACACCATGCCTTGTACACGTTACCCACCACAACTTTATGCTATCAGGGGCATGGGGGACCCTACGAAAGAGCCAAAAATTAGGGCTAGCATAGACGAACGAGGTACAAACAAAAGTAATGCCGAATAATTAATCTTTGTCCACCAACTTTTTTGTCCCGACAAATTGCCTGATGATACATAAACGGTACCAGACACCCTCCATATAAGGACCCCTTAGCCATGTGGTACAACTACGATGGAATATATATTATTGGTACCCACTGAAACCAAGTTTAAATGATCAAGCATTCCTTAGAGCAGTGATTCTCAACCAGTTTACCGCTAGATCTTCCTAAGTGTGCCGCAAAATTTTGAACGGCACACAAAGAAAATGCAAAAAAACATGTGATCCTAAATGTGTATTCACTGGTGTCTACTGATAAGTTCATAGCTGTGCTTCTCTTTTTTTTGGTTTGAGTCATTCTATATGTCTATAACTTGTTTCTGCCTAAGTTCATAGCTGTGTTTTTATTTTGCAAAATTCAAATATATTTTCTATATATTTATAATTTAGCCAGGTGTGCCACTATTTTTTCATGTGTCCCAAGGTGTGCCGGTGCCCAAATAAGGTTGAGAACCACTGCCTTAGAGAATACAGAATGACCCAAGAGACACCTCCATGGTTACATACCCGTTTTCATGACCCCTTTCTGTGTACCAGCTGCTTGTTTGAGGAAGTATGTAACAGGAGGATTGTGTATGACTATGCTGAAAGTTCTATCAGGCTGAAACACACAAATCAAATAATTAAAATAACAAAATATTCCAGACAATCATTTTACAAATTAAGGGAAGTCTGTCTTGACAAAACATGGTTGGAACCAATAGAGTGCTTCCACTTCAAACTATTTCCCAAAAGAAATGTAATAGGGTTTGGCGTCCTACTGTTCTGCTCTGACTGGGCTAATGAAGAGGCCATATAGTGTGCTATGAGGGAAAATTTTTCCCAGACAGTTGCGCTACGTTCTACTCTTACATTGAATTCCAACAGCCAAGGGATCTTTTACGTGCACGCCAATGTGTACTTGGTTTTACATATCTTCCGAATGCCTAGACAGCTGTCCTTGTCAGGCCCTCCGTCCTGCACCACCAACAAGGGGAAACCACATCGGAAAAAAGACGTTAAGAGTACCAGTATTTCTTGTGTTTTATAGTTAACTTTTATTCAATTTTTAATATTATGACCTGCTGATTGACTGACAAGTAAATTGTTCAGCAGGTCAGTCAAGACTTGTAAACATCACTGAAACAAGACCCCTCATCCAATTACTATATTTCATATTTTAGTTGCTGGTGTCATTCGTTACTTGTTGGGGGTCACACTGGCTAAGTAGGTAAGACGCTGGCTCGCTAGCCTGGAGGTCGGGTGTCCTGATTTTCCAGCATGGTTCCCCCTTGTCAGTGAAGCAAGACAGAGGGCTTGACAAGGACAGCTGTCTAGTCTATCGGATGGGCCGAAAAACCGAGGTTCCATGTACACATGGGCGTGCACGTAACAGATCCCATGACAGTTGGAATTCGATAAAAGAGTAGGCTGTAGTGCCGCTGACCGGGCAAATTTCCCTCATAGCATACTTTGTTATTTTGATTGTTGGTTGTGACAACAGAGCTTTTTTTTGTTTTATTTTTCAGTTTGCTATTTCATTAACTATGCTGTTCCAAGGCCCATCAAAAGATTTAACCAAACAACATTTAGAAGATGGTATTGGCTTATTTATATCATCTGTCTGCAGGGAATTAATCATATCTTTGTGTATACTGAACAGAATTGAATCATTTTGGGCCTGGTAGTCTTTTTAGAGATTCAACTTTTACATAGCAGCACCTGTTGGAATAAAGATTTTACTCAAATAAAACTTAATAGGGTTATAAATCATCACTGGAGAACACAGTCATTATTTTACATAGGCGAGCAATCGCTCTCGAGCACCTTGTCGTGCAACTGAATGTCTCCTTTACAAAGTCATAGGTGGTTTATTAAACTTTATGAAACCATGAATGACCCCCCCTAACATGCAGTTATTGATCTGCAGAACCATTTCTCATACACAAAACTAATCACTCTCCCTAATATCAGATCACTCTCTTTAATTTCTAAACCACCCTTCTTATCAAAACTGGGAGAGCTTTTTTAGGGGAGCGATTTTTTCAATTTGTTGATTAAGGGGAGCCTTTTTCGGCTCTCCTCAAAAATACAAACAACTATGACTGTGAACACAAATTCAACTAATAATATTTTCTTACATTTACTGTTATTCTTGTAGGTAGTGGGATACCCTTTTTAATGTTATCAGTTCTTTCATTAAATTCTTTACAAAATCCTGCAATTTGAATTCCTCTCTGAAAAAAAAAGAAAGAAAAGTAACAGTGAGCTTAAAACCATAAAATGATCATCATTGCTTGATAAATACGAGAGAAGCCTAGTCAAAATGTAGGCATATTACACTAATTATAATGGTAACCTCATTAAATGTAGGCCTATTACACTAATTATAATGGTAACCTCATTAAATGTAGGCATATTACACTAATTATAATGGTAACCTCATTAAATGTAGGCCTATTACACTAATTATAATGGTAACCTCATTAAATCTAGACCTATTACACTAATTATAAGGGTAACCTCATCAAATGTAGGCCTATTACACTAATTACAATGGTAACCTCATTAAATTAAGACCTATTACACTAATTATAAGGGTAACCTCATTAAATTAAGACCTATTACACTAATTATAAGGGTAACCTCATCAAATGTAGGCCTATTACACTAATTACAATGGTAACCTCATTAAATTAAGACCTATTACACTAATTACAATGGTAACCTCATTAAATTAAGACCTATTACACTAATTATAAGGGTAACCTCATCAAATGTAGGCCTATTACACTAATTACAATGGTAACCTCATTAAATTAAGACCTATTACACTAATTACAATGGTAACCTCATTAAATTAAGACCTATTACACTAATTATAAGGGTAACCTCATCAAATATAATGGGTAAAAAAATTAATAATTATTGATTTGTTGTGAATCAAGTAGGGCCTACATGATTTTATTGAGGGGAGAGAGAGAAATGGGGTTCAACATCCTCTCGACACATGGTTCAATTTTATTTCAATAATTTGCTTGTGCATAGGGGTCTTTATCAGTGGGAGGAATGCAGAGTACCCTGAGAAAACCCACAAGGCTGGACAGGCGACCCTACTCCTTGTCACTTACAACCGGGGAATCGAAAACCACGCCACTTGACTCAATGACAGACCGTATGATACAATACATTCGAGCATGCAATCCCCCCTACAGGAAGAAGCTTTGGGTCTCTTAGGTCTTGTCTTTGATATCACTCTTGTGCAAACAGACGTTAAAGAACTCTATTTATAATACTACTAATTCGCACCATACGACACGTGATGTGTTGGACTTGGAATTTCACCAAACAACGGCAACGGGTACCAAAACCAATCCAATGGTGATTCGATTAGAAGAAATACCATGAATTAATTGCTATTTTTATTTATGTACCTGTCCAAGTTGAGGTCCCAGGGGTGGGGCAGGTGACGCCATCCCCGCAGGTATGTAAGTCTTCATAAATGGAGGGTGAACAACTTTAGTTACAGCTTTTTTCATTCCTTGAACAACCTTTCCACCTCGAGCTGCCATTTTGCCTTTGGTTATCTCCCTTTACTCATCCGTACTTGATTAGCTAGAATCTCCCAATCGGTTTATACATACTCGATTCTATGTGTAGGTGGAATATTTAGGACAGGTTAAATTGGGTTTAACGGGCACTCGACAAAAACTCGGTCATTTCGGGACAAACACATTGTTTAATTTTATTTCAATAATGTGACACCGCGGCCCCCTCTTCAGGCTATGAGGGGGTGCAGGCTGTTTCGTAACCTGGCTGTTTCGTACTTAGTTCATTCGTACCTCACTTCGTACCTCAAATTGATTCGTACCTTTTCCTATGTTGTTGAAATCAGTTGAAAGAAATTGAATATGCCGAACCAGAATTAGAATATGCACGAGATTTGGACCTCAAATTGATTAGTTCCCTTTCCTAAATCCAAAGGCTAAATTTATAAAAATGGCAGCCAAACGAGAATTAGAATACACACGTGATTTGGGCGTATTATAAATACCTCCAATGTTTTAATCGATTCATAAATCTGAAATTTAATAAAATTATTCAGGAATTTTGCGATCAGAAAATCTAGAATAAAAGCTATTTTTATTTTAGCATGCCTCCGCATTTACTAATCTTCTGATATGTTTCATTGTATGTTTGCTTGACAACGATGAGGTAGGCCCATGCCCTCATTGAAACGTTGCAGTTTAAGATTTAAGAAATTTATTGGATGACAAGACTGTATTAAATACATTAAATCAGCTTTTTATCTATTTATAGTACTGGGTTCAATACAGTCTTATTTTTATCTCCTTTCATTAATGAATTATATGGGCCATGTAGGGGGTGGTCGGTCTGAATGTCTGTAGAACGCGTAATGCATTACTAATGTCCAATTTTAGTAACAATAGGTGGATTTTCTTCTATTCTTACCACGCATAATCCATTTAAATATACGAAGCTTTTAAACTAGACGTAGTAGTAGTAAATATATGAATGGGTTTTGGTCCGTGAGTTTATTTGTATACAGACTGTTTGATCTAGATTAAAAAAGGTATACTTTGATGATGTAGAATAATTGGCCATCGGTAAATCAGAGAATGATAGACATCTTTAGCATCTATTTTAATACTGTTTCATTGGCGAGGCATTCGCGGTGGCTCTGTGAGTAAGACGATGGCTCGGAAGCCTGGAAGTCTCGGGTTCGCTCTCTTGGTTGGCCAAGAAAGTTCCTCGGAAATTTTGACGTGGCGCAGAACGGAGGGTTTGACAAGAACAGCTGTCTAGTCGTTCGGACGGAACGTAAAACCAAGGTCCCGGTAGGCATTGGCGTGCACGTAAAAGAACCCTTGACAGGTGGAATTCGGTGTAAGAGTAGAGGAGGTAGCGTCTGTCTTGCCACAATTTCCCTCATAGCACACTGTATGATGTATGCCCGTCTTCATTAGCCCAGTTGGAGCAGAACAGTAGGAAGTTAAACCACATTTCATTAGCCCAGTTGGAGCAGAACAGTAGGACGTTAAACCCCATTTCATTTCGTTTTATTGGTGTGTAGTAAAGTGATATATTGATGTATGTTGGGGTTTATAATTAATTAACACTTTTAGATGCAATTACAAGCTGTTAATTGTATTTACATATAGCACAATATATACAATGTGTATTGTTACGTGTTTTATTGGTCTGTAGCGCGCCATGCAATATGGTGTATCTATTTATCTAAACAATATTTTTACAGTTCGACAAATATTGCACCGTAGAAAGCCGAGTTTTTGTGAGTTCTTGCAGGATTCCTTTTAGATGTCATTTTCTGTCATGCTCAATGGCTGAGCTATTTTGCTCAGTAATACTCATCAGCCATTATAATATGTCATTGAGAGAAAATGCCCTATAGGGCCTCTTTTCATCTAAATCTTACTCTGTCATTGAGTAAGGCACTGGTTTACTAGCCGGGAGACCGATCGAGAAAGTTCCTGGGGATTTTCCAGCGTGGTTCCCCCTTATCAGTAGTGTGGGAGAGAGGGCCAGGCAATGAACAGCGTCTAGTCTTTCGGATGGACGAAAAACCAAGATCCAGTGTACGAATTGGCTTGCGTGTATAAAAAACCCTCGACAGATGGAATTCGACGAGGGGCAGACGGGAAGTCGGGTACCATGACGGTTTTTTTTTAGCCGATCGGGTATAGTCTTCCGTATACAGAAGGGTACCCCAGCTATACAGTGTTTTTCTGATTGTTGCTAAAATTGATTTAAATTAACGTAGATACAGCACCTCAACAAAACATATTTTCTTTTTAGACCCGACATAAAATATAAAACTATAGAATAATTATGATCATTAAAATATTTGAACTAAATGCACTCAACAATTCCATCATTCCTTTGGTGTATAGAAAATATAGTTTTGCTTTAACACTGTTGTAAAATGCCATTTTTTAAGATAACGCTTTATACCAGTGATTCTCAACCAGTGTGCAGCGGCACAGAGATGTGCCACGAGATCCCCCTTTAAAGTGTGCCGCGAAATTTTGAACGACACACTAAGAAATTGCAAAAAAACGTGATCCCAATTGAGTATTCACTGGTGTCTATTGCCTGGAAACTTCATAACTGTGTGTCGCTAGATTTTCATATGTTCTAAGGTGTGCCGTTGGCAAAAAAAAGGTTGAGAACCACTGCCTTATACGGTATGCATAGTCATATTAAGTGCTTTTATTATATGTTATTGTTAAAGACGGGTTATAAGATTTAAATACTGAACTGACAGTTAACTCGCTATAACAGGGAAAAAATGGAAAATGAATGTATTTAAAACTTCATTCAAATTCTTTTATTTAAAGCGAAATTATGGGTGTTGTAAGTTTGGGCAAGATCTAGCGTGAATGGTACTTAACGGTACTTAACAATCGAGTCTAAGTCTCGATTATCCATTTTATTGTTAAATTTTTAAATTTCGTGTCCCCGTGTTCAAGTCCATTTGAATATCGGCCATCCGATAGGATAGAGAGTTTAGGCTAGTCAAGTGAAAATAATTGACTTTGTAACATTTGAAACCAAAATATAGACACAAGTCTCGATTATCTATTTTATTGTGAAAATTTTTAAATTTCGTGGACCCATGTTCATGTCCATTTGAATATCGGCCATCCGATGTCTAGAGAGTTGTTTATAGGCTAGTCAAGTGAATAAATGTCGAAATAAATGTGATAGGCCTACCGTCCATGATTAACTCAAAATGAAAAATTCACAAGGAAAACAACCCACGACAAAAGGGAAAATACAATAACAAATAATCTTAATGTTGGTCACACTACGTGTTTAAAAGATATCTTATTGTTAGGACATTGAATAGAACTGTTTATAACTATTCACTTTATAGAATTTGATCCAATTTTTTTGTTACCATCTATTGTCTACTTCCTATTGTATACTATTTTTCCTGGGGTTTTTCGGACGTAATAACGGAAAATTTGCTATTTTAAGTAAATGACGTCACTCTATTTATAGTAACAACATCCGGGTTTTCTGTGGTGGGCATGCTCATTCTAACTTCCGCTTCATGATCTGATACCGTTTTGAACATTTTGTACTTCTGTGTTTAGGGGGACAAATGTGATCATCTAAGCATATGTATTGATTTCAATTGAGCCTCAGGCAATCTTGTATTATACCCTTTATTTGGCAAAATGTCGAATTCTGACTTTGTTTGAAAAACAACTTTTCTATTAGGTTTAAAACAGTCATGGCGTCAACTACACAAAAACATTTTTCGCAGTTGAGATCCGATTGAAACCAGCTCGCCTTGAGCTTCGCTAGGAACCAGTTTATGGTTAAATTGATGTATGCGATTGTGATTTATTAGGTTTGAAAGGTAAGCATCCTGCATGCGTTATTCTGGAAACACAGACAGCTTAAATCATTTGAAAGAAAATGGTTATTTATTATTGTGCACTGCTATCACTTCAGGGGGCCGGGACATCCAGAGGATTCGATGGCCTCTTCTTGATTAGTCTAGGCCTAGTGAGGGGAAATGCACGCCTGAACAAGTATTATTTTGCAGATGCTAGAATATGATTTGGTGTTTAGTATTTGGACAGTAATATAAGGCATTGAATTTTAATATGATCATGATGTTGATAATTTTAATATGATCATGATGTTGATAATTTATGAAGTGCTGTTTCCTTCAAAATTGAAATATTATATAATATGTACATATTACATTTGACATTGAATATTTTGTGGTTATTTTTTGACAAGTTGCCAAGGAGACCACAGGGATACTTGTTTAAAACTTCCGGAATTGCATTCTCTAAATCCCCAAAATAGTGACAATCAAGTTAAAAGTGGGATTTTGGCTTACACTTACAATGCAGCATGGTTTGACTGCATAAGAAAATATCTTGGCCATCCATGAGTGCTGAAACGTTTGTTGTGTTTAATTACGTCATGATTCTACTCACACCACCTCTGTTGTTGAGGTTGACAGGACGGAATTCCACGCCACTCGATTGCAATTCGGGATATTCTCACATCCCCAATCTCTGGCCGGATATTTTCTCAAAGCCGAGCCACGAGTGCAATCGACATGAAACCAGACATGCTTGTCCTTTGAACAATTGCACATCGGTTGATGGGATTTATATTTTGATATGAAATCAGGTTTGTGGGTCCAACTAGGAATCCTAGTAGGATCATGTCAAACTGATCAGCAGTGAATATTCGCAAGGCCGCGACAATCACTGATAAGGATGACATCGATGCGACTTAATGAGTCACAAATATTAACTTTTTTCCTCCGACAAATTAAATTCTAAAACATTTATGTAGAATCTATTAGAAAAATAAATAAAGACGTTTGAAATATTTGTAGGTAAAAATTATTTCCTATTTAGTGTAAATAGGTATTAAAATGAGTAAAAGATTCCATTTTGCCCGGACAATAACGTCTTATGTAAACAATGCACGACGTGCCATTGAGCCAATGATTGACGCTGCCTGAGGAGGCGTCACATGTTGAAGGCAGTCATCTTTTACAGAGATATTAGAAGACTTTTGTTATCTTCTGTGAAACAGATCGGGATCGTATCTGTTTATAGAAGCCGAGATTACCTGGCACATGGCATAAACTAATAAACATTTATTTAAATCCATTTATTATGGCAATTCTGCCTTTTTAGTTTACAATTAGAAATTTTTCAGGATTTATTAATCATTTTTGTGTTTCCATGAAACTTGAATTGGTTTTTGGTATAAAAAGTTTTATTCCTCAGGATATATCTTAATCATTCAAAATATCGATATGAAACTTTGTACCTGAATCAGCCTATTATATTAATTATGCCTTTCTCAGATTTAATCATTTTTGTGTTTCCATGGAAACAATTGAGACTTATATTTTGGTTTTCAAGTGCTTTACAGTTTCTTTTGTCAGGGCATTGATATGTCATCTTGCAAATTGTACAAAATATATTTTACTCTAGGAATAAACTGCTGACATCATTTTCCATGTGGCCATGGCTTGCTTGATATAGGTCATATTTTACTATTATAGTATGAACATAGCCAGTTATTATACTCTGTAATTTTTTTTAGTAGGAGTTAGGTCACAACTTCATGCAAAAGGACCAAATCAATTTTATTTATTTTAGGTCTTGGGGCTTGTGCTAACTAAATTGCCTCTTTCAATCCTGCTTAAGCAATGTTTGGTTTAACAGTTCAAAATTGGAAGTATGAACATTTGAAAAGAGCAACCAATACTGCATTGTTTTTTAATTATTTTTGATTTTTTAGAGACACAGGTTGTCCATTTTTTAACAAATGTTCTTGAAGAAGTTTAAGTTTGTGTGACCTAACACTGTAGTTAGTAATGCTGAGATGACTAATGTTTTAAACTAGCGTACAAGTGACATGTTTTACAGCTAAGTAAATGTTGCATAATACATGCAGCTGATTTATGATGACTGTATAATTTACTAACCACATTCATTCTGTTTGGATATTATTTTCATCTCTTGGGGGTGGTGGGGGGGGGCTTGAATGGCCGAATGGTTAGCACTTGCACGCTGTATCATAAGATCTGTCGTTGAATCAACTGGCGTGGTTTCGATTCCCCGGTTGTACATGCCAAGGAGTATGGTCGCCTGTCCAACCTCATTGGTTATCTCCAGGTCCTCCGGTTTCCTCCCACTGCTAAAGACCCCTACGCGCAAGCGAATTATTGAAATAAAATAGAACCATTTGTTATTCCCAAATGACCTCGTTTGTGTTGAGTGGACGTTAAACCCAATTTCTGTCCCTATATTTTCATCCCCGTAAATAGAGCTTTGGCTTGCTAACCAAGAGGTCACATGTTCGACCCCGATGTCGGTCGACACGGTTCTCTGGATATTCCCACTTGGCTTCCCTCCCAGTCAGTGTTGCAGGACAAAGAGTCTGGACAGGAACAGTGTATAGTTGTTAGGATGGGACAAAAAAGAACCCATATAAGTTGGAATTCGAAATACAAATAATAAAATTGGAGGAGTTTTTATCTTCTGTAATTTATAGATTAATTTAAATTGAATAATATTGATTTGTTTTTTTTGTGACAAGCAGTTTGGTATTGTTATTCATGCTGCAATCAGTAAAATACTAATGATTGAATTAACATGTTACATTTGATAAATTGCTGAATCATCATGGATAGATTATCATGTATTATATTTCAACTGAATTCTGACGACGACGACTACTAGGATTCATGGATTGATTATCATGTATTATATATTTTAACTTAATATACTTCCTCCGACAAGGACGACGGTAGATATTAGTGACTAGGGTTCATGCCTAGAAACTAAATCATTTAACAAAGGGGAGCAGACCTAGATTAGATATAATACTCATGGGCAAACATCTATACTAGTTCTCTGCAATTAAACTGACGAGAGAAAGGAAAGCAGACCTAGATTAGATATAATACTCATGGCAAACATCTATACTAGTTCTCTGCAATTAAACTGGGCGTCCCTGAGAAAACTTACAAAGTTGGGTAATCCTCCACTAATGCTTGTTACACACAAGTTTGAGGTTGAAATCATGCGTCTGCTGCGGCATACCACTTGACCCAATGACAGACCTTGTGATCTAGAGCGCACCCGTTTTAGACAACTCAACAACCCACCTTTCCACAATTTATATATAGAAATTGATGATTTCTGTTCGCTCGTTGGGGAGTGACTGGATAATCATGTTTATATACACGTTGGTTTTGTAGTAGCAAGTAGTTGCGATTAAAAAGCCACTTGTACAATTGAACGGGGAGTTGGATGGCCGAATGGTTAGCACATGCACGCTGTATCATAAGGTCTGTCATTGAATCAACTGGCATTGTTTCGATTCCCCAGTTGTACGTGACAAGGAGAAGGGGTCGCCTGTCCAACCTCATGTGTTTTCAGTGGGTCCTCCGGTTTCATCCCACTGCTATGGGCAAGCGAATTATTGAAATAAAATTGAACCATGTGTTAGTCCCGAAATCACCTAGTTTGTGTCGAGTGGACGTTAAACCCCATTTCTTTCTCTCCGTGTACAATTGAAGAATTGTAAAGTTGAAACAAATCTTCAGACCAGGCAAATACACCACATCGTCATATTTTCTTATTAAATTTACGTAGCTCAACGCACCTTTATTTACGGTCTTTTTCGGGATGTGGGTCTACCCCTTTAATAAATACACAGGCCTAAACATTAGATTAAGTTCCTAATGTATTATATATTATAATATACTATATCATAAATTATTATAATAGTGAATATAGACAGGTTCCAACTGTTTGATTTATTTACTTTCTGTCCATGCTTACTCAACTGTATGTTCAGGACATTTGTAACGTTAGACTTAAACTTTAATATTGTGATACAATTCAGTAGCCGAGAAAAAATAGATAGGTTTTTAGAAAGAAAATTGGAACTTCTACTCTAGAGGGATTTCTTCATTGTAATAATTTGATAAGATTCAATAGGTTTTTAGAAAGAAAATTGAAAGTAGTACTAGAGGGCTTTCTTCATTGTGATAACTGTAATAATTTGATAAGATCCGATAGGTGTTTTGAAAAAGAAATTGAAAGTAGTAAAAGAGGGTTTTCTTCATGTAAATATTTGATAATGGATAAAAGTTGTGAATTATAAGCACATGGCACTGGGCAGTATGTGAAATTAAGTGCAGTGCATTTTTGGCTGCTGCGCACAAGCAAATTATCGAAGTAAAGTTATATCATATGTTAGTCCCAAAATGATTTTAAATGACTGTTTATCTTATGCCAAATAGAATTAAACCCAATGTATCCTCTTATCTTCAAACATGGCATGGTGTGCACGTTGGAATTCGATACATGTGTAAGAGTTGGCAAATTTCCCTTATAGCACACTGTATGGCACATGCCCGTCTTCATAAGCCCAGTCGGAGTAGGACATTAAGCCCCATTCCATTTCATTTCACTGACAACATGGCATATTTTCTCCATTGAAATAAAATGTAACTAATATGTTTATAAATATAATATGTCATAAACTAAATAGACATTAATCAACATGTCATCTATGTGTGGTCTGTATAGTCGATTATACCCCGAGGCTACGAATATATTTCACAATTAACACAAATTTATTCTACCTATAATTTCAAAAAATTCAAACATATTTTTCAAAAGAGTGACTTAGTGTATTGTCCTGCCGTAATTAGACATTTGTTTCTGTTTTCTGATTGATTATTGATTTAATTTTTTTGTTACAGTTTGAAAAATGGGTGCCTTTCTTGATAAGCCAAAGACAGATAAGCACAATGAAGGTGGTTGCGGTAATGGTTTACTATATGGATTATGCAGTATGCAGGGATGGAGAGTCGAGATGGAGGATGCTCATGCGGCTGTAATAGGACTTCCGGGAGGACTTAAGGATTGGTCCTTCTTCGCCGTGTTCGACGGCCATGCTGGAGCCAAAGTATCAGCTTACTGTGCTGAACAACTTCTTGATCATATAATCGCCAACGAAGATTTCCGTGGTAAAATTGATATCACGGAGGGGACAGAAGTACAACCATCTATTGAAGATGTCAAAAAGGGGGTTAAAACTGGGTTTCTGAAACTCGATGAAAAAATGAGAAAAATACCCGAAATGGCGAGCGGGGAAGATAAGAGTGGATCAACTGCGATCTGCGCGATCGTCTCTCCTAGCCATGTTTTCTTCGCTAATTGTGGGGACTCCCGAGCGGTACTGTGCCGTGAAGGTAAATGTGCGTTTGGTTCAACAGATCATAAACCAGTTAATCCCATAGAAAAAGAACGTATTCAAAATGCCGGAGGTAGTGTGATGATCCAGCGGGTCAATGGCTCACTGGCCGTTTCTCGAGCTCTTGGAGATTTTGAATATAAACAAGTGGAAGGAAAAGGTCCGTGTGAACAACTCGTTTCTCCGGAACCAGAAATATTTATCATGGAACGACATGCAGATGATCAGTTCATGGTGTTGGCTTGCGACGGAATTTGGGACGTTATGACTAATGAGGAACTGTGTGCATTTGTCCAAAGCCGAATGCAAGTGACTTCAAGTTTAGAACAAATTTGTAATCAAGTAGTCGATACATCATTATATAAGGTAATATTTATGGTGTAAGGGGGGTAATTCCTAGTAATTTTTATGGTGAGGGGAGGTAATTATTATTAAAATTGGATAAATGACATTTTCTACACACATAATAGGTTATAGGGTTGTTGACAGTGTAAAAGAATGGACAATTAGCTTGCAGTATGGAGGGCTTGCTTAATCGGTGACCTTGTATTGGATGTGGCAGTTTGGTAGACTGGTAGAATTAGTGACATTGTGGTAGGTTGGGCGAATTAGTGACATTGTGGTAGACTGGGACAATTAATGACATTGTGATAGACTGGGACAATTAGTGACATTGTGGTAGACTGGGAGAAATAGTGACATTGTGGTAGACTGGGATACTTAGTGACATTGTGGTAGACTGGGATACTTAGTGACATTGTTTTAGACTGGGAAAAATATTAATATTGTGTTAGACTGGGACAATTAGTGACATTGTTTTAGACTGGGACAATTAGTGACATTGTGGTAGACTGGGTAAATTAGGCTGGGCTGGGAGAATTACATGTAGTGACAGTGTTGTGGGCTCATGAATTAGTGACAGTGGAAGGCTGGGTGAATTAGTGACTGTGTCATAGGCTGGGATATTTAGTGATGTTATGTTGAATGAGAGGTGGTGGCATTATATTATAGGGTCAGAGATTAAGGTGACCATACCTGGGTGGGGTTGGAGAGTTGGTGCCAGTATAAGGCAGGAGTTTGGTGAAAATAATGCTCTCTCTAGCATTGTAAATTTAAACTTAAACAATAGGTTCAAGGAAATGGATGATTTTAAAAATCAAAGTACCATTTATCTAAATCAACCAGCAGTATTTCCAGACTTAAACAAGTTGTGTGGCCATACGGGGGAACTTTTTGCTAAAATTGTTGTCATGTATTTTAGCTGACAAGAAACATTGTCTAGTTGTTTGTATGGGACAAAAACGAATGCGTATTCTTATTAGCCCAGTTGGTACAGAAAGTAGAAATCGACATAAATTCGTTTTCTAGATGTTTGTAAAAATTTGAGAAAGATGCAGTTGAATGTCCACTTGTTGGTCTGGGAATTGATAATTAATTAGTATTTTTCTGGGAAAATTTTGCTATCGTTTTGATAATCTTGTAACACTTACATGTATATATAATAGAGAAGGGATTATAGGAGTATACTAATGCTGATCATTAATAGAATTTAAATTAAGTGGTGCAAATAATTTGATGTTTTTGTAGTGCAGTAACATTCTACCGTGTACTGTACATCTACATGTATGTTCTACCCATCATCCTACACATGGGGAAACTCTCCAATCCACTGTGGCCCCGATCCTTATTCAACTGTATCATATGCGAGTCCTTTTGTATTATGTCCATTGGTTAGGATCTGTTCAAATTGATATTATTTCCCAAGTCCAGTTTCTACGTCAGTCTTAAGTGTTGCCTAATCGGGATGAAAATACACGTAAATTTGAAAGAACTGTTGACAGTTGGAATTTGATGAAGAATAATTGAATGCTCTGCTGTCTGGGCAAAATTCTCCGGATTAGGAAATTTGATAAAGACTAGGCGGAAAGAAAAAATAAGATTGTCCCCTGTTTCTCTTGCTTGTTTATTTATTATGACAGTGCTGTACATTTACGTGTGATTATTGGTGAATATTTGTTTATTATGACAGGGCTGTACGTTTACATGTGATTATTGGTGAATATTTTCAGGGCAGCAGAGATAATATGAGTATCGTCATAGTGGCAATGAATGGAGCACCAAAAGTTTCAGAAGAAGCACAAAAAAAGGAACAAGAATTAGATGAAAAAATAGAAACTACAATTAAAGGTATGTTCTTATTACCCCCAGGGTGTTAAAGTGCTTGGGTGGTTCTAGGTATATTCTTATTACCCCCAGGGTGTTACAAGGTTTGGGTGGTTCTAGGTATATTCTTATTATCCCCAGGGTGTTACAAGATTTGGGTGGTTCTAGGTATATTCTTATTACCCCCAGGGTGTTACAAGGTTTGGGTGGTTCTAGGTATATTCTTATTATCCCCAGGGTGTTACAAGATTTGGGTGGTTCTAGGTATATTCTTATTACCCCCAGGGTGTTACAAGGTTTGGGTGGTTCTAGGTATATTCTTATTATCCCCAGGGTGTTACAAGATTTGGGTGGTTCTAGGTATATTCTTATTACCCCCAGGGTGTTACAAGATTTGGGTGGTTCTAGGTATATTCTTATTACCCCCAGGGTGTTACAGTGTTTCAAAATTGAATATCTACTAAAATTTGGATTTTATCTTTAGTTAAAATTTCGTGAAACAGGCCCCTGATTCTAATTTTTAGTGATCCCTTAGCCGTTTAAATTCAAAGAAGAAGAAGCAGAAATGCCTGGGCCAAATTCTCCCTTTTGCATTGCATTCTTTTGAACATTATATACAGGCTACATTTATCACCAAGCGTTGTATGTGACAATGAGTAGGGGTTGCCTGTCCAGCCTCATGAATTTCCCGGGTTCTCCGGTTTCCTCCCACTGCTAAAGACCCCTACGCGCAAGCAAATTATTGAAATAAAATTAAACCATCTGTTAGTCCCTAAATGACCTAGTTTGTATTCTCTCTCTCTCTCTCTCTCTCTCTCTCTCTCCCACAGTGTTTTGTTCTTGACATTAGTAAGCAGAAGAAACTTTGGGAATTTTTGAGATTTTTTATAAAAACTTACAGGCTTATTGCTCTTGTTCATGTAGTGTCGGCCACTGGTAGCACGTTGAAAATTCTCTGACAGTTGGAAACTTAAATAAGAGTAGGATGTACCACCACTGCCTGGGTTAAATTATTCTTATAGCACATTCCATTGTTTATGCCCGTCTTCATAATCATAAGTTTGGTTGATTCTAAACTTTCTCGCCATTCCATTCCATGATTGTCATGCCCTGGGGATAGCATTGGTTGTTAACCTCCAGTCATCTCTCTCTCTCTTGTCATACATGGTTTTACCGCAGTGCTTACTCTGATAAAAAAATAAATTAAAATCTGGGCCCTTATTCACGAAAACTTAAACTAAGATACAATCGAAATTTTAAGAAATACTGCAATTCGATTGGCTGACCCGCATATTGATCAGCCAATCGAATTGCAGTATTTCTTAAAATTTCAATTGTATCTTAGTTTAAGTTTTCGTGAATAAGGGCCCTGGCGTTTATTATGATAAATTTTGGTATGCCTGTAGTGATATTTTTTTTTCACAAAAAATTAGGCTTTGTATATTTTTCATGTCATCCATTCGTTCTGATCTTTTGCGCTCTTGTTGGCTTATTTTGAATTATTAGATTCCTAGCTCAATGTCCGACTTCACCCGGGTCCCAAGATCTGCTTCCTCGACATCTTCCTGTCTTGCATGCTTTTCTGCTAGCTTAAATCCTCTGTTACTATTATTAAACTTAATTATCATAATGAATAGAGTTACCCCCCATTAACCATAAATTGGAGTAAAACAGTTCAGCAGCAGACACAAGATTTTTAGCTGTGTTAAACTAATATATGATCTTGACCTTCATAAATATCGAATTGATTTTATTACTTACTTTTAAATGTTTAAATAATTTAGCTCCTGTTTACTTCTCAGATCTTTTAGAACTTTATACACCTGGCCGAACATTACGTACATCAGATAAACTACTTTTAAAGCCCAAAACTGTTCAACTAGTCTCTTATGGTCAGAGCTCTTTTAGTTATCAAGCACCTGTTTTATGGAATAATCTACTATTTAGTTTAAGATGTTGTACATCTCTATATTCTTTTAAAAAACAACTTAAAACACATTTATTTAATCAGGCTTTTAACTGACTCTGTATACAATCGTTAACATGTCCATAATCTTGTTGTTTATTTATGATTATATTGTCACTTTGTAAAGTGCCCCTGAACATGTTATATCAAAGGGCGCACTATAAATAATAATAATAATAATAAATCATGGCCTAAAACATTGACAAGATCATGCTGGTTAATTTGATACCACATATGTGGGGGGGGGGGGGGTGGATGGCCGAATGGTTAGCACGTGCGCACTGTGCTGTATCTACGGTCTGTCATTGAGTCAACTGGCGGGGTTTCGATTCCCCGGTTGTACGTGACAAGGAGTATGGTCGCCCCTCCAACCTCGTGGATTTTCTCCGGGTCCTCCGGTTTCCTCCCACTGCCAAAGACCCTTACGCGCAATCGAATTATTGAAATAAAATTATACCATGTGTTAGTCTCGAAATGACCTAGTTTGTATCGAGTGGACGTTAAACATCATGGGGTGGATCACGGTGTCGAAGCGCAATGGGCGAACATACTTAGATGCATCTTTGATTTTATTTATATAGATAACTTGTCTCTTTGTTTCAATGTTTTTGGATAACCTTGTGTGTTTTCTCCGGGTCCTCTTGTTTCCTTCCACTGCTAAAAGACCCATATGTGCAAGCCAATATAATGAAATAAAATTGAACAATTTTTTCAATATGTAATTTCTGAAATGACCTAGTTTGTGTCAAGTGGACATTAAACGCTCTCTCTCTCTGTAATATAAAGAACCAAAGGTAGGTTACAGTTTATAAATGCATATATATATATATATATATATGTCCAATTTGATTAAAATACAGATCAATATTTCGTTTCGTTTTTTTTTATACTTTTGATGGCCTACACTACATGTACATAAAGATCTGACCAGTTGTAGCGATAGGTCGCGTCAGAGGTCATACGAGCGGCTTTTGACCCTATTAACCAATCAGCATTGATGTTACTAGTGGATTACCCACAGTTCCATGCAAAACACGCCTAAAGCTCGCCGTAACAGACCGTTTCATTGGCTAATTCCTCAAACCATTCAGAACATGTCAATGATAACAACTCTTCCCGAAGATCTGGCCCCAAGTTCACAAAGCATTCTCAGACTTGAGTTGAGAATTTACTCAACTTTCAATCACTGTTTATGAGAAATATCTTTGATCCAGAAACACAAAACGTTTCACATAGTTTCTTTTTAATGTATTTGATATATTAAAACAACAAAAGTTTTATAAAGGGCTATAGTTTAGGCAAACAATTTTGAGTAAAAAGTCTTAGAATGCTTTGTGAACACGGGGCCTGTGTTTTAATCATATTATTGATCATTTGTCGTAAATACAAACTCAAAATGGAACCAAGAGTGAAACTTTGAATTATAAAATCCTACATGTACTCATTGCTATTTTACACATTACAGAAATACTGGAGACGGAACCGCAAGAAAATCAGGACCTTCCATATATTGTACATGTTTTAGCTAATACTTTAGAAGAAATGTTCCCTCCTGGTGGTGGTATAGCTTCTAAGTAAGTCCAGCTTTAATATTTATCATGGGATCAGGTGAAGCTTGGGTCGTTCGGTATCTGTAGTTGAATAATTTCCACACCTCTAAATGTATTTAACCAGGAGGACACCTGATCACACACGCCAGCAAATTACCTGAATGTATTTAACCAGGAGGCAGGAGGACACCTGATCACACACGCCAGCAAGTTACCTGAATGTATTTAACCAGGAGGCAGGAGGACACCTGATCAAACACTCCAGCAAATTACAATTTTAGTTGTACATGACATTTTGATTTGTCTTTTGATAAAATCAGGAAAAAAAAGACAAACTTCTGTCGAGGAACTATACCTGACAATGGCAGAGACTGATGCTGTTTTCCACGCGTCAATTTTTTAGATACCTTTGCTCTTGCTGTAAGGTGTAACTGTATTAATTTGTCATTAAAAATCTGTTAATTGATTTTCTTAATTAGGGATCTTGTTTTATCTGCTAAATGGCTTTCAAAGTGTTTTATCTACATATTGCACCACATTTTTGTTAATTAATCATTATTTGCTTGGTAACGATATCTGTATGTGTATCTATGTGTATCGATACGAAGCATGTTAATAAAGTTCAGAAGTAGTATATCCATATAAGTGTGTTAATTTTAGGGATCTTGTCGCAAAAAATTTAGTTGCCATTAGTTACATGATATTAAATCTTTTTTTTTTTATCCTCTTTACAGAAGAACTTTAATTGAAACGATCTATCGTAGATTACGACCCCAAGAAGAAGTAAGTTCTATTATTTTCTGTATTTATTCTATGGGTGACGGGAGCTACTGTGGCTCAGTGAGTAAGACCTTAGTTTGTTAACCTGGAGGTCATGTGGTGGATCCCTGCGTTGAACAAGAAAGTCCATCAGGGTTTTCTGACATGGTTCCCCCCATTTCAATGGTGCAGGATGAAGACCTATATATAGTCATTCGGATGGGATGAAAAACCAAGGCCCAGTGTAGGCCTACACATTGGTGGGCACGTAAAAGAATCCTTGGCAGTTGGAATTCGATATAAGAGTAGGCCGTAGCACCGCTGGTCAGTCAAAATTTCCCTTATAGATCTAAAAATGTACTCGGTATGTGCATGTAAAAGATCCGTTGACTTCAGAAATCTACATGTGGAATTGGCAGAAACATAAGTGTCAGGGCAAAATTTCTCTCATAGCACACTGTGTGACGTAGGAGGGTTGGATGGCCGAATGGTTAGCATGTGCGTGCTGTATCAAAATAAGGTCAACTGGTGTGGTTTCGATTCCCCGGTTGTATGTATGACATAGAGTAGTGTCGCCTGTCCAACCTTGTGGGTTTTCTCCGGGTCCTTCGGTTTCCTCCCACTGCTAAAGACCCCTACGTGCAAGCGAATTATTAAAATAAAATTGAACCATGTGTTTGTCCCGAAATTACCTAGTTTGTGTCGAGTGGACATTAAACCCCATCTCTCTAGTTGTAATAAAGTAGGATGTTAAACCCCATTTTATTTTATACCATATGTTTTTCTATTACAGGAAGAAGGTCAATAGGGTTAGATTGAAAATAAAATCACATTGAAGATGACTAATCTAGTTATAGTGTGATATACAAACATTAGCTGATTTCCTAATATGGTCAAACGTCAAAATAAACTCTGGGAATCGGCTTGAAGGCCTTAACACAGCCATATTTGTTCAACTTGTACATTGTATTGTATAGGACTGAGACTATTCATTTATATAATGATGCACCATTGGGGGGAGATAACTCTATGGTAGGGGCAAAATAGGGCCTGCTTGATGGACTGTTAGACATTGCTGACCTGTTTCTGAATCGAGTCAAATAGAACAGGCACCTAGAAATATACAAGAGTGACATTTTTCCCTCCCAGCATGGACAGAACCTGAATATGTTCTGCCGTTGAACTGGTTCTTACTGCCACCTATCATTGTGTTATCTCCCCTTTGATCAACCACAGTATCAATATTAGAACACAGGTGTCGCCACACTTCACCATCAGTTGCTAGGTTAGAACAAGATGGTGGTCAAATGTCTGTTCTGTAATCATAATAATCACTATAATATATACTTATCATGTTATTTTCATATTTGGGCATTTTATTAGCGTATTATTGCTCGGGTGGAATTGCATGGGCACATTTTATTATGAATATTAGATTTATATAGAGTGCATGGGGTTATCAGACATTTTATGCTGCTCTGTTTTATTCTTCAAGCATGTTACCGGGATATATCGGCCTTACCCTCGTTACCTACCCAGATATTGCCCAAATTCAACATTTCATTGGTCCCAGACCAGAAGTAATATTGAAGCGATTGTTGTCACAATTTTGACACGGTATTTACGGTTAATAGTAGAAGAGTATTTTCTGTGACCAGCTTTATTCAGGCTAGATCAAATATCAGATCCGAGGGAACAGCCTAGATGTGTCAAAGATGAGAAAAGGGCCAGTCTAATATATTGATATTGACTAAACCAATATATATATATATCATAGTATCATATGACATTTGTTTGGTCCCAGTCCTCATATTGTATGTATAGTTGTTGATTAATCAAAAAATTGAGAAAAGAATCTAACTAACTTCTGATTCTGTTTGTTTTGTTAAAGAAAATCTGTCATTAGTTTGGTTGGAGTTGTATAATGATTGTTGGTATAATGTTTTATTATTTTATAGTGCTCACACTCAAATAGATCAAAAATACTGATCAGTCCACTAGAATAATCACTCTAAAATACTGGTAAATCCACTAGAATATTCACTCTAAAATACTGGTGAATACACTAGAATATACACTCTAAAATACTGGTGAATACACTAGAATATTCACTCTAAAATACTGGTGACTCCACTAGAATATTCACTCTAAAATACTGGTGACTCCACTAGAATATTCACTCTAAAATACTGGTGACTCCACTAGAATATTCACTCAAAAATACTGGTCAATCCACTAGAGTATTCGCTCTAAAATACTGGTCAATCCACTAGAGTATTCACTCTAAAATACTGGTCAATCCACTAGAATATTCACTCTAAAATACTGGTCAATCCACTAGAATATTCACTCTAAAATACTGGTGACTCCACTAGAGTATTCACTCTAATATACTGGTGAATACGCTAGAATATTCACTCTAAAATACTGGTGACTCCACTAGAATATTCACTCTAAAATACTGGTGACTCCACTAGAATATTCACTCTAAAATACTGGTGACTCCACTAGAGTATTCACTCTAAAATACTGGTGAATACGCTAGAATCTTGACTTGGTAGATGGGTTGTTAATATGAAATACTGGTGAATATTCACTCCATGAGAAATGTCTGTAAATACTTAAATCTCTAGCTGGCTAAATGTTAAATGTAAGATCAGTTGAATAAATAAATGAATATCTTTATTTCCGCCATTGTGAGCACTATAAGTTAATAATTACAAGCTATAATTTATATATAGAATAATATTTAGTCAGCTGATTATCAGATGACTTCCATTTGTCGAACCTGTCAACACTCTTTAACCTCGTGATTCTCGGCCAAAATGTCTGATTGCTTCTCACTTTAAGATGACCTTCTACAAGAAGAAGAAATTGTCTTTTTTCTGAATTATTAAAAGGGAATTATCATCTATAACTCATGTCTGTCTATATTTATTTAGGGGTAGGGTCGCTTGTCCAACCGTGTGGGTTTTCTCCAGGCCCTCCAGTTTACTCCCACTGCTAAAGACACCTACGTGCAAGCAAATTATTGAAATAAAATTGAACCATATGTTAATCCCGAAATGACCTTGTTTGTGTTGAGTGGACATTGAATCCGATTTCTATCTCTCTCTGTTGATATTTATTTCATGGATTTATCGAGTATGAGCGACACCATGTTAAAAATCTGAAAAGGTCATTTCTTACGCAGTATCGAAAAAACTCAAAAGTAGACAGAAATGGTTAGGAGAAATAGGCAATTTTTTTGCCATCAATTATTTCCATGGCTTTAATACGGAACAAACCTGTATGACTACCCTAATTCATTTGTTCTAGAGTGAGATGAGTTTAATATACACTATGCCTGTTCCCCAATCCTTCAGATATAAACAAAATCAAACATTTTAGTTGGCCAGATTCACAGGTTAACGCGTAGTGAAGGGTTTCGGAGGAATGGTGAGGCTTGATATATATATACATATATTATAAACAATGCCTCATATGTATAGAAAGCATCTAGTATGATTATTCTTTGTTGAAATAAGAAAGAAAATTTATGATATAAAGAGAAATTATTGTTATCCATTTCGGTTTATTTTATATTTGTTTTGTGAAACTTAACCTTGATTTGTAGATCACCTTATGTCAATTTGAGTTGATTGAAATGTTGTTTATTTGATTAGAGCCTATAATCTGTTTTATTCTGTGAGCTGTATTAGGAATCTAAACCTGTCGAATCATTTCTTCAACAATTACCCTTTCTTACGTTCCTCCATTTTTATACCTCCTCCAAAATAACTTTCATCACTTTCATTCTGAACAATATCAAGAAATCGGGATGTATTAGAATAATGTTGCCTGCTAATTTTGTGTGCAAAGACAAATTTAGATAATTGATTTGTAATAAGCATATTTAATGATATAATAAGTGTTTTCGGACAAGTCGACTTGATTAAGATTTTGGACATATTTTGTAAAAATAATGTCTTTTGTAGCACTACCAACGTTTTAGACGAACATTTACAGACAGAATTTGATTAGCAAAATCAACATTTTAGGCCAAAAATTGTACAAATTTGACTTTTGTCGACTAGAAAAATCAACAATTGAGAGGAACATTGTAAAAATCGACCATCAGAACCTGATTTTTTTTAAAGTTTGTTGTATATTTGAAATATATGAAAGTTTATTTTGATGTGGAACTATGCAGATTTATCTGTCCTGCCAGGTGATTGCTAGTCAGCTCGTAAAATGAAACAGTTTTTTATATTAATACTTAGTTGGTGTATCTCTAATCGTAGCCTAACAAAACCAGGGTCCGTTTGTACGACCACAACACTGTTAGTTGTATAACAATCTGATTAAAACACAGATCCTATTTCTTTTCGTTTTTTATCGTTTTACTTGTCTTTACTACACTAGGATCTGGAAGACTTGTTATATAACCAGCGTTCTGCTTGATGTGATGGATTAGCCAATGACTTGGTCTGTTACGGCGAGTTCTTGGTGTGTGGTGTACGGAACTGTGGGTATCCGACTAGAAACATCAACACTGATTGGTTAATCAAAAGTCTGATGTCATAGGGTCAAAAGCCGCTCGTATGACCCCTGATGCGACGTTCCACTGGTCAGATCTTCATGGAGTAGAGGTCATCGAAAGTATAAAAACCGTAAATGTGATATAGATCTGTATTTTAATCAGATTGTTTGTCTCGGCCTGATTAGTTCAACTTGTGAGATGTACTAGACACTCTGTCATTATTCTTCTCCCTACAATTATTACTTGGTACCATCAACCTTAAAGGGGCAGTCCCCAGTTTCCAAAAACAATTAAACTCGTAGAATATATAACATATTTACCTGGTTTGAGGACTTCAAATCATGGATGTAGGCATGATTATCCAGTGGCTTACACAGCATGGTATTTGATGACTTGTGGGCCAACTGGTCAACCCTAACATAGAAACTGAAAGTTTGTGTTTCTTTGAAAAAGTATCACAGCGTTTTACGTATTTAATAGGTCTAGCCTAGTCTTTCTTCCAGTAAATTTTAATATGTGGGGCTGCTCCTTCAAAATAACACTCCTTTATCAGGGCCGAATAAAGCTGGCATGGGGGACCCCTGGTTGAAAATATCACAGGGTCCCCTGGTTGTAGCTCAACCAAGCCTGTCCTTTATTCAAGGTTTATGATAAGATATCATCTTTCAGTTCATTGCAAGAATTAAAACATGTAAAACTTTCTTTAAAAAACGTATAACAAATGTCACTTAACGTGAACAGACGTCACGTCATTAACGCATGTTGACGTCATCAACTAAATTTTACTCAGCAGTTGCCACCAATGGCGGCTTAATGACATAAATACCAAGTTAGATTAAGTAGTGCCGATAATATTCATTTTGTATGTTAATTATTGAATATAAAATTTCACAACAAACTCTGTAATTATTTAGAAAATAAATGAATAAGTTTGAAGTATTTTATTAAGAGTTTAGATTCAGAGTCTCTACAACTGTACTTAAACAAGGTCTATGTGTAATGTCATAGATTGGGTCCACCATATTAGGTCTATTTGACAAGGCCAACTCATCAAGTTTGGTCAAAGGTCACGAGATGTAAACATGGCTAGCGCTAATCCTGACCCTAACCTTGGACCTAGCCCTAATGTTTACCCTAACCTACAATCTCGCCAACAATCACTACATGCCCCTACCTTATATACATCTGGACGACCGTGACAAAAATTGAGCTGGCCTTAACAAATAGATTTAGCCCTATATTAGGTCAAACAAAAAAAACCACATGGACAAATTACAACACCAACCTTTCCCGTATTATTTTCAAAAACCCTTGATCAGTAATTAAACCAGGGAAATTTTGCCTGGACAGCAGCGCTACAGCCTACTCTTATATCGATTTCCAATGCTAGGATTCTTTGACGTGCACTCCAATGTGTACATGGAACCTCGGTTTTTTTTTGTCCCATCCGAACGACTAGACAGCTGTCCTTGTCAGCCCCCCCCCCCCCACTGAGAAGGAGATCCACGCCAGAAAATCCCGGCCAAGGCAGGGATCGAACACGCGACCTCCAGGCTAGCGAGTCAGCGTCTTACCCACTTACCCACTTAGCGCAACAGCAGCAAGTGCGTCCAAAATCATCAGAAAACACTATACTGATCTCCAAGAAATTCACCCGAAAATATTCACACAGAAACTTATAATTGCATATTCTAAAAATAAAAATCTGAACGACATCCTAGTGCACAGTAAATTAGATTAAATAAGACCAGTCTCCACCCTGACCCAAAACAAACCATATATCAAATCCTATGCCTAACCGTTAGTAATTAAAATCAATTAGATATAATCATCCCTAGCCGTAACCCGGTGATGTGGAACAAACACGATTTTTTAGAAAATCCAATCCGTAGTAGGAAACACACTAATGTGGCTCTCTCCCGAGAGCCTCAAATTTATTTTCTTTTTTCTTCAGAAACAATAATACCAGAATACCAGAAGCACCACCCAAGGAAGACCATCAGCGCCACCAACACCAATAAACAGTGAAATCGCCTTTGTATATAAATCTAATGTATTGTATGTATTTTAATAAAACTAGGAAATATCACGAACTAATTTTTTATCATCCTAGGTCAATGCTTATGTGGAGACTTAACCTCTCCCCCAAATTCTTAAACCTAACCCTCGTATAACACTAATAAGATTTATCACATGATGTATTTGAAGAGTCCAGGGGAAGAACGATCTAAGTCACATTTTTGTCTTTTCGCATAAAAGGCAAAACAGACTTTTGGACGAGAATGTTTGACGCGAACAGACCAACCAGTGGGTTTAATTACAACTTGAAGGTGGTGTTTAATACGAATCATAATTACCAGTACCACTGACATCAACTTTTCAGGCAAATTAAGGTTAAATAACGAAATAACGGGTACGATGGACCTGTATTTGTCCTGGAGGCCATTTTAGAAAGGCCTAGGTTCGATGTGACTCCGATTGTTTTTACCTGAAATTGATTGTTCCACAGAAAGCTTATACAATTTGCTACCAAATGGCGCCATTAACTGGGGTTCATTGAAAAAGTGACTTAGATCTTCATTTGAGTGTAAACCAAAACTAGTTGAAGTTGTAAAATTAATAGATCCTTTAGGGACGGATTCCTCTGACCGTTACTGTCCGTTCCCATTAAACAGCAATATGAAATCAATGAAACTATCGCTCGATCTGTCCCACGGATGTTTTCATATCTTTAAACATACTAAACTTAGGTTGCCTGTCTACAGTTAGCTCCGCTTGAAAACAGACACTAAGCTAGTTGACCGACATTTTAAGTCCTAAATTGACGATTTTAATCGAAAGCACTTTATATGCTTCAAGAATTTTGTTAAGTAGTTATTCTGCTTCCATTTAATAAAATTGAAAAGGTTTAATTAGTGTTTAGTGTTTAACAGACGTAAACCGGAGAAGGATCACATTATAAAACAGTAAACTTATTTTTAGATATGGCGGTCATTTAGGGCAGAGATCTATTCTCGAAGTATAAAGTAGATGGATCTCTGTGTGCAGAATGATCTTAATTACCTTCTATTTTTCACCGTAATTTTTCTTTGTTGGCGAAAACGAATCATTTCTGGCTACATTTGAAAAGTATAGCGTGAATGTGGTTTCACACAAGTTGGTATTTACGAAATCTTTAACATTTGAGAGCCGCCGCAAAAACTCTTAACGCATGACGCAACGTACCTCATTTGGCCCCTTCACTCAGACTGAGATCTATTTGATAAGGCCAACTTCAAGTTTGGTCAAAGGTCACGAGATGTAAACATGGCTAGTGCTAACCCTAACCCTAACCCTGGACCTAGCCCTAACGCTTACCTTAAACCTAATCTACAATCTCGCCAACAATCACGTGCGCTTATTTACATCTCAGCGACCTTGACGAAAATTGAGCTGGCCTTAGTAAAAAAATTTAGGGTATAAATTGACTTAGCCCCTGATGAAACCCTGTACAAAGGAGTTAATTGGAAGTTCAAAAGGTCTTTTCCCAGCAAATCGGTCCATGAGACAGAGAGAGGGGGTGGGGGGCATACAATTTAAAAATAAGGACAGCACACCTTTGCTCTAATAGGGCTGATAGTATTTGTTATGTATACGACATTTTCAAGAGAACATATTTACTAAAGAGGCTTAATGCAGTTGGACTGATTTGACTTTAGTCTTTTGTTGACTGATCAAAATGTCGGGAGATTATAGTAAGCCGGTCTTTGGTTATTTTTTTCCTAGTAAATCTGTTGACATGTATATTATAATACCGTCAAACTATCAAGTCTATGTCAATATGTCGTCTTCCTTCCTATCGCACCTTTTTCATCTTCTCCATGGTATCCTCTTAGAGATGCACAAGCACTTAATTTTAACACCCGAATTATTTTTCTAAAAAAATGGGAAAAAAATTAGGATGTATTAACAATATTTTTATCATGTGCATATTTATGCAACGTAAGTCGCTTTTCTTCCAATGAAAAGACTTTATTATTCTTAAATTGAGTGTGAAGTCATGTGATAGGTAGTTATACCGTGAATTACATACGTCAAAAGAGGAAGTTAGGGTATTTTCTTGGACATCCTTTAGTTGGAAGCAGACGCCTTGAACTATCGGGTGTGGAAATAATATAATGATGTTTTTGTTGGATAACCGGGGCATTATATTTCTGGTAAGTTTGCAATCTAAATAACTAATTTAAAGACGGTCAAATAACTAATTTAAAGACAGTCATATAACTAATTTAAAGACGCTCAAATAACTTATTTAAAGGACGGTCAGATAACTAATTTAAACACGGTCAGATAACTAATTTAAACACGGGTCAGATAACTAATTTAAAGATATCTAATTTAAAGACGGTCATATAACTAATTTAAGCAAGGTCAGATAAATAATTTAAAGGACGGTCAGGTAACTAATTTAAAGACGGTCATATAACTAATTTAAAGACGCTCAGATAACTAATTTAAGCAAGGTCAGATAAATAATTTAAAGGACGGTCAAATAACTAATTTAAAGACGGTCATATAACTTATTTAAAGACGGTCAGATAACTAATTTAAAGATAACTTATTTTAAGGACGGCCAGATAACTAATTTAAAGACGGTCAGATAACTAATTTAAAGATAACTAATTTAAAGACGGTCAGATAACTAATTTAAAGACGGTCAGATAACGAATTTAAAGAAGAATTCAAACAGTGGTGGATTGAGAAGGAATGTGGGAGTATGATAGAATCAGGTCCCAGAAGGAGTTAATGTTAAATTCCTGCATAAGCTAGAAACATCAGGATATACTCTAGAAAGCACCATTTACGGCCAGTAGAATGGAACGCCCACACCCCGTGGTCCCCAGTCCGTCCCTGAATTCAAATAACAGGATTTTACTAAATTCAAATAACATATTTAAACATGACTTTACTCAATTTAGATAACAATTTAAACACGATTTCACATAATTTAAAACCTTCGTGTCGGCGATAAAAAAAAATATGTCATTATTACATGATAAAATGCTTATTTCATAGTATATCTTTTGTTTCTTTGGTGGCGTTTATTTTCAAATTTAATTCGCCAGATTTTTTACAGTGGGGCCGGCCCAACCCAGTTCCCTACCAAAAGTTAGTGTATGTACTTTAAGTTCAAAATTAAGCATAGACTATCCAAGATCGATGATAAATTACATCTATTTCTGTTGACTGGTTTCATTATTCAGGACTTGCTAAAAAATCGCGCATTTCGCCGGAAAGGTTTGAAATTTATCAACGGGAAGTGGCCCCATTTCTACTGGGAAAACCTGGTGCCTAGTAACTGTTTTACTAAATACAGCGCTATAAATGCGTCAGTGGTAAGAAATGAAATGAAATGGGGTTTAACGTCCTACTTTTCTGCACCGACCGGGCTTATGAAAACGGGCTATGAGAGCCTTATATCGAATTCCAACTGTCAAGGGTTCTTTTACGTGCACGCCAACTTGTATACGCGACCCATTCGAAAGACTAGACAATGTTCCTTGCCCGGTTCGTCGTCCTGTAACACTGACAAGGGGAAACCACACTGGAAAAATCTCGAGGAAATTCATCGACCAATACCGGGATCGAACCCAGACCCTCCTAGTTAGTGAGTCAATGCCTTACTCATTGAGCCACCGCGCCTCCTTTGAACGTTAGCACGGACGATCTTGCTTGTGTTGGGTGTATTAACGGGTCTATACAGCGTCTTATAAGTATCTCAGAGAGAGAGAGAGAGAGAGAGATGGGGTTTCGGGACTAACATATGGTTCAATTTTATTTCCATAATTCGCTTGCGCGTAGGGGTCTTTAGCAGTGGGAGGAAACCGGAGGACCCGGAGAAAACCCACGAGGCTGGACAGGCGACCCTACTCCTTGTCACGTACAACCGGGGAATCGAAACCCCGCCAGTTGACTCATTGGCAGACTTTATGATACAGCGCGCACGTGCTAACCATTCGCCATCCAACCCCCCTATCTCAGAGAAAATATATCGTAAAATACTATTGGTTAAAACCATCAATGTATGAATTGGAATTGCTAGTAAATAATGAAATAAAATAAAATGGAGCGTAACGTCCTACTGTTCTGCTCCGACTGGGCTAAGACGGGTACTATGAACAAGTATTAATATTAAAACTGTAAATAATTTAGGTCGATATATTAAATGTAATTATGATTATTAATCATTATAATCTTATATATTGTTCATCCCCAATCGCCTTCTTAATTGCACACATAGGCGTAGGCGTCGGGGGCAGCCCCCCTTCCCCGCCCCCCCTCCCCCTTCCACAGATTCGATGAATCGTCCATTTTTCGGGCACAGACATACATATGAAAATGAAATCGCACGCGGTTTACGTTTTGAATACTTTAATACTTAAGACCTCGTACAATAACATTTGAAGAAAACTCGTTTTAGTTAATGATTGATTCATTCTGAAAATTAGGGTGACAAAGAAAATTTTTGAGCAAATAGCCTCAGCCCGCCCCCCCCCCCCCACCCAATTGAGATTGGCCCCCTACGCCTGTGATAGTACACTCCTATAAATGAATGGAAATAATTTCGGTTAAGTGATAATTTTCTATTTAGTGCGCTAAGAATATGAAATGGCTGTATGTGTATTGTTTAATACCAGATTCACCCAGTGATGGGTTTAATTAACCAAAATGAAATGAAATGGAGTTTGACGTCCTACTGTTCTGGTCCGACAGGGCTAATGAAGACTGGCATACGCCATACAGTGTGCTATGGGAGAAATTTTGCCAGGGCAGCTGCCAATATATACACGGGACCTCGTTTTTCGTCCCTTCCGAGCGAATATCAATTAACCAACCGTACCCTTCAATAATATCGCTTTTTTCATATGTATACCCCAAAAAATCTTCAATTCAGACGCCCCAAATGACCCGTATTTTTATGGAACCAGTTTGCATCTTTTTACAAGGAAATAAAACATAATCCTACTAATCCTAATCCGAATTAATCTGATTTTAAAATAATAGGAGATTATCTATTTTTAATTTTTACAGCTTGTTTGTTTTTGTGCTGGTTTCAGTCAGTTCATCAAAAGGCCGATTAGTTCCGGTTTTTATCCCTGTCATGTAAGTTCGATGTTAAATTCAAACATTCTGGATTAATTTGTTAAAAAAGGCTGAAGAGAAAAATAAGGCGGAAATGAATAGATCTTAACAGTGATAATTAAAAGTTGCTCTTTATTTTTTTCTCCTCTTTGTTAAGTCTGTACTATACTTTGAGGTTTAATTACTTACTTCCTTCAAAGTTATGTGTTCCGGTTTAAAAGGCATCCGAGATCAGCTAAAGGTAAGGTCGTGCAGTACCCCCCCCCCCCCCCCACGCACACACACACCACACACACCCTTCAGGATGAAATTAAATGGGGTGTAAAAAAACATCCTACTTTTCGTCACCAATGTGGCTAATGTAGACGGAATATTGCCCTGACAGCGGCGCTACGGTCTACTCAGGGGACGTTTCACGTACTGTCCATGGGATTTTTGGTCCAATTCGAAAGATTACACGGGACTGCCAAGTGAAATACAAATTATTGTTCGATAGAATAAAACCATCGATCTTTTAGTCGGTTTAATGAGTTCAGCATTTCTTACAACCCCCTCAATCAGTAAATGCGGGGTATGATGCACCCCCCCCCCCCACACACACACATGAATGTCAGAGGTCCCATGCCCCCCACTTCCACCAGGTTAATCCGGCCCTGAGCACAATATTATTATATGAGAAGCGGCACCAGGTGTTCTAGAGAGAGTAAGCATACCCTGCCTCATGTACAACATCTATCAATACTATATATATCTAGATTAAGTGGCAACAGGTGTTCTAGAAACAGTTAACATACCCTGTCACATATACAACACCTATCAATACTATATATCTACACTAGGTGGTATCAGATGTTCTAGATATAGTTAGCATACCCTGTCTTATGTACAACATCTATCAATACTATATATCTAGAATAGGTGGTATCAGATGTTCTAGAGAGTAAGCATACCCTGTCTTATGTACAACATCTATCAATACTATATATCTAGAATAGGTGGTATCAAGTGTTATAGAAAGAGTAAGCATACCCTGTCTCATGTACAACACCTATCAATACTATATATCTAGATTAGGTGGTACCAAGTGTTATAGAAAGAGTAAGCATACCCTGTCTCATGTACAACACCTATCAATACTATATATCAACAATAGGTGGTATCAGATGTTCTAGATAGATATCCTGTCACATATACAACACCTATCAATACTATATATCTACGCTAGGTGGTATCAGATGTTCTAGAAACAGTAAGCTAACAATAGTATATTTTATTTTTTATAATCCCTGTTGGATAATAATTTGTTTTGAATTTGTTTTTATAGTTAAATCTGGCGAATACTATAGTTATAAAATATTTATATAAACTTGTTTACCTGTTGTAGTTAAGAAAGTGTGGACAGGGTGAAGAATGTAGGTTAAAGGAAAGTAATTGTACAGTTCCACCGTGTTCCCTTTCTACCAGGTGTATAACAGGTAAAATATCTAACTTGTTCTACCACCTGTATAACAGTATCAGGTAAACTGTCCATTCAACAATATGTTAGCGGACATTGTCCCGGTGCCAACCTCGACCAAGCTGCCCAAATCTCAGTTTAGAGAGAGAGACAAGTGCGTACTCTGTTCAGAATACATATATCCCCCCCCCCCTTCCCCTTCAGTCAAAATTATTTTATCTGTTGCAAATACCCCCTTCCCCCTATCCCAAAAAACCCAAGAATATAACTGTTTCTCAAATGTTACTGCAAAGAACTTTAATTCATAAGTAAAATAAAAAATATTGTTTTATAAAATCATTTGTGTTGAAATAAAGTGGAGATTATATCAATGTTTTTAAAGTTTAAAAAACGTGTTTGGGAGATGATGTTTTGGCTAATTATCACGTGTTTTTTCAACTAAGTTTGTTTATTTGAATACTTTCTCCATTTTTAAATTATTTTTTTGTTTAAAATTTCAGTGCAAGATGGAACGTTTCAATGCCCTGTCGGTAAACCGATTTTAAACAGAAATGGCACAGATCAAGTTTGTACATCGTCACGTGATTGTTATAAACATTCACGATGCGTGGTAAAAAGAACAGAAGGCCACAATGAAACCCGTTGTTGTTGGCGAGGCTCGCGACTTCCCCATAAAAAACTCTCAGAAATTACGACGAGGATATTACGTAGATTAATTCTTCACGATAGCCCCAATGACCAGTTTATTTTAAATAATTCAAATCCTGACATGATCAAATTTGATATTGTTTCTCATCGTATAATCAATCAAGAAGGTAGCTTGGCAACGGGTTCCACAAATACGACCAGTGTCATAAAAAATCCTTATATAGATACTCCTGCTATCATTGATCAGGGTACGAATAATCCTGCTATCATTGATCAGAGTACGGATAGTCCTGCTAAAATTAATCAGGGTGTAGATAATCTTGCTATTATTGATCAGGGTACGGATAGTCCCGCTATAATTAATCAGGGTGCGGATAATCTGGGTACGGAAAATCCTGCTATCATTGATCCGGGTACGGATAATCTGGGTACGGATAATCCGGCTATCATAGCTCACGGTACGGATAATCCTGCTCTAATTAATACGGGTACGGATATTCCGAGTATAAATAACTTAGGTACGGAAAGTTCGAGTATAAATATTCTGGGTACGGATAATCCTAGTATAAATAATCTTGATACGAATAGTCCTACAGTAAATAATCAGGGTACGGATAGTCCTCGTAAAAATAACCCACGTAACGGTACCCCTAGTATAATTAATCCGGCTACAGATAATCCTGCTAGATATAATCCGGGTACGGACAGTCCTGCTAACCCTGGTACAGCAGGTCCTGGCAATCTTGGTTCGAGCTATCCTGGTGTGGTCAATCCTCGGTTATATTTTCGTCATCCAATTCATCGAAATTGTACGCATGGCTGGCACCATTTCCGTTTTATTCATTCTGATTCTACTACAAGTCATCCTCGCCTAAGTAATGTTGGCGATTCTGATTCTACTACAAACCATCCTCGCATGTTGGTTGGCGATTCTGATTCCTCCACAAGCCATCCTCGCCTGAGTAATGTTGGCGCTTCTGATTCCACCACAAGCCACCCTCGCCTGAGTAATGTTGGCGAGTCTGATTCCACTACAAGCTATCCTCGCTTGAGTGATGTTGGCGATTCAGATTCCACCACAAGTCATCCTCGCATGCTGGTTGGAGATTCTGATTCTACTACAAGTCATCCTCGCATCATAAACGTTGTTTCAAATATACTCTACACGAGTAATCTGAACATTGATGCTTCTGGTTTGGGTAATACTGCAACGCATGCTCCATTAGTAACTAACGCTGGCTCTAGTAATTCACAATTTAGTAGGAGTACCTTACAGCTAAGTCCTCGTAACAAACGCGATGTAAGCTCCCAATTATTAGGAACTGCAAATCCTCACCTTACCCATCGGCATACACACAAGCCATTATTAGGCACGACGGATCCCAACTATCTTAACAATTTCGACGGGGGGGAAGCCTTGTTAGGAACCGCCAATCCCAGTTATATTTATGATTTGGGAACACCGGATTATGGAACAGCCGTTCCCTTATTAGGTGGTACTGGTACCGATACCGTTTTTTTATTTAGTACACAAAATTTTAGAAATCCGGATGAGAACAAACCAGGTACCACTATTTCATTACCAGATACGTCAAATTCAAGTAATCTTATAAATGCAGATCTTAGTAATGTCGATGCTAGTAATCTTAAATCAACAAGTAAAAATCCCAATGGTAATAACCCAGGTACGACTATTTCGTTATTAGATACATCAAATTCCAGTAATCTTAGTAATTCTAGTTATCTTGATTCAAGTGCTTATTTACCAAACAACTCACAGCCAGATATTTTTGGTAATCTTGGTGACGATAACGTCGCGACAAATATTCCCTTATTAGGCATAACCAGCACAAGCTATCTATATTACGATACAAATATTCCAGCGCTGGCCAACTCTAATCCTGATTACGTCACCGGTACTCCTTTAGGATTGTTGAATACCCCCGATCCGAATAATCGCCACACCAATATTCAGTTATTAGGGGGTTCGGGGCCCACGGGTTCTCCAACAACAACGGATTCATTTATAGGTTCTACTGATATCGGCGTTCCGGCTCCGGCCCCGGCTCCGGCCCCTGTTCCATTTAGATCCCGACGTCAGAGGAGACAAGAATTGGATTACAGAACCCTGAACTATGACCTTAATCCTAATCCTGTTGGACCTCATCTACCAATGGTGGAGTCCCGCCCTGGTGGGGGTATAGCTGGAGAATATGAACCCCATGTTGAAGGTGAGTCTAATTGTAGTATAATACAAGTCAATGTTCACAGTTGGCTAGATCTAGTTCATCTGGCGTGGTTTCCCCTTGTCAGTGATGCAGGACGGAGGGCCTGACATGGACAGCTGTCTAGTCGTTCGGATGAGACGAAAACCACGTAAAAGATCCCCTGGCAGTTGAAATTTGATATAAAAGTAGGCCATAGTGTCGCTGTCCGGGCAAAATTCCCCTCATAGCACACTGTATGGCGTATGCCTGTCTTCATTAGCCCAGTTCGGAGCTGAACAGTAGGACGTTAAATCCCCATTTCATTTTATTACTGAGTGACGTTTTGACTAGACTTCTGGTGTATGACTAATCAAATCAGAGCTGCCTTAATAACCACTGATTTTAGACGAGGAACAGGGTCCCGTCGGAGCACAAAACCCAAATTGACAAAGCTCCCTTTGAACCAGTAAGTTATTCTAAACGGAATGCAAATTGTTCTCTTTTCTTGTATTTTGTTGTATTTATTGTCTTTTATTCAGTTCCAATGCAGAAACCTGGCCACTGTTCTCTGTCAAGAACTGGAAAATGGAGTCCTCGGTGTATGGACACGTGTTTTAATGACGCCGACTGTCCTTACAGTCAGAAATGTTGTCATAATGGGTGTGCTAGAAGTTGTCAATTACCTCATATGTCACTCAGTCCTGATATTCCCGCCAAAAAAGCCGGCAGGTGCCCGAGTCTGGTTATTAACGATGGTGGTAATATTGAATGTAAGGGAAGAAGATGTTCCTTAGATCGACATTGTCCTGGTAAAACTAAATGCTGTGCTTCTCTTATTTGTGGTCGAACATGTCAATCGCCGAATCCAGGTTCTCTCCTATTATAATATTTATTGACATTTGTCTAGAGAAGCTCCATGACATACCATCCACGTGCATTCTTGTCATGCGCTGTGAAAAGTTGTCTTGTCTTGATACTACACGGTGTAAAAACAGCCCGTCCTGGTAATACGCGGTATAGAACAGTCTTGTCCTGTTAATACGCGGTATAGGGCAGTCTTGTCCTAATATAATCCGGGGCAGATGGTATTCTTTTAGGACACTTTAGAAATGGTTTGTTTAATTAAAACGGCTTTGTAAGATAATTTTATGTACTTACTACCCTGTATATAGTTCTATTGTCCATATACTACCATCTTCGTATTCCTTGGCTCGCGAAGATGACATACTACGCGTTACATCTTCGTAAACCTTGGCTACGCGCTACATGTTCGTAACCTATTGGCTAGCGAAGATGACACACTACGCGCTACATTTTCAATAAACATTCATTATATTCTCTATCAATCGGATTAAAATACAGATCTATATTTCGTTTCGTTTGTTTATACTTTCAATGGCCTACACTACATGAAGATCTGACAAGTTGTACTGGAAGGTCGTATCAGAGGTCATACGAGCGGCTTTTGACCCTATGGCGCCAGGCATTGATTAATCAATCATCGTTGACGTTTCTAGTTGTTAGCACACAGAAGTCGCTTTAACAGACCGTTTCATTGGCTAAACCCTCACTTCAATCAGAACGCCGGTAATATAACAACTCTTCCAGATCCTAGTGTAGTGAAAACAAGTAAAACGAAATTTTGAACTATAAAAAACGAAACGAAACAGGATCTGTGTTTTAATCAGGATAAATCTCTACTGGAGAAACATATCAATTATAAGTGTATCTCATGTTGTATGCCATACTTAACATCTGTTGTAAATAAAATAAATATATTTGTTATTTTTTGTCTTTGAAATTCTTTTGAAACTGTCTGCTGTCGACAATGATCTTGTTTTGACAGTTTTTGTGAGTAGTTTACGGAGTGTTATTGATGGTGTTGAGGTGTGCTTTGAATAAATTACGACATGGCTGCATCAGGTGGGTATCAGGGAGGACATCTTCACAATGTCAGTATATAATTCTAACATACCCCCGATACCTTGACCGCACTCGTATAAATATGTGTAAAATATTTTACAGATTTAAAATGTATCAGAATAAACCGAAAATTAAAGATACATTATGGGAGATTAGATAAAGAGATGGCAGTTCTCGCTATAATAGTTAAAAACTAGATAGTGTAATGGTAATTTGCTGAAAATTTCAGTCAAATTGATCCATTATGAGCCGAGAAAGAAGCGGGTGAAATTTTTGCATAGTCTCGGTCATCATTACTAAAATCATTAATATAAACAGCATAGTCTCGATTATCCACTTTTTCTGATTTAATTATCAACGGCCGTTAGCGGCATATAGGAATCTAATCCAGCTAACATCGAAGGCTAGCCTTGACATCGAGAGTTTATTATGGTCTGGATAAGTTAATTTAGATAACATTTCAGGCCTAAAGAAAGACTTGTAATAAACAGATTTTGCTCTTGCATAATGCATGTTTAACTTTTCTAAAGAGCCTAAAGCCCTTTCCATATACGCGTCTTTGGTCACATGGAAACGGTCCCGATACATTTGGATTAGACCGACTTTTTTTTCGCGGGCGGAAACCTCACCAAAACGCATACAGTCATTTTTTTTTTTTAACAAAAGGGCCTAATAATAGGCCTAAGCCTAAAAATTATTGTCTTTTCGATCCTGTGGTAATATTTCCCTGATTACGTTGATGGAATCGTCGTTTAGCAGAATTGTAGGAAAAAAACATTTCTGTCCTCTGAGGCATTGAGGCATATGATTTAGAAATAGCTTACACATTATTTTTGTACTGAAGTGGTCACATTTTTCTGTGGACTTTGTTTCTTCATGCAATAAGATTTATCGCATCTTATCTATGGTTGGGGGGGGGGGGGCTGTTAGTCCGAATCAACCCAAAAAGATTTATCGTATCTTATCTATGGTTGGGGCGGGGGTTGTTAGGCCGAATCATCAAGGGAAGAAAACAAATGAATAACAGTTAGATCTGTTTCTTAAGTATCAAATCCAGATTTGGTCAAAGGTCACGAGATGTAAACGGGCTAGCACTAACCCCAAACCTACCCTGGACCTAGCTCTAATCTTACCTTTCCAAAAACCTAAATCTACAATCACGTGCTCTAACCGGATTGACATCTCAGCGACCTTGACAAAATCTAGAGGTAGCCTCGAGAAATAAATCTAGCCATGAATAATCCCACATCTTATAATACAAGGTTTTCTCACGAAATTTAAATACACGGTAAGGTCCCTTTAAAAATATTGACCTTGACCTTTGAGAAAAAAAAAACGAAAGTAGACATGGCGACCAAAAAGAAGCAAGAGTGAGGCGATTATAGAAATGGCTCCAGTTAAACAATGGTCGTTTCAATAATTATACAAAGGTAATATATCTTTTTAAACTCACAGATTCCTTGAAATAGAATAGAATAGAATTTTATTGCATCGAAACGTTCTTTGAGGATAGCATATACAACGTACAAGCGCCAAGAATCCCAAATATTTTTTTTTTTCGATTTAAATTTACGGCAGTGGCTATTGTAACAACGAGTCGTAAAAATAGTCCTCAGGCTATTGTTATGACGATGGTTTCAGAGCCCTCAATCGGCAAAATTTAGGGTTAGGGTTTAACCCTAGTCAGGCCCGGATCCAGGATTTTGTCGAGGGGGTGGGTTGGGGGCATACTTTGGAGCAAAGCCAAAGGGTACTCATCAGAGTACCACATGCATTAGTTGTTTGCATTAGATGCATGGGCTGAAGGGGGGGGGGCACGGCCCCCTGGATCCTGGCCTGTAGTGAAGTTGAAATCCATTCATCCAGACGGTTAATAGAAATCGATGGTCGTAACAATAGCCACAGGACTATTTTTATGACTATTCAGTTTTTAACTTCGCCAATGGAGCTAGGCTCTGAAAGCATCGTGGTAACAATCTGAGGACTATTTTTACGACTCGTCGTAACAATAGCCACTTCCTAAATTTAAAGTAGCTAAGTCTCTAACTCAATATCATCCACAGTCTTCGATGTTGCAAACATGACTTATTGATCATTTTAAATCAATTGTTCTCTTAGAAACGATGGGCTTCTGATATCCAATACTTAAACAAAATAAACATTTTACCATTGGTACATGAATCGCATGCCAGAAAGCTTTCCAGTGCTATTTGTAATGAAGCGACTCAATGAACAAGACTAAACATACCCCACAGGAGAATACTGGAATAAACTGCCATTCAATTTGGACCCTTTGTGTATTTCGACGAACATAATTGATTAGAAATTACAGAAAAAACAGAAACTAATGAATGTAAATCATAATCTTTAAGAGGCATTTAGTAACTGGGTAGAGCAATACACAAAAAACACATACTTATGGAAAAACAGCTACTTATTTATTTGGGCGACGTTTCGAAGAGTATTCTCTCAACGTTATCAAGCTAATATATAAACTGATTTACATTCACAAAAAACACATACTTATGGAAAAACAGCTACTTATTTATTTGGGCGACGTTTCGAAGAGTATTCTCTCAACGTTATCAAGCTAATATTAGCTTGATAACGTTGAGAGAATACTCTTCGAAACGTCGCCCAAATAAATAAGTAGCTGTTTTTCCATAAGTATGTGTTTTTTGTGAATGTAAATCAGTTTATATACATTCATATATTATGTTATTAATATTATATGCATTGCAACCCATTTGTGTCAATTTCTAGATCCCAAATATTACCGATTTAACTCCTTTAAGAGTTCTTTCTCAACGTTCAATTTGTATGTTTACAGGCCTAAATGAATGTTGTATCGTTTAATGTTTAATTTTTAGATGACAGAAATAAATGAGGAAGAATTAAAGAAACGGCAAGCTTATATCAGTAACTTGAAAACATTTCTGGCTGAACAACAGGAGAAAATATCTTTAACACTAGAAACTCTTGGATGGAGTCCAGAACATTTCATCAAGGTACGAACATGATAGATGTCATATCAATTGGTCAGTTGATCATGGGGTCTGTCATGGAGGCATGTCAATTGATCAATTGATCATGAGGTCTGTCATGGAGGCGTGTCAATTGGTCTATTGATCATGAGGTCTGTCATGGAGGCGTGTCAATTGGTCAATTGTTCATGGGGTCTGTCATGGAGGCATGTCAATTGATCATGAGGTCTGTCATGGAGGCGTGTCAATTGATCATGGGGTCTGTCATGGAGGCATGTCAATTGATCATGAGGTCTGTCATGGAGGCGTGTCAATTGATCATGAGGTCTTTCATGGAGGCGTGTCAATTGATCATGGGGTCTGTCATGGAGGCGTATCAATTGGTCTAACATAATACACTTTAGATCATAAACTCTGTCAGGGAGTTGGGGTTGGATGGCTGATTGGCTAATGTACGTGCGTGGCATATTAAGTTCTGCCATCGAGTCAAGTGGTGTGGTTTCAATTCCGCGCTTGAACATGACAAGTAGATTTCCGATGGTCCCCTTTATAACCTGGTTGGATGGCCGAATGTTTAGCGTGTGCGTGCTGTATCATGAGGCCTGTCATTGAGTCAACTGGCATGCTTTTGATTCCCCACTTGTACGTGACAAGGAGTAGGGTCGCCTGTCCAACCTTGTGGGTTTTCTACTGGTCCTCCAGTTTCCTCCCACTGCTAAAGACCCCTACACGCAAGTGAATTATTGAAATAAAATTAAGCCATATGTTAGTCCCGAAATGACCTAGTTTGTGTTGAGTGGAGGTTAAACCCCATCTCTCTCTCTCTCTCTCTCTCTCTCTCTCTCTCTCTCTCTCTTTACAAGAAGATAAATATGAAAGTAATTAAATGTGTGTCATCTATTTTGGGAGTAAGGTGGGATTATGAGGACATCAGTCTCACTGTCTTCTCCGGGTCTTCCGGTTTCCTCCCACTGCTAAAGACCCATACACGCAAGCGAATTATTGAAATAAAATTAAACCATATGTTAGTCCCGAAATGACTTAGTTTATGTGGAGTGGACGTTAAACCCCATTTCTCTCTCTCTCTCTCTCTCTCTCTCTCTCTCTATAAAAAGATAGATGTGGATGTAATTAAATATGTGTCATCTGTTTATTTTGGGAATAAGGCGAGATTATGAAGACATCAGCCTCATTGTTGGTTTGTTCTATATATAATCTTACTAGTTTATTTTTATTTTAGCCCCAGAATAAAGCTGTCTGCCCTTTTGATAGGAATCATGTGATACCAGAAGACAAATTTGAAAAACATAAAGAAAAATGTGAATTAAAATCGAAGGGTGTACCTAATTACCTACTGGTAAGTTATCCAGAATTAGAATACAGGTGTGATTTCGTCCTTTAATATTTCAAATAATGTACGAGCAACGTGCAAACTTTACGTCACCGGTATTTTATACTAGATGAAATATTGAACTCTCTGACGATTTCATTGAAATATTGAACTCGCATGACGATTTAATTGAAATACACATGTCAATATTTTAAGTTGTTTAATGGTCTCGTCAAGACATTGCATAATATTTTGATACAACACTCGGGTGGATGTCCTCGTGCAGTATCAATACATGACTTTATGTCTTGCTCTCGGCCATTAAATCACACAGATCAGAGATTTTAAAACAAGGGTATGGAATTCATATTGGATATATTCCTGGTCGGACAATTTAGGATGTTTGGAAAAAAAACAAGGGTGTGATTTTCATATTGGACATTTTCCTGGTTGGACAATTTAGGGCGTTTGGAAAATAGCTTCGGACATGAATACTTTTAGTACTGTTTACCGTTCTTACAGACTGACAGAGATGTTAAAGATAAAGAGCTGGCAGTTTTCACTATAATAGTTAATATCTAGATAATGTAAAGGCAATTTGCTGAAAATTTCATTCTAATTGATTGACTCTGAACCAAGATTTTTGAGATTGAATATTGGGGCTAGCCTCAATCATCATTACTAAAGTCGCTACAATAAAAAAAATAGTCTCGATTATCCATCGAGAGTTGATTATGTTCTGGATAAGTTAATTAATGTCTAATTAATAATTTAGATAATATTTTGTGCCTAAAGAAAGACCTGCAATAGGCAGATTTAGCTTTTGTATAATGTATGTTTAATATGTCATTATGTTTTATTTTCGTTACTTTTTAAATTCTCCTACCACAATACATGATATTGTAATATACAACAGTAATTTATAATACTTGATATTCAGGGCTCACGATTCACGATGGCTTTCAATTTTTTTCTGCCAAAATGGTCCATAATTTATTATTTAAAGTATTGTTTTTATTTTCCACTGCCAACTGGAATATTTCATCGGCCAATACTTGATGATGTGGACAGGGAGAAGTTATTGATAATGTGTTTAAATATATTGACAGGGAGAAGTTATTGATGAAGAAAAAAGGATTAAAAAAACTTCAGTAAATACTGTGAAATTAGGTACTACAGTTTTTTCATTTTTCTTTCTTGTAACAATGTTTTTAATGAAAACTTTATAATAATCTTGAATCTAATATTGAGTGAATCATGAATAGAGTGGTGGGTATCTCGCAACTGTAGTCAGGATGCAATACACATGATTCTGGTTCGTAATCAATTCAGTAATTTGTGATTCTACAAGGGACAACGTTAGTAGGACGTTAAACCCCATTTTATTTTGTTTTGGTATTATTTCAGATGAAGCTGAATTAAACAGTATTTTATGGAATCGGGCCGTAGATTGTGGTCAAGGTAAGTTAAAACTAAATGTGTGTTTATTTGTTGGGATGAGCAATAAGGATCCATGTACACACATTAACCCCTAGCGTAAATATAGTTCCCTGAAACAAGTCATCTGTTTTATAGCCTAACACTACTCTCATAGCTCCGACAACACAGAAATACATGGTTGTCAGTTTGTCAGACAAATCATTATCTACTCCGAACCTCATAGCCCCGACGTCACAGAGTTAAATAGTTAACTCAAGCAGTTTGTCTGACGAATCATTATCTGCAGGCCTGTTTGCACAGTTGCACTCTTTTATCTTGTTTCGGGGAGCCGTAGTGGCTCAGTGAGTAAGACATGGCCGGTTGCCAACCAGGAGATTTTAAGTTCTCTCGTGGTGATGACCGAGAACGTTTCTCATGGTTTGACAACACGTTTCACCTTGTTAGAGGTGTAGGATAAAGGGCCTGACGAGGTCCAGTGTACAAATTGGCGTTTCACCTTGTTAGAGGTGTAGGATAAAAAGGGCCTGATGAGGTATGGTGTACAAATTGGTGGACATGTAAAAGAACCCTTGATAGTTGGAATTCGATATAAGAGTTGGCTGGTGGATCCAGGAATTTGAATTTTTACGGGGGGGCAGGTTCCTGTTATGGAAATTTGACAATCCATGATACCATCATTGTCTCCAAATTATGTACGCAACCCCCCTCTCTGGATCCACTCCAGGTAACTTTTAGTGCGTACACCTGTCTTCGTTAACCTAATTGATATAGATAAGTAGGAAGTTAAACCCCATTTCATCTTCTTTCAGTTTACACTGGTCAACGAAAGCTACCAACAACACACGAAGATGAGAAAGTTATACTGAGTCCACAAGAAAGACTGGCTATTCATGAACATATAGTCTCTGAAGCCAAGTCTCTTGGTCTCATGTTAAATGTGGATAAGGATGAAAACTTGACGACAGATTGGGAAAAAATAATCAAGAAAGGTAAATGTTTGATTTGTTGGTAATCGAGGACTCGTGTTGAATCCGGGATACAATCGCAATGTTGGCCCGAGAAAGTTCATTGTGATTTTATAGCATGGTTTACAAGGTTAGTGGTGCAGGATGGGATGACCTCGGCAAAAAAGAATGTTGAGTTTTTCAGATGGAACGAAAACCTGAAATCAAATTACTGTGATACGTATTGTGATTCGGGTACAATTCATAACCAGCCGAATATACAGGGCTCTATAAAAGTTGAGTGTGCCTGCGCACACACTTCAAAATGTGCCTGCAGGGTCATACTGAAACACAGGGATGTAGCCAGGATTTGGTGAGTGGTGTAAAAATATATGTGGCGAGCAGAGCGAGGCAAAACAATTTTTGGGAGGGGGGCGTGGTCTTTTATGAAAATTAAACCCTTCTTGGTGTATTTTCAAAGCATCTTCTGCCTTTTGTATTTGGTTCAGTGCAAATCAAATTTCCATTTATATATTCAAATTTTACCAAATTCACTTAATTTTCATCAATGATACAGGGATCTAAAAACTTTTTGACACCACCCGACCGAGCATAAAATTGTCCCGCCCCACTCTGTTTCTCTGGATAGATAATAATAATAATAATAATAACAGTTTATTCACAACTACATGTACAAGCATGAGTATGGAAGTTACAATAGATAAGTTGAGGACCTTTCGGTATTTGTTTTTTTTGTTTTTTTTTTCTTCAAATATTACTTTATTACTTTGAGATTAAAAATTAAAACGATTCTTAAAACGGTGTTTGTGTTTTATTTGAGTACAACGAATTATGACAACAGGTAGATATTGATAATTAAAACACGTTGTATTATTTGACTTGTTTGTAAAGTTGTTGTACGTGTCTCACGAATATTATTATTATTACGGTGGAATGAGAATCAGGTCAGGCAGAAACTGAGAAAGCTCTCATCGTCCTCCTAGTCCTACTCTCGGGCCGTAGCAAATCCACGGTCAACACAGGTAAGAAATAAAATAAGAAACATCCTGAAAATTTGAAGGCACGTGTTGGACAATTACGACATTCAAACCTTTAACATTGGAGTGCCGTAAATTGGTCTGGCTGACCTATTTACGGCAATTAACAAATATAAAGACGTAGAATAATTCTAAGTATAAATAAACAAAATATCAATACATCTTTCTTTAAACTAATTTGGGATGATAGGGTCTACTACGGCACACAAAAATAAATTATGCCGTGACAGACATGGTTTGCGTACGTCGGCTTTTAGTTTTACCATGGCTTTGCCGTTTAATTGCCGTGGTAAATTTTGAGCGCCGAGTTTGTGTACAGAGAGGGACGAAGGGGTTTAAATACGACTGGGCGGCTTTCTTCGATTTTTTCTTTGTGCTGGGCGACAAAAAATAGTGCCGGGCGCAGGCACCGCCCGGCGTGGCTACATCTTTAAAAATGTGCCTGCAAAAAAGTTTTTTTTAAAGCAAATGTGCCTGCGCACACCGTGCGCATGTGCGCGGAAATATCGATGCCTGCGAATATATACCAAGAAAACTACAGGATAAATGAATAATTGATATTTTTAGTTTACAGCAAATTCCCTTTACATTATGTAGTTTTTAACTATTATAGCGAGAACTACCAGCTCTTTATCTTATCTCCCATAATGTATATTTAATTAATCAATTTAAGTAGATTAGACCGTGTCAGAAATTTATCCCTTGTTATTTTTCCCAGGTGTTTTGAAAGGTGAAGGAGATGATGACTCCTTGTCATTAGTACAGAAATTGGCTGCAATCAGAGATTTTAAGCGAAGACGACAGAGTTACAGGGCAAAAAATGTCCACACCACTCGTAAATCATATACTGAGGTAATTATATTATAATGTTCACAGCACTCGTAAATCTTATACCGAGGTAATTATATTATATTGTTCACACCACTCGTAAATCTTATACGGAGGTAATTATATTATATTGAAATATAGGACGAACCCTAGCCGATTGGTAATTATTACATTGTATGAAGTTTAACCCACATTTTATTGGACGTTTTGATTATTTTAGATAATACAAGAAGTTATCTCAAACCAGATGGAGATGTGGGGAGCAGAAATAAAAGGCGAGACATTGGAAGGCAAGGGTGAAGGGAAGGGGGTTATAGATGAGGCCAGGGATAGGGGTAGAGGGGATAGCGACAGGTATTGCTATTCTGATAGGGGTAGAGAGGGAGGAAGGGATTCAGATAGCGGAAGAGAGGTAGTAAGGGATTCAGATACAGGCAGAGAGGTAGTAAGGGACTCAGATAGGGGCAGAGATACATATAGAAGCCATTATAAGGATTATGGTAGAGACAGGGAGAGAATTAGGGATAGGTCACGCTCAAGAGAAAGAGACAGATCGAGAAGAAATCAGCCAAGGGATCAAGAAAATAAGAAAAGGGATAGATCTGGGGATAGGGAGGGTTCTAAAAGGGAAAGATCTGGGGATAGGGTGGGTTCTAAAAGAGATAGATCTATGGATAGGGAGGGTTCTAAAAGAGATAGATCTATGGATAGGGAAAGGGATAGGTCTGGGGATCGGGAGAGTTCTAAAAGGGATAGGGCTAGTTCTAAAAGGGATAGATCAAGAGAAAGAGAGAGGGGGAAAAAATCTAAGAAAAAGTTGAAAGAAAGAAGAAGATCTAGAAGTGAAGAACGATATGAATCAAAGAATAGAAGAAGGAACAGAAGTGATTCTGGATCGGAAACCTCGGACAATAGATTGGAAGAAAGAGAGACAACCTCTGTTTATCAACCTGTTACAGATGAACCAGGAGACAGTAGGGATGTACAAGAGAAGGACAGAATAAAAGAAGAAATAAAAGATGAAGAGAAAACCGAAGAAATATTCTCTGATAGAAGTATCAAAACAGAAAAGTAAGAGATTGGGTTGGGTGGTTTAACGCGTACCTTAGATCACAAGATCTGACATTGATTCATGTGACAAGGAGTAGGGTCATATATCCAACCTCGTGGGTTTTCTCAGGGTTTCCCCCTGTCTTTATTAGCCCAGTAGGAGCAGAACAGTAGGACGTTAAATTCTATTTGATTTCTGTATGCTAGTTTTGTGACCTTAATTAAAGGGTTAAAGAGGATGCCCGACATCTAGATTTTGCATTTTTGAGGAGGAGATAATTTTCATGCTCAAAACCTACTTTTATATTTTTTTATTTTCAGATCCAAAGAATCTAGTCGTCATCATCACAGTCATCATAAAAAATCCAAGAAGCACAAACATAAACATAAATATAGACGTGGCCGAACTAGTAGTAGTTCTTACGATTCCAATCACACACCGGATTCTACCTAGAAAACAGGACCGGAGGGGACGGGGAATTCTGAGTTTTTAAAATACAGATGTGACATCATCCTTTGATGTTGGGATACCATTATTTCAAATAATGGTACGGGCAAATTGTCAATCGAACATTATTTATACTAATGAAATACTGGACTCGCGTGACCCATTTCATTTCAAAAGCATGTGCAGAGTGTCTGTATTTTAAGTCGTATTTTAAGGCCTATGTCCCTTTTGTTGTTACAATATATTACTTAATGTCTCGCTCTCGACCATTTAACAATACATAACGTTTGAATTTACATAACAGCGACTGTCTTTTTTTCCTGTCAGTCCCGCTAACTAATGTGGTGTAGGTAAAAATATGATGTAATCAAACAGCATTATCCATTGGTTGTGATCGTATCAAATTCTCATCTTTACTTGATTGTCCCACTATTGGGGTTGCGACGGTTTAATTCGGGAATGTTCAGTCTAAGAATTCCCCTGTGACTTAGAGAAAATGGTGAACTTTGTTAATTAAAGGGAAGATTACTCTTGGTTGTTGCTTTAAATGTTTAATTTTCATGTAAAATAAAAACTAAGAATGTAAAAAGTCGTCACTTTCATATATCAAGTATCCTCCTGCCTGTAGTATTTACAAACATGATCAATCTTATTAAAATACAGATCTATATTTCATTTCGTTTGTATATTCTTTCGATGGCCTACACTAGATGAAGATCTGACAAGTTGTACTGGAAGGTGGCGTCAGAAGTCATACGAGCAGCTTTTATGACGTCAGACATTTGATTAACCAATCAGCATTGATGTTTCTAGTGGTTTATGGTTTACCCACAGTTCCATGCACCTCACGCCAAAAGCACACCGTAACAGACTGTTTCATTGGCTGAGCAAAATAGGATCTGTGTTTTAATCAGATTGAAACAAGATATAACAATATAAATGGGGGGGGGGGGGCCGAATGGTGCACGCTGTATCGAAAAGTCTGTCATTGAGTCAACTGGTGTGGTTTCAATTCCCTGGTTGTACATGTCAAGGAGTAGTGTCGCCTGTCCAACCTCATGGGTTTTCTCTGTCCTCCGGTTTCCGACCCACTGCTAAAGACCCCTACGCGCAAGGGAATTATTGAAATAAAAAAAAAAATATGTTAGCCCTGAAATGACCTAGTTTGTGTCAAGTGGACGTTAAACCCCATTTCTCTCCCTCTCCCTATAAATGGGGGACGCGAGACTGAGTCGATGCCACCCATCTTTGATGGCTCTGTTTATAATCTGATTGAATCGAAGCGTAGAGGGTAAAATCTTTGATGGCTCCGTTTATAATCTGATTGAATCGAAGCGTAGAGGGTAAAATCTTTGATGGCCCCCGTTTTTCATCTTCTCCAGGTATTTGGATTTTATTTTTCTGATTAAATGTTAAAGATACATTATGTAAGAACAAAATCTGTCTATTACAGGTTTTTATTTTGGCTTCAAATGTTATATCAATTATTAATTCAACATTTATTCACATGACAAGACCATGATCAACTCTCTAGGCCCTCGGATGGCGCAGATGTAAACGGATTAAAGTACGATTGCCATTTAATAATTTGATCTAAAAATGGCGAGGCGAGGCTGAGTCTAGATTAACAAGTAATGTTGCTACGATAATAAAAAATCTATGTCAAAACGTCGCTCAGAATAAAGTGATTTGGATGAATTAATCAATATATTCATTTTATATTATCTATTTTTAAACTATTATAGCAAGAACGGTCAGCTGTGTATCTAAATATACATAATGTATGTTTAATAATCAATTGGATGATATTTTAAAGTATATTAAATCATGAACACATTTTAGAGTCTATTAAACCATGAAGAAATAGTAATTGTCTGAAATATTTTAATGAAAATGTGGCTTTAATTTAATGTAATAATCATAAAATGATTAAATACTTCACAATCAAATATAAAAATGATTTTTTGTTTTATAAGTAGAACGATGATTAATAAGATGGTGTCTGACTAACCAGAAGATTACAGCTTCCATAAGGCGGGTTGGATGGCCAAATGGTTAGCGTGTGCACGTTGTATCATAAGGTCTGTCATTGAGTCAACTGGCGGGGTTTCGATTCCTCAGTTGTACATGACAAGGAGTAGCGTCACCTATCCAACCTCGTGGGTTTTCTCTGGTTTCCTATCACTGCTAAAGACCTCTACGCGCAAGTGAATTATTGTAATAAAATTGAACCATATATGATAGTCCCAAAATGACCTAGTTTGTGGTTGTACGTGACAAGGAGTAGGGGTCGCCTATCCAACCTCGTGGATTTTGTCCTGGTCCTTCGGTTTCCTCCCACTGCCAAAGACCGCTAAGTGCAAGCGAATTATTGAAATATAATTGAAACATGTTAGTCCCAAAATGACCAGAATGGTGGCAACCCTTGACTATTCCTACTCCAGGACCACCAAGTATCTGAATAATGGCAGTTAAGCACCAACCCAGCTTATGAACACGGACAAACGCCATTCAGTGTGTTATGCGGGAATTTTTCCCAGACAGCAGCGCTAAGGCCTACTTTTATTTCTAATTCTCTGTCAAAGGTTATTTTACTGTACGCCTAGGTGAAAACGAGATCACGGTTTTTCTTCCCATCCATATGACTAGACACTGATCCTTGTCACACTTCACCACCGACAAATTTACCACACAGGAACTACTGTCTCGTTCACCAGGGGGATCGAACTCTCTACCTCTTGGTTACCGAGCCAGCGCCTTATGCACTAAGCCACCATGGCTCCCCAGTGGCAATAGCAAAGCATCAAACCAAAATTACTTCCAACTGCCGGGCCTGGTGAGGTTTTCTGAGGAAAAGAGTAGTTGCAAGTACTTAACCCGTTAAGCGTGACGTTTTTAAAACGTTAACTACCCCCTATTGTGTAAATAATTTGACGAAGTGACGAAGAACTATGTAATACCTCCAAGGCGTTATATTATGCCCTACACACATTAAGTGGCAGTTGTCCAGGACGTAATATAATGACCTACGCACTTTACCAGTCTGATTAAAACACAGATCCTATTTCGTTTCGTTTTTATAGTTCAAAATTTCGTTTTACTTGTCTTTACTACACTTGGATCTGGAAGAGTTGTTATTTAACTCGTGTTCTGAATGGTGTCAGGGATAAGCCAATGAAACAGTCTGTTACGGCAAGCTTTAGACGTGTTTTTCACGGAACTGTTGGTAATCCACTAGTAACATCAATGCTGATTGGTTAATCAAATGTCTGACGTCATAGGGTCATAACTTGTCAGATCTTCATGTAGTGTAGGCCATCGAAAGTATAAAAAAATGAAAACGAAATATACATCTGTATTATAATCAGATTGGCTCTTAAAGACCCAATACCACTCTTGTTGTAACTGAATAATATGTCCTAATCTTTATTCTGGTCAACAAATTGTACTATTTTACAATATTCCAATTAATTGATGATACAAATTTCATCTTAAAGGAGCTAAATCGCTAATATTTGGGGCCTAGAAATTGACACAAGTCGGTCACAACTCATCTAATACTGTAATATGACTGTATATAAACTGATTTACATTCAATCGTTTCCGTTTTTACTCTAATTTCAAATCAGTTATGTTCCGTGAAATAAGCCAGCAGTCTCAATCGAATGCAAATTCCTAGCGTCTGGTTATTCCAGTCTACATACGCCGTTTGGTTTGGTGCAATATGTCTAGCCTCATTCCTCTAGTCTCTTGCTAGAACTGGGGCTGAAACGCGTTATGGTACACGATTCGTGTACCAATGGAAAAATATTTATTTTGTCTTTAATATTGGATATCAGAAGCCCATCTTTTTCCGGTAAGATCACAGCATCAATGTTGTTTTAAATTGACAAATAATTCGTGTTTTAAATGTTGAAGATTTTGGATGATATTGAGTTAGAGACTTAGCTCCTTTAACACACTTTATTTAAAAATTTTGAAAAATTCAACACAATGGTTTGAAACGTCTAACGTAAACCTTTTCAAATGAAACTTCGATTTAAAAATATTTTCGAACCCTCTGGACTAGTAAAATAGGATGTAATGGATAATTTACACAACAGGTAGGGCACTTAAACATCTAGTACTTAGATAGAGATATTATTTATTTTCTGGAGCTTTCAAGCCAGCAAGAGTGTTATTGTCCCTTTAACAGGTTAAAAAAAAAAAAGATGAGTTACATTGTTGTAGCAGGAGGTAATTTGCTCAAAATAATTACTGCTATGCACCAAAGGCTCAGTATTTCTGACTTTAAACACAAACAATTTGAATTAATATTTCAAACTTTTTATTCATTTTTTTGCATTGATTTATTTAATTGTATTTTCTTGAAATCATAATAAAATGTTTGACGAGATTAGGTACAGAGTTCATTATGAAACGATAAAAATTGGTTGGTGTGAATATAAATATACAGATTCCTGTACATTCACTAACAAATATAATACATAATTAATATACACACAGTCAATTATGCACACAGTCAAATACACATCATTCATACCCAGTCAAATACACAATGTCTATACACAGTCAAATACACAATGTCTATACACAAACTATATACATAGTCAAATACACACAATTTACAAGATCTGCCCCATGATGAAAGTCTCACTATCTTAATAGTGGGACATGCAAGGGAAGACAACTCTGCTTGACTGAATGGATCTGCTCCACTATACACTACATACAATTCTTTAGCTGAAGCCAGGCTTTCGCCATTTTGAATTTCAACACTAATTGACTATCAGTATAAATATTTTAGAATTATATATTTGACAATTGACATTATTTTTAAATAATTAAAGTTTGTGTAATTATTCAAAATCCACTCTGAGTTGCCTCCCTTGTTTTAAGTTTTCATTTTGTGAGAAGCCTGTGTTGTCTGTGAGTTTGACTTTCTGCTTTGTTTACATGTGGTACGATTCTTCTAAACTTAATAATAGTGTCAGGTTATTTCGTACAGTTTTTCTTTAAAACAATAAATAACATGTACTAGAGTTAAAACACATGTATCTCTGTGATGGCTTGATCAATTTGTCTCAATTGTCCAATATAAAATTATTGCATTTGAATATATTCCAGTAATTTGAACATGCCGTCTCCCCGCCAATCTGTACACAGGATCATGTTTTATTGTCCCATCCGAATGACTACACACGGTTCCTTGTCAGCGTCCTCACTGAAACATGGTGTTTATCACTGTTTTAGAGAAAGCCTTAACAAAAAAATCGAACCGATATAAAAGCGAATCAAACAGAACTAGCAATATTTATACATGTAGAACACCATATTTACAGCAATATAAAACATGGGATAAGCACACTTTTGATTTAAAAAAACAAACCAACAAATTTATCGACCTACGTCATAGCATCTGGACGTGGTGAAGACACTTTATGCTTTAAAACAAGAGAAATTTGAGAGCATGAAAAGATTGCGATAAACGCGAACCTTGGGTATCTGTAATTATTTACATGCTGCTTTTTGTAGATTACAGTCTATAAGTGTAACCAATAGTAACCTATTACATCTCATTAATATTTATAAGTAACTAATAGTAATATACCACATTAATATTCATTAGTTCCATCAATTTCATAAAATATTCATTAGTTGCATCAATGGGTTATTAATCAATTGTAACCTATTTTTAAATATACATCTCATTAATATTCATTAGTTTCATCAATTCCTTATATGGGTAAGTAACCTATTCTTATACACCTTATTAATATTCATCAATTCCTTATATGGGCGAGTATATTACTAAACAAAAGCATACATAATAGTAACAGTTAAAATAGCCACAAGGGATTTGTCGTATTATATATATAAAAGCTGTGTATGTATATGTTTTTAATCGCAATAATTTCATGCTAGAAACATTTCTTGCGCCATTTTATTACAAATCCAAAACAACGACATTAAATCAGGGCTGTCACTTAAAAATGGCGCCAGTCAGTTATTTTTTAAATTCTAGTTTCGTGAAATGTAAATTGACTGATAGCCAAGTTTTCTAGTCAGTCAGTCAAGACCGGTCAATGTAGCTGGAATGAGAATCCTGATTTTAATTCTAACTCCTGTGAATGTCTAATGCATTACAATCATCATCTATAATTGAACATGTTTTTACAAATATCATCTATGAATGAACATGTTTTTACAAATATGACATGTTATAGAGATGTGAAAATGATAAAATATATAAATATTGGTAATAATGATTCTATCCTACCTACAATATAATAAAAATAAATTTTATCTTTCATCAATTTATTTACTCTCTGTTTTCTGTTTAGTTAAATTAATTGTGGTAGTCATATATTTGGAGTTTAAAAAAAAACCCATAGGGTCCTCAAACCAATGAAAGTATGCAGTGACCATAACTTTATGTTTAGGCCCCCCCAAAAAATTCATTTGTAGATCTTTGGGGTTCTGATAGATAGTCAGTGAAATCTCATGAACAGTGTTTTGTTTAAAATATAATAGTTTGAAATTACTAGCTTTTAAGTAGAGCAACCACGTGGCCTGTCGTTTTGTTCTTTAATTGGATAAAGGCCTACTTTGTTCTTAAACCAGATGAAAGGCCTACTTCTTGTTCTTAAATCAGATAAAGGCCTATGTCTTGTTCCTAAATCCGATAAAGGCCTACTTTGTTCTTAAATCAGATAAAAGCCTACTTTTTGTTCTTAAATCCGATATAGGCCTACTTCTTGTTCCTAAATCCTATAAAGGCCTATGTTTTGTTATTAAATCAGAAAGAGAAATCAAAATTTTAACAGTGTTTCTTAAGAATAAAAAAATTCAAATTGATGATCCACTGGACCATAAATATTCATGGACATCATGCATGAAGAAGGGTACGCTTACTCTTTCAAGAACATGCCATATCACTTCTCATTTATGACCAAATCGGTGTGCAAGTGACTAAAGTGTTTATAATGGCTACAAGTACATGGCGCTTTAAAGATTCATTATGTAAGATTTAAATAAAGAGCTAGAAAACTAGAAAATGAAAAATGAATATATTGAAAATTTCATTCAAATTACTCTATTCTGAGTGAAGTTATCACAGTTTGAAGATGTAGCGTAGATCGTTGATTATCCATATTATCGTTAAATTATCAAATCTTGCGGGTGTTCTAATCCATTTTAATCACTGCCATCTGATGGTCTAGAGAGGAGATTATAGGCTCCTCGTGTAAATGTCTAATTAATAATTTATATAAGGTTTGAATCCAGAAATAAAGACCAGACCTCGAGTTCTCTCAGATTTAAGTTAAAAATTTACTCAACTTTCAATCACTGTTGATGATAAATATCTTTGATCCACAAATACAAAACTTATTGATGTATTTGATACATTAAAACAACAAAAGTTTTATAAAGGGCTATATTGTAGTTAATATAAGGTGAACAATTTTGAGTAAATTCTTAACTTAAGTCTGAGTAAACAGAAAACAGAGAGTACAATATAAACAACAAATGTTTTTTTTATATATTAATATATTATATTATACAATCTCCTCACATAATATAATTAATATATCATACAATCTCCTCATACAATATAATCAACAAATGTTTTTATATATATATTAATATATTATACAATCTTCTCATATAAAATAATATCTTTATACACATCAAATTAAAATATATATTCAATTTAATTATCATTACAATTCTGTTAAAACTGGGGATCAGTCATTTTTACCATTAACTTGATTTTGTTCATTTGGTATCTCGAACCAAACATATTAATATATCATCAGAATCTATATCAAATTAAAATATATATTAAAGTTAATGGGATTGTAGTCTTTAAAGGCTCAATACCACTCTTGTTGTAACTGAATAATATGTCCCAATCTTTATTCTGGTCAACAAATTGTACTATTTTACAATATTCCAATTAATTGATGATACAAATTTCATCTTAACACACGTAATTTAAAAAATTGGAAAAATTCAACTAAATGATTTGAAAAGCCTGACGTAAAGTTTTTCAAATGTGACTTGGATTTAAAAATATTTTTGAACCCTCTGGACAAGTAAAATAGGATTTAATGGATAATTTATACAACAGGTAGGACACTAACACATCTAGTACTTAGAATAAGGCTATTTTTTATTTTCTGGAGCTGTCAAGCCAGCAAGAGTGTTATTGTCTCTTTAAACTTGTTTTTATAAATTTGTAATGATCAGTGTGTTAATATTATAAACCATTAAAATGACAATATTTTATTTTTGTTTATTTAAAACTGGTCATAATGTTTCTCACTGAATAATTGTTTTACTTTAGTCCGTCGGAGAAAAGTTGTGTTTTTTATATTGAGTTTTGTATTTGAGACTACTGGTCCTTGGACTGTATTAACCAGACTTACAGAACTAATATACTGTCCATAAATAGATCACAAGTAACTCAAGTGGTTTAAGATGTTACAGAGGGGTTAAACGACCACTCGACACAAACTAGGTCATTTCAGGACTAACATATCGTTCAATTTTATTTCAATAATTTGCTTGTGTGTAGGGGTCTTTAGCAGTGGGAGTAAGTCAGAGAACCTTGAGAAAAAAACCCACAAGGTCATGTACAAGCGGGGAAATGAAATCACACTATTTGACTCATTTCATCGGATGACATCAAATGGTCTTGGTAAAGACTTTCTGTTAGCACAGGTGGTTCTTTTACAATAAAATACGAGACAAATTACCACATGAATGTTTGGGACCGGAATAATTGATGTGACCTGTTCTTACTACCCACCACCTCTCTCAATAAATCTGTGGGTTTTTTTTCTTCAAAGAGTTATTTACTTAGTATATGAATATGAGACCCGGGATCAGGCAAAATACCGATATCAGACCCGATGACTCAATGGGAGACCCGGGAACAGGCAAAATACCGATATCAGACCCGATGTCTCAATGGGAGACCCAGGAACAGGCAAAATTCCGATATAAGGCCCTATGTCTCAATGGGAGACCTGGGAACAGGCAAAATTCCGATATCAGGCCTTATCGTTGAATGTGAGACCAGGAAACAGGTAAAATACCGATATCAGACCCTATCCCTGAATGGGAGACCCGGGATCAGGCAAAATACCGATATCAGGCCCTATGACTGAATGTGATATTAGTTTACTACTGCATAGAATTAATCCAATTAAAATATTAATCGATATTTCATTTCGGTTTAATCAGATTGGTGTAGAATCAATTGTTTGAGTAGATAAAAACACTGTATAATTAAGGAATTGATTAACTAAATATACACATTGTTTGAGTAGATAAAAACACTGTATAATTAAGGAATTGATTAACTAAAAATATACATTGTTTGAGTAGATAGTTTGTATACCATCTTCTAAAATATAATATGAATTCAAATCTTGTCAAATTAATTTGACACAGCATGTGGACCTCGATAGTCGACCTGCGTAGTCGAGTTTAGTTTACATATTAGCATGTGGACCTGCGTACTTAACCTGCGTAGTGGAGTTTTGTTTATATATTAACATGTATTTAGTTGTAAAAAATTAGATATTGCTCAAATAATGCAAGACCCCAAGTATATTTAAATTGTTTTAATGACATGAATTGAACAGAGAATATAAACACAACATAATTCTTGATAAAGACACTTGTATATATTGTCTTGTATATATTGTCTTGTATATAGTGTCTTGTTATATTTTATCATTGCTTGATAATGACTAGAGAAACCTAGTCGAAACGTCGCTCAGTAATGAGCAGTAATTGTATTCCATAGAATTGTGTATTTCAGTTCAGTTACAAAATGTCATGGAAACATTTTAATAAACAGTAATTATATTATATAGAAATTTGTCTTGTATAACAATCTAGGTTTAAAATACACATCTATATTTCGTTTCGTTTTTTTTTATACTTTAGATTGCCTCTACTACATGAAGATCTGACAAGTTGTACTCGAAGGTCACGTCAGGGGTCATACAAGTGGCTTTTGACCCTATGATGTCAGACATTGATTAATCAATCAGCGTTGACCTTTCTAGGGGTTTACCCACAGTCCCGTGCAGAGCACGCCAAGAACTCGCCATAACATTGGCTAATTCCTTACATCAAGCAGACAGCCTGTTATAAAACAACTCTTCCAGATCCAAGTGTAGTAAAGACAAGTAAAACAAAATTTTGAACTATAAAAAACGAAATAGGATCCATTTCTAAATTAAATTACTAAATGTCTAGTCTAGAGAGTTGATTATTGGCTTGTCATGTGAATAAATATCTAATTAATAATTTATATAACATTTGAAGACATACAATAGTCTGATTTAGGTCTTCTATAATAATGTATGTTTAATAAATCTTACCAAGAAAACCAGGGCCCTGTTTCTCGACTTCTTAACTAAAGATAAATTCCAAATTTTAGTAGATACTTCAATTTTGATTGGCTAAGTACTAAAATCAATCTGATATATTATCCAATTAACTAAAGATAAATTCCAAATTTTAGTAGATACTTCAATTTTGATTGGCTAAGTACTAAAATCAATCTGATATATTATCCAATTAACTAAAGATAAATTCCAAATTTTAGTAGATACTTCAATTTTGATTGGCTAAGTACTAAAATCAATCTGATATATTATCCAATCAAATTACTAAAATTGGATTTTATCTTAGTTAAAATTTCGTGAAATAGGCCCCATATCTTATATAATGTATGTTAATTAAATCTTACCAAGAAAACCAGGATGTAGAGTCTTATTTAACGTATCACATAATTCAATTCAATTAAACATATTTACATAATTTCACTTCAAATTTCAGCCTGCCGGTCTATTTTTGACAAATTTAATTTACCTCAAATCAGCAATACATTTTTTCCTGAGAATATAACAGTTTTAAAATTATGCCAAGTTTTAAATGTTTTGTTTTATTACACGTAAAAATGAAAAATTTATCTGTTTTTAGGATCAATTCCTTGAAATTCTAATTTTTATAACATGTAAATCAACTGATAAAATTGGCATTTTTTTATCATGTCTGTTAGGCGCCATTGCAGATACTACCACAGAACTGGTTGCCATGGCAATTTTTTCAAATTTATTATGCTGAATATTAAGGACAAATGTTTGAAATAAAAGGCATGGCATTTAAATTAATAATTAAATTCACATTATCGATAGTTGACTAAATGAAATAGCAAGAAACCAATGAGATAAATTAAATAGCAAGATTTCTACTGTGTAGAATCGTTTAAAAAAAATTAAAAAAGCTAATCAACAAATCGTCACGGAATGCAGTGTGTTGATTGGCTGTAATCCACCAACCTTTGGTATTGATACAAGGAAGCATTTCATTGGCTGGCTCTATATTCTATCGCTGGGTGGGGTATATATTACAATATATCACAGTTTTAAACTGTCATGGTAACACATCAAATGTTTACCTTATATGGAATGTGAAAAACAAAGCACACGTCACATGACAACATCAAACTTCTGCACCTAATTCTAAAACTCCTGAATCGGCAACCGGCACGTAACGTTCGCCTATTTGCACTAATAAAATAGTTTTATCGACGTGGGAGCGTTTGTTGGGGTCTCGATGTCCAGGCACCCAACGATGAACCACTGAACCTTCAGTTCCTTTTGATGGTCTCCAATCATTCCAGCAATTTTTACCTCCGTTTTGTTTCCAGTCCTCGTTCGGCCACTGAACGTCGATCCGTCGACCGAGATTCAAGTTATCAAAGATTTGTTGAGGATCCATTAGCTGTAATAGAAATGAGATGAAATTTAACGTCCACTCGACACAAGCTAGGTCATTTCGGGACTAACATATGGTTCAATTTTATTTCAATAATTCGCTTGTGCGTAGGGGTCTTTAGCAGTGGGAGGAAACCAGAGGATACCCACGAGGTTGGATAGCTGTAATATAATGATGTAATAGAAATAAAATGAACTGAGATTTAACGTACTGCTTTTCTGCATCGACTGGGCTAACGAAGATGAGCATATACCATACAGTGTGCTATAAGTGAAATTTTGCCGGGAAAGCGTTGTTTTTGGCTACTCTTATTTCGAATTTTAACTGTCAAGGTTTCGTTTACAATCACCATGTTTTTTCCGTACCATCTGAAGACTTTACATTGTTTCTCGCTAGGCCCCCCAATCAGATTAAAATACACATCTATATTTCGTTTTCATTTTTTATACTTTCGATGGCCTACACTACATGAAGATCTGACAAGTTATAGTTGGAGTTCATGTCAGGGGTCAAACGAGCGGCTTTTGACCCTATGATGTCAGACATTGATTAATCAATCAGCGTTGACGTTTCTAGTGTTTTACCCACAGTTCTGTGCATCAAAAGGGCCAAGAACTCAGCGTAACAGACCCTTTTCATTGACTAATTCCTCACATCAAAAAGTACGCCTGTTATATAACAACTCTTCCAGATCCTAGTGTAGCAAAGACAAGTAAAACTAAATTTGAACTATAAAAAACGAATCGAAATAGGACTGTGTTTTAATCAGATTGCAGGCCCCCTTGTCTGGTAAATCCTGACATATACTGGGATCAAACACAGACCAACCCAGGTAAGCAAGCCACTGTCTTACTCACTGAGCCACCAAGGTTCCCCCCCCCCTTTTTCCACCAGTCTAATCAAGTGTGCTATGGGGAGAATTTTGCCCTGGCAGCAGTGTTTTGGCTAATTTCATTGCATTCCAACTGACAAGGGATGTTTTACGTGCATTACCAATTTGTACAAGTTTTTCGTATCATTTGAATACCTAAAACCACAGACCCACCCCCTTGACAAGTGGGAGATGTGTTTGAAAGAGTCACCAACAGAGCTTGTGTGGCAGTATGGGCAGACCAAACAGTCATGAATATAATTAATTTTTCCTTTATATACTCTTCAAAAAAAGTAGGGGATATTCAGAAACAATACAAAACTGCTGTTTTTAACTGCTGTTAATAAGAGGTCAATGGCATACACATGAACATAAACAGTTCATATTGGGGGCTTATCTGACGGCCCCATTTCACTCGCAAAGACTGTCAAAAGTGAAAATGGATGTTTTTGATTTTTGTCCTAATAATGAGTAATTGCTCCACCAATCCTCAGACATTCAGCAATCGTGGCATGCTCCAAATCAACCGTCCAATCACGATTTGGGGCAATCTGACCCACTCCTTTTGCAGTGCCACGGCCAATTCTTGCAATGTTGTCGGTTGACGTTGACGTCAACGAACACGTTTCCCGATCAAATTAAACGTAACACATTAAAGCAAAGTTACGCTAAACAGTAAATCTTATGCAAGAATCGATAGAAAAGCAAACATGGATAGGAAAAAGCATGTGGCAGTTTTCATCAACCCTTCCTTGAAGTGTCAAATTTGACAATGAACCCCTCCCACGTGTATGCCGCTATTGCATGTCGCATGTGCAGCTCAGTGGTTCTGTTTGGGCGATAAGTTCTTCATCTGTGAACATATTCTCAAAGCATGTCAAGTGTCCATGACTATTTATCATATTTTGCATTTCAATATCCCCTACTTTTTTTAAAGAGTATATTTAGATTAATGTTGTAAATATTATTAAAATATATAGCTGTTGGATGGTGAGAGTAAAGCATAATAATTCTGTTTATATGGGAAAGAATATGATAAGTAAGGCAAGGAATATACAAACATCAAAAGATGACATCATTAAGGCTGAAGCAATTGAGACTAGTTGACATTTGAGCTGGAGTGATTAAGACTATATACGTACCCTGACTCGATATGGCGTTGGTTCTTTACTAGCAGTAGGATCAGTTATAAGATTAGCAAGGGAAGCTAGAGCATTAGGTTTACTAGCGGAACTAGCAGTAGATATTAAACTACCTCTATTACCAAGATTCTGTAATGATATCTCTTGACCTGCATTAGTTGGTGTCGATACTACAATATATAGATAACAAAGTTTATAATCTAGCCACCCAACTCCCTAACCCCACCTGTAACAACAGGGCTCATTAAGGTATGTGTAATGTGGTGCACTAGGCAGGATATTTTGCCCGGACAGCTGCCTTTTTGTCTATTCTTGATCGAAAGAGGGGGGGGGGGAGAGAGAGAGAGAGAGATGGGGTTTAGCATCCACTTCAATAAACTAGGCCATTTCGGGACTGACATATGGTTCAATTTTATTTCAATAATTCGCTTGCGTGTAGGGGTCTTTTAGCAGTGGGAGGAAACTGGAGGACCCGGAGAAAAGCCACGAGGTTCGACAGACGACCCGACTCCTCATCACGTACAACCGGGGAATCGAAACCACGCTAGTTGACTCAATGACAGACCTTATGATACAGCGCTCCCGGGCTAACCATTCGGCCATCCAACCCCCACATTAACGGACTATTGGGACACAATGAAAACATACGATTGATTTGACAGGACGTGCGCGTGAGATATTTGGTAGATGACAGGTGTTTTATGACATATAAATTAAACAATATACATACCTTCATCACATTTACCTAATGTTGCTACTGCCACCTGTTGACTGTGACTAACTGTATAGGGGAGATCATCATGATACGCTGAACTACCTCCAACACATGTAGCATCACACTGCCCTCGTAACCTATATAATATATATTATAATAAATCTGAATTACTACCATCATTGTCAATTAAACGATCGGCGATTCTTGTAGACGGTGCGGACACAGTTGATGCCTATTTCTAGTCAAAACTTCCAACAGTGACAACTCCGTTCAGAATAGAGTAATTGGATTGAAATTTTTAATATTTTCGATTTTAATAAACTTTTTTTGAATTATTATAGCAAGAATGACCAACTCTTTATTAAACTCTTAACTAATAGATCTTTACAAACATTTATCAAATATTACCTTCGCCACACTCGATGAAAGAATTTACGAACATTAGCTAGAATAAATTCTCCACCAATTTGTTCGTGAGTTGATGAATACGACGTGGTTAATGGAGATACGTAGATTGGATATCCGATAGGTTGATCACATGATGAGTTGATCATATTACGTAACGCTTGTTTCGCATTCTGAATACTGCCTCGTTCTGGATTTCTGTTGCGTAGAAAAATAAGTTCTTGTTGCTGTCCGGCCCATAATCCTCGTACACATTCACGATTTACCTGATATAAAAATACTGAATTTAAGTAATTATGACACATTAAACAAAACTTTTGTGAACAATAGAATCGTTGTTAAAAAGCTGATGCTTTTAAATTCAGAAACTGTATTTTATAAAGGGAAAGAGAGAAATGGGGTTTAACGTCCACTCGACACAAACTAGGTCATTTCGGGACTAACACATGGTTCAATTTTATTTTAGCAGTGGGAGGAAACCGGAAGACCCGGAGAAAACCCACGAGTTTGGACAGACGACCCTAATCCTTGTCACACATATAACAGTGAAATCGAAACCATGCCAGTTGACTCAATGACAGACCTTATGATACAGCGAGTAACACGTGCTAACCATTCAGCCATCCCACACCCTGTAGTCTATAAAAGCAATTTCAGTAGGGCGTTAAACCCCATTTCATTTCAATTCTATAAAAGCAATTGATGAATTATATACTGTTCGAGATTAACAAATAATCTTTTGTCTGTTATTGGTTGATCTATTGACTTGTGTATACAAGGAGCAGTCAGTATTTATATTATTTGAGATACAAATTAATGTTTAAAATAGTTGTGGCCCTCTTGAAACCCAATATGAAAGCTGTTTGACCGAATGTCTGATACTTCTGTAATGTTCCTTGATATTGAAAACATAAATCTAGCCAATAATTACAATTACTTGTCCGAAATACCGTAGAATTTGAGACAAAACTCTAGGTTATTCAATATGGCGGCCACCAAGGTGACCCTTATGTACCCCTCTGCAAAGTTCAATGCTTTACTCAAGAATAAATGATTTTATTGGAAATCTCCCGCTCTACAAACACAGATTTACTTACTTTTACTACTCTAAAACTAAGATATCTTTTATTTAACATAATAATTTTATATTCATCCGATCCTTCATCAAACACATGCCTGAAATAGAAATAAATTATTGATAAAATAAACATCTTCACGAATTTAAAATCTAATTTCCATTGCTCTGAAACTTACACTCCATGACCTTTAAGGACAAATGAATTCGAAAGTTTAACACTGCTCACATTTTTAATCAAAGGGATATTGTATGGGGGTAACCATGGAGACAGCCTATCAACACAGCCTATAGACACCATCAGCAGCAGAATCCAAACAGAAATTGAAAGTAAATAGGCAGAGAACTCCAACATTCAGAATAAAATTCCCCCTTACGCCCAAAAAAATGATCTCACCAAGTTTGGAGAGAGAGAGAGAGAGAAATGGGGTTTAACGTCCACTCAACACAAACTAGGTCATTTTCGGGACTAACATATGGGTTAATTTTATTTCAATAATTCGCTTGCGCATAGGGGTCTTTAGCAGTGGGAGGAAACTGGAGGACCCGGAGAAAACCCACGAGGTTGGACAGGCGACCCTACTCCTTGTCACGTACAACCAGGGATTCGAAACCACGCCAATCGACTCAATGACAGACTTTATGATACAGCGCGCGCACGCTAACCATTCAGCCATCCAAACCCCCCACCAAGCTTGGACCAATACCATTCAGACAGAAACTAAAGATCATTTCATATCCAGTGAAAATTTTAAATTAAAAATCAAACCTGAGGGCAAGTAGTGATGAGACATTAGATAATACAGCGTTTCTCCACGCGGGATCTGCTTCATGAGATATGACCATATTTTGTTCATGACTAGTTATAGCTTCATATAGACCTTCAGCTACGTCATCTTCATCAGGTGACGTAAAATGATCCTGTAATAAATATTACATATTAGACAACACACATTACATATCAGATGATACAAATACAATCCGATGATAAATTCATTCTATAATTAACATTTAATATTGGATGATAAAATGATTCTATAATAAACACTGATGATAAACATTCAATATTGGATGATAAAATGATCCTGTAATAAATACTGATGATAAACATTCAATATTGGATGATAAAATGATTCTATAATAAACACTGATGATACACATTCAATATTGGATGATAAAATGATTCTATAATAAACACTGATGATAAACATTCAATATTGGATGATAAAATGATCCTGTAATAAACACTGATGATAAACATTCAATATTGGATGATAAAATGATTCTATAATAAACACTGATGATAAACATTCAATATTGGATGATAAAATGATTCTATAATAAACACTGATGATAAACATTCAATATTGGATGATAAAATGATTCTATAATAAACACTGATGATAAACATTCAATATTGGATGATAAAATGATTCTATAATAAACACTGATGATAAACATTCAATATTGGATGATAAAATGATCCTGTAATAAATACTGATGATAAACATTCAATATTGGATGATAAAATGATTCTATAATAAACACTGATGATAAACATTCAATATTGGATGATAAAATGATTCTATAATAAACACTGATGATAAACATTCAATATTGGATGATAAAATGATTCTATAATAAACACTGATGATAAACATTCAATATTGGATGATAAAATGATTCTATAATAAACACTGATGATAAACATTCAATATTGGATGATAAAATGATTCTATAATAAACACTGATGATAAACATTCAATATTGGATGATAAAATGATCCTGTAATAAATACTGATGATAAACATTCAATATCAGATTGTTTTTTTGATGCGATGAACGATGACAACAGGCCCAATGACAATTTAAAAACTTTATATTTGATAGAAAACGAAGTACAAAATAAAACTATACAAAAATGATAGTGTTCGGAAAGGAACACCAGATGAATTTGTCATTGACCAAATTGGACATTTAGACAATGCTCTACACAACACAGATGACACACCTTACACTGTGTCCCTTTTCCACTTTTCACCATAATATTTGTTTTCCTATATGGACCTAATTTTTATTAAACAACTTTTTTATTGGAAGAGAGAACCCCAACGAACGAGAATATGATATTCCGACCAATGAAAATCGAGTTTATAAAGGAATCTTGTCATTTGACAATACTTGTTTATTTTTGCATGGGTAGCATGGATTAAAATGCATTGAATCTAAAAGCCACATGTGAGATAGGCCATGTTTTATTCAACCTAAGTACAAAAGATTCCCCACATGGGAGATAACTCCCAAGGACTTTAATAAAGAACAATGGGGCTGGAACTCTTCCATGACAGGTGTCATTACTATATAACAACTAGTTGTGACATGAGTGGATATATTCAACAATTATCATTGTGTGGACTTGAGATAGAGAGAGAAATGGGGTTAAATGTTCACTCGACACAAACTAGGTCATTTCGGGACTAACACATGGTTCAATTTTATTTCAATAATTCGCTTGCGCATAGGGGTCTTTAGCAGTGGGAGGGAACCGGAGCACCCGGAGAAAACCCACGAGGTTGGACAGGCGACCCTACTCCTTGCCACGTACAACCAGGGATTCGAAACCACGCCAGTTGACTCAATGACAGACCTTTTGATACAGCGTGAACGTGCTAACCCTAACCCCCCATGTGGACCTAAACTAAAATAATTTCAATAATCATAAAGTGGTGTTTTATTTCAATTTAACTTAATTTATCTGATAAAATAGATCAGTCCATGGGCAGATGGAATACGAAAAAGCATGACCTGTCAAACAAAATTATTAACCAGTATGTTATATAAAGATATTTTTACACTGACCTGATGTAATTTTAGAGACATTCTAATGGCAGGGGCAACAACTCTCCTCATCATTTCCATATCGGCAAACACCCATTCATCTCGTGGTGAAGTGATACGAAAATCCCCTTTAAATAAGGCATGTAGACCATAGAGGAAAAAATCAACGCTGAAAAAAATAAAAATAAAATCGTACAAGTTTTGAGCGGAGTAATATTATATGCAGAGTTTAGTTGGACCGTTACAAATGCAGGATCTCGTGAAATGACATGACAGTCTCAGCCAGGTATTTATTTGACAGTGTGAAGGGCAAATTATAATCTACATGGATTTGTATAAACAACTCCGATCTTGTATTTCTCACATTTTAAACATACATTATACAAGAGCTAAATCTGCCTATTACAGGTCTTTCTTTAGGCGTGGAATGTTATCTAAATTATTAATTATACATTTATTAACTTATCCAGACCATAACCAATTCACGATGGCATCAGATACTCAAGATAAAAACTAGATTAGAAAGGTTCGCCATTTCAAAATTTAATTTAATTTAAAAATGGGAAAGCGAGGTTAAGTCTCGAATATACCAGTGCCCTGGTTACCACAGTGTACACATCTTTTCAAAGCTACAAACACTGATAACTTAGCTCAGAATAGAGTAATTTGATAGAAATTTTCAATATTTTCAGTTTACATTATCTATTATTGAGCAATTATAGCAAGAATGGCTAGCTCTTTATCTAAATCTTATATAATGTATCTTTAATCGATCCACATTATATTTGATATTTTACAAATTATGCCCATAATACACAAAGACTATACGTAACCCTTTGGCACTTGGACTGCCTAAAACATCCCAACAAGGGTTCCTTAAACTGTCCCAAACAGTCCCGTCTCAAGCACAGCTGTCCCCAAGAACTGGTAAAAGGTCCTATTCACATATTTCGCTTGGTTTGAAGCAGTCTAGGGAAACATTGTTTTAGACTGTCCAGGGATGTACCAGTATCAATATATCAATTCTCTCTCATTTTCTTCACGGAACTGAGGGTAGTCTATATTTACAGGTACCAGGTGATAAAGGGTTAACTGGGGGTTGTCTATATTTACATGTACCAGGTGATAAAGGGTTAACTGGGGTAGTCTATATTTACAGGTACCAGGTGATAAAGGGTTAACTGGGGGTTGTCTATATTCACATGTACCAGGTGATAAAGGGTTAACTGGTGTAGTCTATATTTACATGTACCAGGTGATAAAGGGTTAACTGAGGGTAGTCTATATTTACAGGTACCAGGTGATAAAGGGTTAACTGGGGGTAGTCTATATTTACAGGTACCACTGTCTAGAGGGTTAACTGAGGGTAGTCTATATTTACATGTACCAGGTGATAAAGGGTTAACTGAGGGTAGTCTATATTTACAGGTACCAGGTGATAAAGGGTTAACTGGGGGTTGTCTATATTTACAGGTACCAGGTGATAAAGGGTTAACTGGGGGTTGTCTATATTCACATGTACCAGGTGATAAAGGGTTAACTGAGGGTAGTCTATATTTACATGTACCAGGTGATAAAGGGTTAACTGAGGGTAGTCTATATTTACAGGTACCAGGTGATAAAGGGTTAACTGGGGGTAGTCTATATTTACAGGTACCACTGTCTAGAGGGTTAACTGAGGGTAGTCTATATTTACATGTACCAGGTGATAAAGGGTTAACTGAGGGTAGTCTATATTTACAGGTACCACTGTCTAGAGGGTTAACTGGGGTGGTCTATATTTACAGGTACCACTGTCTAGAGGGTTAACTGAGGGTAGTCTATATTTACATGTACCAGGTGATAAAGGGTTAACTCGGGTAGTCTATATTTACATGTACCTGGTGATAAAGGGTTAACTGGGAGTAGTCTATATTTACATGTACCAGGTGATAAAGGGTTAACTGGGGGTAGTCTATATTTACATGTACCAGGTGATAAAGGGTTAACTGGGGTGGTCTATATTTACATGTACCTGGTGATAAAGGGTTAACTGGGGGTAGTCTATATTTACATGTACCAGGTGATAAAGGGTTAACTGGGGTGGTCTATATTTACATGTACCTGGTGATAAAGGGTTAACTGGGGGTAGCCTATATTTACATGTACCCAGTGATAAAGGGTTAACTGGAGGTAGTCTATATTTACATGTACCAGGTTAACTGGGGGTAGTCTATATGTATGTGTACCAGGTTAACTGGGGTAGTCTATATTTACATGTACCCAGTGATAAAGGGTTAAAATGTAGGGAATTTAGATGTAAATATATTGAACAACATTCTACATGGAATAAAAATAAAATAAACGAACCTGGCAGATGCTACATTCTGTGATGCTGCTCCAAGAGCTCTTCTACCCAATAAACTTAAACTATAACATAACGACACTAAATCCGAACTAGTATCACATGATACAGTCTGAAATAATATACAAGTTATAAATTATAATATAAAAGTTATAAATTATAATATAGCCATATAGTCTGAAATAATATAAGAGAGAGAGAAATATTGTTTAACGTCCACTCGACACAAACTAGGTCAATTCGGGACTTTTAATTTTATTTCAATAATTCGCTTGCGCATAGGGGTCTTTAGCAGTGGGAGGGAACCGGAGCACCCAGAGAAAACCCACGAGGTTGGACAGGCGACCCTACTCCTTGCCACGTACAACCAGGGATTCGAAAACCACGCCAGTTGACTCAATGACAGACTTTATGGTACAGCACGCACGTGCTAACCATTCAGCCATCCACCCCCCCCCACCCAAAATATAATATAAGTCATAAATTATAATGTAGCCATACAGTCTGAAATAATAGAAGTTGTAAATCATGATACAGTCTGAAATAATACAAGTTATAAATTATAATGTAGCCATACAGTCTGAAATAATAGAAGTTGTAAATCATGATACAGTCTGAAATAATACAAGTTATAAATTATAATATAGCTATAATACAAGTTATAAATTATAATATATGGTCATATTTTGAATGGGGTTTGTTTTTAAATAAATAAATAAACACGCTAAGAAATGTTGACGAATATTTCGATTGGAGTAACGTAAGTAGTTACAGTAATTGTTTTTAGACGATAGCGCGTGCTTAGAGTCGAATGGGATTATTTAGCAGTTGGTGTTACTCGCTTGTTCTGTTAGAGCGACGTTTACTACGGTTTACGGCCAAATAAATTTCGGGATGTCATTTTTTTTACCTTCCATATATAAATCGAAACGGAGTATAAGACGAATGCCGGACTTTGCTGAAAAATGTATCGACTTATGACCTGAAAAATACTGTAATTTTGGGGGAATTTGAAAACGGTACGGATGGGCAGGAGTCGGCACGCTTTCATTCTATGGTATAACGATGTCATGTAATTTTTTAGGAATATTATCGACATAAATTTGAATACCGTACAGGAATTAAATATGAAAAATTACGAGGTGCATCTAAATTTTTTATTACGTATGAATTTGAATATTTTGTTGACATGTGATTCTTAATTGTGGTTTGAAAACGCCTGCTTAAATAACGATAAGAGTTATGTCCCTTTATTTTCGGAAAGAAAATGTGCGACAACTAAAATTTTGAAATCCCATCACTGATTCAAAAATAAACCATGGCTCACTTGTAAAACAAATATAAATAGACCATTAGATAAATTCACTCAAAAATAAATTGAAAGTAAAAATACCTTGTCTCTCCTTGAAGCACAATACTGAATCCATGTGTGATAAACACGACAAAAACTAGTCCTTGATATACCAGACATCTTTGGATCATAGTCTTCATCAACATGTATATTAAATGTTGGGTCGAGATCAACGTAGTCTTCATTCGTTGTTAAAAGAAGGGCTTCCATGATACTGGAGTTTTCTAACCAATCTAAGAGACGAGGTGAACGAACAGTGTAGTATATTATGCTCTGAAAATAAAATCAAAAAAAAAATCATGTTTCGTGATAATGAAATAGATTACAAATATGTATAAATTAACTTTAGAAATGAAATGAAATGGGGTTTAATGTCCTACTTTTCTGCTATGAAAAATTAACTTTAGCCTCTTGAGCGTCCACAAGATTTTCAAAGTGATCAAGGGCCATAACTCTGGTCATAACTCCACAAGATTTTTCAAAGTATTCAAGGGCCATAACTCTGGTAGTAATTATTGGAAATCGTTGAAAATCAATATGCTACTTCGTCTCATGACCTTAAACACTGTGTATCAATTTAAAGTCAATCGGATATTAACTTTAGCCTCTAGAGTGTGCACAAGATTTTTAAAAGTGATCAAGGGACATAACTCTGGCAGTAATTATCGGAAATTCGTCTCATAGCTGTGTGTAAATTGAAAGTTAATCAGATAATAACTTTAGCTTCTAGATTGTCCACAAGGATTTGTGGATATCGGACGGATGGGGGGGGGGGAGACAGAGAGAGAAATGGGGTTGAACGCCCACTTGAAACAAACTAGGTCATTTAGGGACAAACACATGGTTCAATTTTATTTCAATAATTCGCTTGCACGTAGGGGTCTTTAGCAGTGGGGGAAAACCAGAGGACCCGGAGACAACCCACGAGGTTGGTGGACAGATGACCCTACTCCTTGTCACGTACAACCGGGGAATCGAAACCACGCCATTTGACTCAATGACAGACCTTATAATACAGCGTGCACGTGCTAACCGTTCTGCCATCCATCCCCCCAGACGGATGGGGGCGACGACAATATACAACCTCATCATTTCAATGTGGCGGCATAAAAAGCAAACTCACCTTTATATAATAAGTAATTAAAACTTTTCTAAGATCAAAGACTTGTAACATGGAAGCAGCACTATTGTCAGATATACTATAACCTTCTAATACGTATTTAGTTACAACAACTTCCCACGCTAACCAACGCTGATTAAACGCAGTGTTTAAACTCAAAAAATGGGGAAGATGACCAGGTTCAAAACAACAAAAACCTGAAATAAATAAAACATTTTGAAGTTATGGTATTGTACTTGTGTAGCAACATACTGTAATATATTGTGATCCAATCAAGCCTTCTGAATACTGTGATCCAATTAAGCATTCTGCATACTGTGACCCAATCAAGGGTATTGCAATGTAATGTGATCCAGTCAAGCATACTGCTATATATTGTACAATCCACTTGAGGAGAAAAATCCTATTTTTAACAGATCTTGCATCAGTGAGAAACTTTACAATATGTTAAATGTCCTTTTAGAACTTGAATGCTTGGGTAATATCCTTAAAATGACAAATTTCAGTAACATATGCAGTAGTTTCGAGATATTAAATAGAGCCCTCGTTTCCCCTGCCTTATAGTGAAATAGATATTAACGGTGGCCACACAGGGCCCCTCCCCCACCCCTCTTCATCCCGCTGCTCCACCTTATAGTGAAATATTGATGACCTACCTTCGTTATCTTCTACACCTTCGGTTATAGCTTCTACTTCTCTCTGTTGACAATATGTACCTATACAAAATACATATATCAATATATACTTACAAAATACCTTATATATCAATATACATGTACTGCTCTTCGAATACAAATACGATCAACATGAAAGTTCTTATTCTTGTTCCTCTGACAATTGCATATTGATTAACGAACATATTTTAATATGATGTCACAATTACCAGACGCCATGCTTGGTTCCTGGTTCATACTACGCTCATTTTTTAAAGGGAAGTGGTTATACCAGTCTAATTAAAATACCGATCCATATTACGTTTCGTTTTTTATACTTTCGATGGACGACGCTACATGAAGATCTGACCAGTTGTACTGGTAGGTTGTATCAGGGGTCGTACGAACGGCTTTTGACCTTATAACGTCAGGAATTAATTAATCAATCTGCGTTGACGTTTCTAGTGGTTTACCCACAGATCCGTTCCGCATGCCAAGAACTCAACATAACAGACTGTTTCATTGGCTAATCTCTTACATAAACCAGAATGTGTGTTATATAACAACTCTTCCAGATCCTAGTGTTGTGAAGACAAGTAAAACAAAATTTTGAACTATAAAAAACAAAACGAATTAGAATCTGTGGTTATATCTGAGTCATTCTGAAAACCAGGGCCCTTATTCACGAAAACTTAAACTAAAATACAATCGAAATTTTAAGAAATACTGCAATTCGATTGGCTGACCAATATGCAAATTGGATATATGCAAATTGATTTTACTGGTCAGCCAATCGAATTTCAGTATTTCTTAAAATTTCGATTGTATCTTAGTTTAAGTTTTCGGGAATAAGGGCCCTGAATATTTCTTTATGTTGCCTAAGATAAATTCAAATTTATTTACCTCTGAATTCCAGTCCTCGGAGTTGAAAGGTCACCAGTCCATTTCCCGTCTCTACAACATGTACAAGAGCATTGAGATAATCAGATGCCATGATAAAACAATCACCCTGTGTGTAGTTACCCCATCGACCAATCATCAGATCCCCACATAAACTATGTTGTAAAGATCGCGTTAAATGTTCATAGAAAATAGAATTTAAATTATTGTCATCTGCACCAGGATTTCTGTCAAGTTGAGACGCCAGGCGGGTGTTGGTATGATCCACTCTTTTAGTACTGTAATCAAAATAAAATAATTTATTAATTTCATCAAGGCTGGAGAAAAAACACTTGCTGGTATATTTATTGAGAAAGGGAAGTCTTACAGCCCCTAGCTAGCGTCCCATAAAGCCGAGTGACATTGGTTGGATCCCCCCCCCCCCTTGCTAGCTACAGGCCTGACTTATCTGGGAATTCAGCATACTATAAAAATGGCAAAAGCTGGCAATCAAAAGAAACAATAGGTCAATGGTCAAGTTCAAAAGGTCAAGAAATGGTTGAACCACCACAATAACTGATGGACTAGTGGTGAGCCTTCGTCGAATTTAACTTTTATTTGTGTATAGCGCACAATCATTCAGAATATTGTGAGCAAGTCAACATGATATACAGGTCATTTTGAGATTAACACATGGTATGGTCATTACAGCTGTCATGGCAAAGGGAGAATTCTGTCCATACACTGTCCTTGTCATCTCCTCAGATACTACTCCATGCTAGGATCCGCACTGGAGACTTTCTGGCCAGTACCATCCAAATTCAAAAGTAACCCTAATATTTACAATAATCCGCACACATTAACCAGCCCCATATTGACCATGACCAGCCCCACACTGACCATGACCAGCCACACACTGACCAGCCCCATAAAACCTGTTACGATAGAATTATATTTAACGTAAATGACTTACTTGTAGTCACGTTCCCAGAATTTAACAGGTCGTATATAAGATGTTATAAAGATGGCGCTACCTAGGAAGGGATTTAACGGTGTGGAGAATATAGCTGAAATAGCTGCCTGTAGGAATAACATCGCAGAATCTAAATCATTCAATTAAAGATATAAAAATAACATCAAATTGGCTTCAATGTTTTACTTCTAGGATAAAATTGAACATCGACATATTCAGTGTGCTGGTTGGAAATTCTGCGTGAACATCAACACTTCCATCTAAATCGTCAAGGGTTTTATCTCGTATTTACTAGCGAGGATATTGGTAAAACTAGATAGCAAGTAACCTAGAGACAAATTATCATGGTTTTATCTCGTGTTTATTAGCGACGATATGGGTAAAACTAGATAGTAAGTAACCACGAGACATTAACGATTCTAAATGTCAAGGGATCTTTTACGTGCATGCCAATGTGTAGATGGGAACTCGGTTTTTCATACCATCCGAACGACTATACATTGTCCGTTGCCAGGCCCTCCGTCCTGCACCACTGACAACAGGGAACCACCTGGCAAAATCCTGATTCTCATCCAACACCAGGATAGAAACACAGGACCAAAAGGTTAGCAATGTGAGAAGTGATATCAGATGGTCTGATATAAAAAGGATACGAGGTACACTGAAAGGTTGAGCGAAGGCATGAAATGCTGAACCCCAGGTTATCTGCCATGGTGCTATATACGTTATAATAAACTTCATCTTTAAAACCCAATCACAAAACTACAAATAAACAAATTCAATACTCATAAAATAAATACAATTTAACAAAAACACTACATATATAGGGGCTTTAATTTAGCCTAAATAGATTAATAGGTAGGGGGGTATCTATTTCAATTATTGTTGATGTAAAATGCTCATTTTAATTAATGTTTTTACTGTAATTTTGTTATCAAGATGTTTTAGTTAATTCTTGGAACCAGGCACACACATACACTGGAATATAGTTACTGAGAGAGGGAGATAGAAACTAGGTCACAAACTAACACGTGTTTCAATTTCATTTCAATAATTCGCTACTGTTCTGCACGGACTGGGCTAATGAAGACAGGCCTACGCCATACAGTGTGCCATGAGGAGAAATTTTGCCCAGACAGCGGGACAACCGCAAACTGTTATCTAGAGTTCCAACTGCCAAGTTTTTCTTTTACACGCACGGCAATACGACACGAAGCCTAGAATTTTTCCTTTCATCTGAATGACTAGACACTGTCAGTTCCTTCGTTCGGCACCATTAAAAAAACAGAAACTGTGTAAAGAATACGTGTAAAACTAACCTTATTAAAGAAGATGGCCATAAAGAAATAATCTATAAGAAATGTTTCTGAAGCCGTTCTGTGGTCATATTTAAAAAAAAACATGGTGAATATTAAGATCATGTATTGTTTGGGCGTATCAGAGAATGAAAACCTCAACAGCTTCATACCACATACAACAACAATTAATGGTCCAATACTGAAAATAACAAAAAAATATCCATTAAATAAACTGTTTATATTCTCTTATTTTAAATACAGCGGAAGAACATAGCTAAAATGACTATTCAGTTTTTGAGAGAGAGAGATATTCGGCTTAAGTTCCACCCGACACAAGGTCATTTCGGGACTAACATATGGTTCAATTTTATTTCAATAATTTGCTTGCATGTAGAGGTCTTTAGCTGTGGGAGAAAACCCACGAGGTTGGACAGACGACCCCACTCCTTGTCACATACAAGCAGGGAATGGAAACCACGCTAGTTGACTCAACAGCAGACCTTATGATGCAACGTGCACTCGTTAACCTCTCAGTTACCAAATCCCCCAAATGACAAGTGAAATCCAAGCTTGAAAAAAATGTTTATCTCACCTCACGTCAGGATTTAAATGACAATTTGAATATTTGGGTAAAATGTACTTACTAATATCTAAATTTACAGACGATGGCTGGTGCTGATGTTGTTAAGGCACAGAGACAGACAACAGGATACATACAATTTCTCTCAAAAAATCGTAACCATAGATACAACCTCTCAAACCACATAATCTTAGCTGGTTCTATAAAAAAAATATACAATTACATATTACAACTTCTGTTTTAAATTCTAAACAGAGCCTTGTAACAGTTATATCAAACACGTAAAGTGGGTCAATTTTATGAGCAAGTCGAGTTGTAAGTTGGGTCATTGATGTGACTTCAGTTGAACTTGAGTCCGAGTCGCGGGACTATAGTTCCCACCTCTGACGATTACATCTTCCATGAGCAGGAGAGTATTTTGTAAATCCACCTATTCTAACTGTCCTCAAGTGTTCTTCATGTGCATGGCAAAGTTTTCCCGTCCGACCAACTAGGCAACATTTTCCATATCAGCCAAGCAGACGCCACTCCCTGCCAAGCGGGAACCTGACTTAAATCTTAAGTCTAATGCCCTGATTGCTAGACCACCACATCCCCTACCCCCTTTCAATAAGAAGGGGAGTGAAAGTCAACCAGCGACTAAAACAGTTTAGTTCTGCACATAGGCATAGGTGGCCAAGCTCAGTTGGGGGGCTGAGGATATTTGCCCCGAAAAATTTCTTTGTCACCTGAATTTTCCGAATGAATCAATCATTAACTAAAACGAGTTTTCCACAAAGCTGTGATGGTTGTTTATTTTTAATTAATTACGCAATCACACAACAATATAAATTTACAATACG